CGTTTTCATCAGCCGGGCGGTAGCGAAAGTACCCCTCCGCGTCTGGAGTCAACGCCTCGTTCTTCTCTTCCTCGATTTTGCTGACGAACTCGAGCACCGTGTTCTTCTCCGCAGCGAGTTTGGTCTTTTTTGGCGGCGGGTTTTTCTGGGAAACAGCGGTTAGTGGAAAGAAAAAGAGTGTAAAGTGAAGATACGTACTCGGCGATTTGGAGACAGGCTCCTGAGTGACGGTCTCGTCCTCAGAAGACTCTGCTCGTCCCCGTTTACGAGTCGAAGCCTTGCGCTTCCCTTCTTTCTTGACGGAAACTGGATTTGGGTTAGCGATGCAGGAGATTGGGAGAAAGAAAAAGACGAACCAGACTCGTTCTGGTCATCTTCTTCTTCCTCCTCTTCCTCTTGATTGTCGTCGTCATCGTCACCAGAGCCGGAGTCGTCGCTGGAAGCAATGTGGATGGGACTGGGAGACTTGGGTGGAGGTTGCTGTTTCGACTTGGGAGTAGCGGTGGTCTTCTTAGGCTTCGGTCTAGGAGCTGCGGCAGGCAGGGACTCCTCCAAAGTGGGCGTGTTGGAAGGAACTTCGAGGGGGCGGAAACCCAGGACGAAATCAGGGTTGGAAAGGTCCAAGACGTAGCCGGAACGGTCGAAGTTCTACAAACAAAGTTAGCCGATGAAAGAAAAAGGGAATTGAAAGGGATACGTACGAATTCCGCCTTGACATGGGCGAGAGTCAGGAGAGAGAGCTCGCGGTTGACTTGGTTGGAAGGGAGATGGTCGCGGAATTGGATAACGAGCTCGAGGAACAAGACGAGGTCGAGGGACACCTTCGCTCCACCGTTGTCTTCCGACAGGCACTTGGTTTTGTGGAAAATATAGCGCTACAGAGGAGGAGTTAGAGAAATTGGGCAAAAAGGGGATGACGAACCAAGTAGGGGATGATCAGGTTAATGGTGGAGACCGCCTTGGGGATGTTACTCGGAGCTTCGACGACGGCAGGGTTCTTCTTCACGGTTTTCGAAAGGGCCTGGATGAATTTGATGCCGTTCGGGGTGTTGAAGACCGAAAAACAATTGTTGGGGACGAGAGGATTGATAGGGGCAGGAGAGGAGTCGCGGGCAGAAGCGCGTTTCGACGAGGAGGCCTTTTTGCTGGACATGGTGGGCGAAAGGAAAGAAAGAATGAGCGAAAAAGGAGGGGCGCCAGGCTTAAATATCGAGAGGAAGAAGCCGTGAAGAAGCGTGAAGAACAAAACGTGACAGTGAAGACGCTTCTGAAGCTTAAACTGTATACACCGGCTCAGGGAAATTAAACGTCTTTGTGCGCAGTCGCGGAACCGCTCGAAATGGTTAGCAGCCCAAGGGTCTGGGTGATTTGGAAACCCGCGGTGGAATTAAGGAAGCTTGCGAGACGGAAAGGGCCGACCGGGCGCCTGAACGGAAGCATTTCTTTGTCCGAGGGCAAATCGGTGATCACGGCAACGCCTTTGCTTGGCAGAACCGAAGATCCGACAGAGAATGTCAAAAATTTGAGTCCGGTGTCGATCCATGATCTTCGCTGACGGCGAAGTGAAAGATGGAGAGAATTCATTGATGTTGTTGAATTCGAGTATTGCCAAAAGACGACTGGGGACAGTCGAGATTTAAAAATGGGGGAGATGATAAGCCGCAGTCTGGGACAGACCAGGAAACGACTATTTTTGTCGATTTTGTTGCTCAGCGCACGTCTCAGAGTTGACATGAGTCCCGAATGGTCAACTAGGGAATTACCTGCACAAGAACCAGTCAAACTCCAGTCAAAATCTATCAAATCGCTCTCAGTGATTCCAAAATCTTGACTAGGAAAAGTTCGCAGAGCCCGTTCTACGCTAGAATCTATCCAATTCTACGCAAAATACCCAAAGGGAGTGTATTCTAAAAGGCATATTCGGTTTGGCGCTCGGTGGAGACTCGAGATCGACTTCTCCTAGATAAGGGACACCCCTATCTCTGTTGGTATCGACGACTGACATCATTGGAACGTGGTTTCGGATCATGCTGGAGGGTCGAGAGTGCCAAGGGACGGTTAAACGGCGAAAACCTACTCAATTGACTGGGGCCTGGACCTGTGATCAACGGCGACTCTAAAACACTGTCGAGGAACAGATCATCTGAACATTGGAAATGCGCCAGGAGAGTTGGGACAACCACCGCTGAGGCCATATGCACAAGATACGAGTTATGGGTGTCAATCGAAAGCTGGGAAGCAGAGCTATCCACTTATCCTACTCAAGATCGAGGGATTCTTCACAAGCAAAACTAGATGGTCGCGAACACGGAAGATTTACACAGGTCATTGACTCCAATACACGCGATACCAGTCATCTGGACCTGGATTTTCGACTCTGGGCCGTATGGCGAAACGATACCTATACAATTATGCACATGGACTACTTTTCTTACTCGAGATTTTCCCTGATTCTATCAATTTCTGTTTAGTATTTATATCTCTGTTTTGTATTTGGCAGGTTCACGGATTGCCCCGCTTTACTAGGTGCATCTGGGGATCTAGCTCGTCAATCTATCTTGCTAGCTCTTTCAAATAGTATCATCACGTCGGAAGGATTATTGGTTGAGGGTTTCGGTTGCTGAATACAAGAGTTCTGGTTGCTGTTTATTGGGTTTCGGTTGCTGGTCGAGAGTTTAAGGCAGTTAGTTCCTGACTCGAGACAACTCAGAGGGTTTAAGGCAGTTAGTCCTGATCCAACGAGTATAAACTCTCCGGGCATCGTATTGGCGCTTCTCTATTGCTGAGTTTCGTCGATAGTACGCTTTGGGGCACGACAAATCAACGTTTTTCGCAAGAAACTCGTATCTACCCTACAACCTTACACATCTGTGCTAAGGCTCTGTTCACAGGGGCCTGTACTCGCACAAGGAGTTGACGATTTTTTTGGGTTTTGTGACTTTTCCTACTCGACATTATACATCTTTCTCTCTACGACAAGTGGAGTTTTGGTTGTTTTTGTTGGTTTGGTTAGTTAGAGAGCTCATTTGCGGTCCCCACTCCGCACTCATCACCGGGTGCGCCAGCTAAGGTAGTCCCGGAGGTCCGGGGGGTCGTTCGAGGACGTGATTCCGTTGTTGATCAGGGGGTCAAGTCCGTGGGCGGAACTTGGTCACCTTGACCAACGCGTCTTCGAATCCGGCGAGGTCCATCAGGTCCTCGAGTCGCCGGTGTACTGGTAGACATCCTTTGTGCCCATGTGATAGGCGGAAGTCTCCAGTTTGGAGAGAGCATGATCTTGCTCATTCTCCTCGACGAACCGGAGTCGGAACTCGAAACGAACGAGCCCCAGGACGGAAACGGAAACGGGGGCTTTGCTTCCGTGGCGCTCCGCCCATTGCTGAGCGGGTCCTTCTGCCATAAACGACATGGCATAGCGGACGGCCTTTTCCTCGCTCGCCTCTCCGTTGACCACGAAGGCCTCAGGGGCAAGGCGGGCGTAGGTGCGGACCGCATAGAGAAACGCCGGCCGCGTTTCCGATCGCCGTTGAAGGTGAACGGAGGGTTTGGTCGCAAGACCAATTTTGAGGCGAGGTTGATGTCGCCAAAGAGGGCCTCGGAATCGCCCTGAACCGGAGTCGGAGTCGGAATCGACGTCTCCGGGGGTGGTGTTGTTTGGGGTCCGCCAGCAGTATTAGCGGCGGCAGCGGCAGCGGAAGCCTGGGTGGTGAGAAGAGTAAGGGCCTCAGTTAGGCGGTCGATTTTCGCCTCGAGTGCATCCAGCCGAGTGTCAGCGTCAGGAGTAGCTCCGGAAGGCATGACAGGTGCGGGGATGACAGGAGTGACAGAGGAGGAGGGGACAAGTGGTAGGGGGGGTGACGAGGGCGGAACGGACTCGTATTCCGAGCCTGAGTCAGCGCCGAACCTAGCAATCTTGTCCGGTTGATCCCGTAGAGAGTTTCTTCTGCTGTAAGGGCAACCCCGGAGGCCTGAGATCAAGGTCCTAGCAGGGGAGGATCCAAAGAGTGAATAGAAGTAAGCAAATACAAGTGAGGCTGACCTAGCAGGGGAGGATCCAAAGAGAAGAAACTCTAAGGGTCCGCCTGCTAGGTAGCGGAACTATATACTGCGCTCTTGACGCGCCAAGGTTGATCGTTGCTCCGTGCAGTATGCCTGCGCCATGTCGCAGGCCAGGTCCCAGGGGGATCGCCAGGCGGGGGCGGCGATGCGCCTGACGGAGGCGGTGATGCGATCACCGGAGTCGGAGCCGGAGTCGGACCGGAATCGGAATCGTCTCCGAGGGGCCGAAAGGGAGGTTCCCCTGACAGTCTCACAAGAGCTAGCTTCTGCACGTCGTCCAGTCCTGTGATGTTCTGAATGGGGGGTGTTGAAGCGTTGCTGATGGAACGAAGTGGGTTGCGAGTATCAATAGTGCCAGTAATGGCAGTAGTGGTGCCGGTGCCAACAGTGGGATTCAGAGTACCTAGTAGAAACTTGTCAATCTACTGAAAGAAAATAAAGGAGAGCCGCTGACCTAATTGACGTTGACAAAATGCACACATTGTTCCGCGCATAAAAGCAACAACAGCACTACAACCCTCACAGGAGGGCATTGCCTGTAGTTGAGTTAGAAACCACTAGCAGTTGTAGACGATTATGGGAGATACCATAATTTTGTTGCGCTGTTGATCTGTTGTTGCCTTCAAGAGAGCATCACATCGAGCGCAGAGACCTGCAGCTTCCTTGTACGGAAAATGACCACGGCAGCACAGGTGAGGCTCCTCAGTGTTTGTACAAAACTGAATGTTGTCCGTGGTGGCGACTTGATTGAGGGGTGAAGGGGGCGCCATCGAAGAGAAGGTCAAGTTTTTTTCCGATCAGGCCTGTTTTGTTCATATAAGGCAAGGAAAATTTATCGGCTTATAGACCAAACATGTTTCAGCACCGGAGAGGCTTCCGTGAATGGTTCCAAGAGCTGATTATCTTTGAAATATACCACGTGACACTGGCTGATTCTTCCAATGGTCAACCCAGACGGTTATAATGGCCATGATAATGGAGTTCGTATGTGGACTTGGATAATATGGATGGAGCACACTGATTCAGACCATAACTTAGCACCAGAAAACCTCTCAGACCTGTTGCAAGACTTCGCTATTGACAATATTCTGCTCGCGCGTCGTTGTGAGATTCTTGCTGAGAAGTACGATTACAGAATCAAGTAAGTTTAAGAACTATGTTCTTTCTGAATTTTATCCACTGGAAACCTCTAAGGCTTTCAACCCTGAAAAACTTGAACAAACACTTCAAAATTGCCTCGGCTCGTCGGCCTCCTCCTGCTCATATTGCTCGATCATTAATCGCAAAACAAATGGCGGAGAATCCTACTGGCACCAATGGTCCAAACACCATTCAGAAGCGTGTGGCTCTTCTTGACGGGGTCCCACTTGCACGGTATGCATTTAATATTCCTTGAGCTTGGTTGTGACAACATTCAGTGGTTTTGTCCGAGATGCAATGTGCACCCTGGATCCTGCAGGTCCCAGCCGTCGTTTTCCTGTCAAACGGTCACGCAAGCCACGCACAGCCCTAACCGATGTTGCCGTCTTTTTACGAAATACATCTTGACGGTCATGAAAAGCTCAACTTCAAGGCCTTGCGCATGGGCGACGCCAGTATTGACATCTATGGTGGTAGATGCCATGGAAGTGGCTACATTGTGGAGATGGATGTCGTCCCGAATGCACGGTGTGGAATTACGATTGGACACTTGTACTTGGACCTGGTTGAAAACAGCGGCTGTTGAGTTAATCGTTGATTATTTTCTTGTTCGCTAATGCACTCTAGACATGCCTATTCAGCTTACAGTGGATGGTGGAACAGAGACACAATATATGGGAGATATTCATGGATTTTTACGGTGTGTCATGTGGTGCTCCGAGTCTAGCTGTACATCGTGTCTGACCTAATTTGCTAGTGCAACATACACCCCTGCCAACGCTGACATTCCTGGTGTTGTTTCCCTGAAGAGTACTGATAACTTGCCCATTGAGGGAATCTGGAGTCAATTGTTACATTTCACTGGTCATGATCTCAAGGCGGTAATTCTTTCTGGTCGAAGCGACAGTATCATCAACATTGGTCTTGAGTTACATATGTTTGTACTAACTTGAATGCTTTGTGCCCTTCTGACTCTATTTTCAGGCTCTTGTTCAAGTGGCTTTGGCCCAAGATCGTTAAGCAAGCCATCGACACATTCATCCGATATTGGAATGGCCATCGAGTCCGAAAGCAGAAAGAGAAGATTCTTCCGTCCGGCGTCTGTCCAAGGGATGTATACGAGAACCTGGTCCAGTACGGCCTCACTCATGCTGGAATCAAGGTACCCAAGGATGTTGTTGATGAGCTCCGCACACGGCTTCCTAAATCGCGCGAAGAGTGTATGAGATGGGTTCCGGCTTCTTTCAATGTCCAGGCAACAGCAGTCTACCAAGCGCTGGGGTGCCCGACGCTCAGCGTGGCAAATGGCTGGGATATATTTACTTCAATGTTGGCCAAGCTTCAGTAGCAAGACAAGAATTTGTTGGATTATGCTCAGTACTACTCGTACAAACAATGACAAGTTATAACTAAGATGCTTGGGTACCGGTGTGATGCATCAGCAGACACCAAGATGAAAATCAAAAAGTAACCTTGGCCTTCCGGCCGACCGTATAATGGGACCAAATGTGAGTGTCAACAAGTAAGTCGTGTTACATCTCAAATCATCACATTGACTTGACAGGCTATGAGAACTGAGCGCTACTGAGCCCGTTTGATCCCATTTGGTGACACCGACTTTTCACTGGGCTTCGACTTCCTTCCGAGTCGAAGATACTTTTGAGATACTTTCTCCACTCTGCATCGATGCTACAGACTGGGCGCTCTCAGTCTGACTTGAACAAGTCTGGGAGATCTTTGTCCTCCTATTCATGACAAGGCCGTCGTCTTCAACCCCTTCGCATTGGAGTCAGGCTTTTGGGTGTCAGCTTGGTTGAACGCCGTGTTTTTAGATGTGTGGATCTTCTTTTGTGGGCCTCCATCATGACAATGAAATGGCGCTCGTTCTCAGGCTAGCGCTTGCAAGCGTCCAACGAGTACCATGGAGACCTTTGCCCACAAAATCGTCGATGACTCCATGAACATGAACCCCAGCGGATCCGTATTCGTCTACACGCAGTCAGACCAGCTGGTGACGATTAATCATCTCGAATATGGTCGTGCTACTCATCGCGCTGCCCATTTGCTCCGTCCTGGCAATGTTGGAAAGGACGGGGATGTCGTGGCTATCATCGCTTTGTCTGACACCATACTGTGGCAAGCTGTAATAGTGGGGCTTATTCGGGCAACTCAAACTGTGAGGAGAGACTGCTTCATAGGCTGCTTGCTCACATTTCATAGCCTTTCCCCATCTCACATCGGAATTCCCCACCTGCCATTGCCCTACTCATCGTGAAAAACGCATGCCACAGAGTTCTTTCCACATGCATTACCCTTCGCTCTCTCATTCAAGCCACCAAAGAAGAGATAAGCAAGCTTGACTCTGACTTCGTGGTTGACTTCGAGGAAATGCCGTCAATTCATCAACTCTATCCGCACCTTGGAATCGAAACGGCTCAAGACATCTGCGAGCTGTATCCGACTGAAAGTGCCTTCAAGTTAGACGATGTCTGCCTTATTCTGCATTCTTCCGGCTCGACGGGGTTCCCCAAGCCCATTCTGCATTCTCACCGAGGAATAATGCAGCGTGCCAATCTTGGTATATATTTTTTTCCTTTTCTGCATCGCCTGCCTAATGCAACCCAGGCCAAGTAACGGAAATGCGAAATTACTTCTCTCACCCCATCGCAACCATGCATCTGCCTGCATTCCATCTCGCGGGCCTGATTGGACATCTCCTGCAACCCATCTTCGCCAACATTCCAGCGGCTGTATTCCCACCAACTGCGATGTCTCGAGAGCAGGTCCCCATGATACCAACGCCAGACAACATCCTGCATCACGCCCAGCAAACAAATTGCAAGGTCATATTCACCTTTCCATTTCTGTTGATCGCGTGGGCAAAATCTCCAGAGTCAATGGAGCTTCTGAGAAAGTATGAACTGGTCGTACGTATATTCGCCTTGAGGTTGCCCCAAACCAACTCTCGCAGTGCTATTCCGGCGGTTTTCTGCCCCCTCGCATCGGCCAACGATATGTGGAGGCGGGCATCAACCTGCGAAGCGTTTACGGAATGACCGAGTTCGGGAGCATCAGCTCTCTTCTCCCCTTGCCTGGAGACGAATTGGACTGGGAATGGTTCCGTATTCTGGATCGCGCAACAGTGCGTTGGATACCTCGTGGCAATGAGACCTTTGAATGCCATGTTCTGGTGTGTTTCTCTGTCACCTCATCTTCCAACGGCTGAGTATACAACAGACAACGTCAAATCATCAGCCTAGCGTGGAAAATCTTGACGGTGTCAAAGGATTTGCCACATCTGACCTCTTTATGCAGCACCCAACGAAGAAACATCTCTGGAAAATGTTGGTGTCCGTCATTTTGAGTTGTGTCCCATAAATCCTCATTCGTGAGATAGTCTCGGTCGGGCAAACGACGTCATTGTACACACAACGGGGGAGAAAACGGTGCCTCAACCCATCGAAGAGATCATCAACAGCAGTGCCCTGTACGTCTACATCGTGTTTGCCCTGAAATTACTCAAGGCAAGCTTAGTGTAAATGGTTCTGTGATGTTTGGCCACGGCCATGACTGTACTGGGATCCTCATCGAACTGACTCCGCAGTATCAAATTGATATTGAAGACCCAGTGCAAGTTGCTGAGCTCCGCAACAAGCTCTGGTAGATACAATCCTGCATGACCTAGTTGGTTTTGAATTTTTCTTTCAGGCCGATTATCTCTGAAGCCAACGACATTGCACCCAAGTTCAGTCGTATTTTCAAGGAAATGATCATTATTGTGGGGTTAGTAAAGCCTTTGCCGCGAGCCGCGAAAGGAACGGTTATGCGGGCTGCTGCATTGGAAGTATATGCAGAAGAAATCGAGGCCATGTAATCACACCCACGTGTTTCGTTTTTCTTGGCTGATGGTTCCCCTCAGTTATGAAGCCATCGCCGCTCACTCGATTGCCTCCGAATTCCCTGTTGTTCCAACAAAGGCTTCAATTTCATTGTGGCTTGTTCAACTCGCGTCTGATCTTGTACCCCAAGCAATCATGCCCGAGAGCAACATATTCGAGCAAGGATTCGATAGGTATATTCTACTCTTGGACCCCTGCGTTTTTCAAACCAGTTTGCAGCCTCAGCGCGACTATTCTTCGTCTACGTGTCATAGCCGCGCTGAAAAGCAAGTCATATAGCACAAATAAACGAAATCGCGGACACCTTAAGCCCAAACCTTGTCTACACATACCCAGAGATCTTGGGACTAGCCTCGTTCCTCGTCGACGCAATTTCCGGCCTCGTTGAGAAGCAAAACACATCTACCCGTATCCAAGCACTCTTCGACCGGTACACAGCGAATCTAATCCCCTCTTCTACGACTATCGCCAATGTGGAAATTGTAACAGTCCTCTTGACCGGTTCAACTGGAGGCCTGGGCTCAGAAATACTGTCACAATTACTCCAAGATCCGCGAATCACAAAAATATATGCGTTGAATCGGCCCATGCACACCAAAGGCTCCTTGCAACGACAGGCCGATGCGTTCCACGTGCGTGGACTAGACATAACTGGCTTGAATGCACAGAAGCTCGTGTTCATTGAGGCTCATGCCCATGAGCCTGACCTGGGCGTTGATGTTGGGCTGTATAAAGAAGTGAGCGACATGATATTTCGCTAATGCTCATCTCACCTTTTCGACAGTTAAAAGCCTCTGTTTCTCATATAATCCACAACGCCTGGTCAATCGACTTCAATGCGTCGTTGGCCTCTTTCGAGCCTCATCTCCAAGCTACGCGAAATCTAGTCGATCTCGCACTCTCCGGAAAACGAACACCTTGTTTTTTGTTCATGTCGTCCATCATGTCTGCCTTTTCATGGGACTTCGGAAGAGGACCTTGTCCCGAAGATTTCTTGCCGTTGTCGGATATCGAGACGTGTGATTGTAGCTCGAGCACGGGATATGGGGAGAGCAAGTTCGTCGCGGAGCAGGTGAACACGAAGAAATTTGAAATGGGACAATACTGATATTGTCGTCAGATCGTTCGTTGCAAGCGATTTAAGTGGCAGTTGTGTACGGTTGGGTCAAATATGTGGCTCTCGCTCAACAGGCGCATGGACAACGACGGATTGGCTGCCGATCTTGGTCAGAACCAGTATAACAATGGGAAAGTTGCCGTTGGCTGAAGGGGTGAGTGATTCAATCCAACTAAAACCCTTACTTACTCCGGATGAGAATGTTGATTGGATTGACCCGTATACCTGTGCAACCAAGGTTGTAGAGTTGCTATTTGCAACAACGCCGTCCGCACCCGCCATGCACAACTTTGTACACCCCCAACCTGTGGCATGGGCTACTGTGGCTCAGTTTTTATGCGAGGCTATCGCCTTGCAGTTTGACAAGACACTGGAGCTAATTCCGTTTGACGATTGGCTCGCGGAGCTTGAAAAGCTCGGTCTCCAAGGCGCAATTGACAGAAAGGCTCTGGTCAGCACCTAGGTCTCTCTTTTGCCTTCATGTTGTCGTTTAACGCCTGTTTAGCCCGGCATTTCGCTTCTCAATGTTTTCCGCCGTATCTGGCCTCGTTTCTTAGGTTCCAAAACCGCTGTGTTCGCTACCACGGGGGAAATGGTCTTCAGGGATGCAAGTGTGACTAAAGTCCAAGTAGACGCGTGGGTTAAGTATTGGAAGGGGAGTGGATTTATTCAGTGATTGTCAACGGTTTTGTGGTCCAAATGAACACAACTGATTATGCAGTGACGATAGTGAAGTTTGAACTTGGAAGTGTCAATGATCTATGTCCGTATGGCGGGCTGAATCCGCGTTGGTGTAAGAGTACCCTTGTTTTTGAAAGCAGACATGGCGGATGGTCTTGTTTACCAGTCAGAATCAGAATCGAAATGGCCGCTATCGCCATTATAAGGGCCCCACTCCTCTCTTGGATTCAAGCCCAGCATCGAACGGACCAAACGGAACTCGAGATCGTTGGCGCAAGTCGGGAGGCCCGTCCAGCTCTCGTTATCCTCAAACGTGTTTTCGTGCTCGCCGTCGCCGAGCGCAGACTGCTGGTAGGCCGCATCGGTTATGGCGTCGAAAACAAACTCGACTCTACCGCCCTTTTGGAAATAGAAACCGGAGTTGAACAAGAAACGGGCGCCGACAGCCGCCGCCGAGAGTATTTCGGGCGTGGACTCGAGAAGGTCGTATACGATGCTGAACAGCTCACAGTAGCCCTTGTAGAACGAGAGGAAGAAGTCAGACTGGAAGCGACGGGGAATATACTCGGAGTACATGAGGAGGCAGTCATCGAGGTCGGCAGGCTGGCCGCGCTTGAAACTGCGGTATTGGTCTGGCATCACATCTTTCGCATAACCCGCTTGGCCTGTGAGAGGATCAGAGCAAGAAAGGAGCTTCACTGGGAGCACTTACACATCAACTGAAAACGCATGCGAGGTGACATCCAGCCGCCTATACATCCGCCACAAGTGCAGCCATACCGGCTCTTCTCGATATGCCGTTCAAGCGTGCCTTCGACCGGCAAACCCATCCCTTGTTTGAGTAGAAACTCTGCTTCAAGCGAATCGACCGAGTACCCTTTCCAGTTATCCAGGATCGTCTCCGAAAAGTCGCGGTCGGAGCGCATGGTCAGCTTCAGCAATTCCAGAGGGGTCACACCGTTCACATTCCCTACATTCACAAGGTCTGCACGCATGTCCCAGCTCAGAAGCTTGCGGACCGCGACAACATTAGCTCGTCCCGCTGCAATATGAAGGGGAGTGAAGCCATTCGCGTCAGATGCATGGACACTGGATGGATCGTTGTCATAGTAGGACTGAATCGTATCGGCGACCTGGCTTGATTTGTCATGGATAGCAGCATGCAGCGGAAATTCGAGTCTCGTTCTGTCAGGGTCGGGGACGGCGCCGTAGTTGTCATCCAGTGCTGGAACATCTTCTTCAACGGGGATACGACGAGATGGGTGGTTGTTGTTTGACGAATAGCCGAAAAAAAACAGTGCGTCCAATGCGACGGAAGTGATTCTGAGAGCGATTTATTACTAGCGAAGGAGAGGAAAGGTAGACCACACCTTGCGAAAGAATGCTACCCGATGATTCTTGGTCTCCTCCCAGAGCGCGCCTTCCATACCCATGGGCGACGGCCAGCAAGTTACGATGTCCTGTTCTTGGATATTGTCCGAATGCAGGAACTTGTCGAGGATCCACGAGCCTATTCCTTGACCACGAAAACTGAAATCTAGTAAGTATCGTTGAAAAAATCAGAGAGAGTACCCACGGGCTCCTTCACAGAGACCGAGAAGATGTAGAACAAGTTGCCAACGTTCAACTCCTTTCCCCAACACCCACTTCCGCTGTGGTATCCTGGCTCGATTAGATGTTGCTGAACGCGGCCATACTTGTCAAAGAGTGTAGTCGAGAACTGGTGGAGCTCTTCGTGGTCCTCGTCAAGCATTTGCAGGAAACCGTCGCCAAAGCGCGACCGAACGAGCCGCCATGCCACTAATGAGGCAACAGTTTCGTGTTTGGAATGTCTGGCGGTAACGGAAATCATTTGCATCGCGTGCGGATAAGAGTCGTGGTCCTCAATCTCTGTGCTTATCGTCAGTTCGTCTTTGTTCAGCGACGAAGACATGGTGGTGCGGAAAGAAAGGAAGAGTCGCGGTCACGTGCAATCGAAGTGACGAGTTGTTCTTGAGCAAGTGCAGCTGATGTTACAAGGGTGCTAGTACAATTGGAGTACAGACAGATATTATACAAATAACTTTAGGATATGATTCGACGTCGTCACTTTGACCGACCCCAGTGTTTTGCTCTTGAAAATCGGCAGTTTCCACGTCACGGTGCCAAGCACCATGCCATTCTTCAGATCGCCGTAGAGGACAGAGCGAAGGCGCTGGGGGTCGAGGAACGGACGGCGGTCGACAAAGACCATGTTTGAGACAAGGGCAAAGTCGCCTTCGAAAGCGTGGTTCAGCCAGATGTTGGCGGGCGAGTTGGAGGTCACGCCGTTGAAAAACAGCGTGGAGTGGGCGGGTGATGTGGGGAAGGACACGACAAGGGGTGCGTCGGAAGTATGGGTGGAGATGTTGAATTTACCGCCCTCGCCAGAGGCAGCGGAGGTGAACAGGTTGATGACTGCTTCGAGTGGACTGTCCGGAAGAATGAGGGAAAGGTCGGAGTGTTTGCTAGAGAACATACGCGTTTCGGGTCTGTACAACGAGTTCCGTGGTTTGAAAAATGTTGATGCTGTGAAGATTGACGGTCGCATCAATTGGCGCGTTGGATGTTATGAGACTCAGATGAGTGGACGCGTCGAATTTGCCCTCGATGGGCGCGTTAGATGTAATTAGCGTTGCATTTCGCGCAAACAGCTGTGGAAAACTAAGACTCTGAAAACTCATCGTGAAGATTACGTACGTCGCCTAGTATGGGTTGGTTCTTGCTTTCAAGATGTAGATGATCAAATTCAATAACATTCCGAAGGGCATTGAGGGTATGCGTGAACGAGGGAAGCCGGGTCTCCAGATTGTACACCGGTAGCAAGGAACCACGAGGAGTCGTGGGGAGATATAGAGTAATGTCGAACTCGAGTTTGTCGTTTGCTTGTTGTCTGTCAAAGGGTGCGGGAGTCTAATCAGCTGCTCAATATAGTGTCCCGGGCTTCTTCGCAAAGACTTACGAAAATACCGAGACCAGTACCGTGGACAGCGGAGGTCTTGCGTTCCATCCAGCACACATTTGCCCGATTGCGAACCTCCGATGAGTGAAACCGGGCCGTCAGAATGATATGAGGGTGGTCGTCGCTGGACGCGATGGCCTCAAAACGCCCGCTAGCATGGGCTCCTTGTGAAACGAGAAACATAAGTGTCGTGGGGTCTGGAAAGCGGAATCGGGCGGTCGACTCGTAAACAAATTCTGCATTGGGAGGCAGCCTTGTAGAGTTTGACCATGATGCCGGTTGTATGCATTGGCCAATGTGGGCATCTGGGGTTACTGGTACAATGGGTCTTTCATGTCCATGCTGCATATTATACGATAAGCTCAGTTGTAGCTTTGACTACGAGAACACTCACAGGCTCGCTGTTTTCGGGATGATGGATGGTTGTATGGTCGTCTTCTGTGGCCCTTATAGCGTGAAGGAGCAAGATAAACAAAAAACCGTTCAGTATGACTGAGATAAAGACAAGAATTCGCCGTTGTCGCCTCCTGCGTTTATGAAGCAGCGATTTTCGACGCGAAAGGAGTGGTGTTAAGGGTGTGGGAGGCGGAGAAGAATCTTGATAAGAGATATAGGGAGGCGGCATCGGGTATAAACCAGATTCAAAGAAAACAGGGAGGCTAGCAGCGGCACCAGGCTCACGATTCAGACGCGTTGAAGCTGAAGCCTCTGTGTCTGAAGCGCTCTTGGGTGTGTCAGGTTCGAGGATGATCATGGTGGGGAGTGAAGGACTGCGGACGCGTTATTTGGGGCATTGAAATGGTGTCGGAAGAACGCGTGCTCGTCATTGCCGAGTCACAAAAACATTTTTGCCGCCGGCCATCAGATTTTCAACAATGTCATTGACGCTGACAAACTGCTCTCTCAACCTTCCATCATCATGATCATGGTAGGAACAACAACACGAGTGAGAAGGGCTCCTAGTTGAAGAGCTATCGGTAGCGATGCTGGCACTGGCTAACAGTGTACCGGGAGAAGGCGCAGCGCGGAAAGCAGGACAGATAGGAGCCGGAGGAAGTGGTGTGGGGAATCCAGGTGTCTGCAAAAGTATCTGTTTGCTTTCGGGCACCAAGATGCATTCCGTATTGGGTTGTCGGGAATTCGAGGGAGAGTTGTCATGACATAGGCCAACATTCTTTGAGAGTCGTCGCTGCCGCTGTATCTTCTCTTTGCAAAGTTTATCTTGCTTCCATAGCGTTGGGGAGGGTTGGGGCCTTTCTCTTCGTCAGATAGTGAATATAATAACGGCGGTAGGTCGTACCAAGGGCACTCCTCGATGCAAAGAGGGTACCAAGGAGGCATTCTCTGACGTTGAGCAAACCCCGTCTCATTGTGGTCGGAAGCAAGGCTTCTTTACCAGTTTTTACGTTTATCCGTCGATTCGAAGCCTTGTTAATGGCTTGACATGGCTAAAGCCTAATAGCGCCAGAATCAAGATTTAAGCTGGTATAGACAGCGCGGTTGCTCGATACAACCACAGAGCATGACTGGTTCAAGTTGGAATGGCCACAGATTTGAAGTCCAAGACGACGAGCCCACGGCCACGTGACCTCCGCAGCAACGTTGACCTGCTATTGACCTGCTACTCCTTAGGACCTTTAACGCAGCCAAGGCGTCGTGACGAGCAATCACTCCTGGTTGCTACACAAATCGAACGGGCCGTCGTTTGTGAGGCGCTATCAAGCATGTCGAGTCTTCGAGTAAGGCTTCGAATCGACGGTTAAACGTAAAAAAGTGGGCAAGGAAGCCTTCGCCTTACCGTCTTACTTCCGACCACGATGAAGCGGGGCTTTCTCAACTCCAAGCCAGCAAAAGAGCGCCCTGTTGCCTCGACAAATAACTCGGGTGTGTTCTGCCTCCATTGCTATGTTCACGTTTTGACGAAAGAAAGGTCTCGACCCTGTGCCCACTCAATTTCCCTATGCAGCGCTCGATAAGCCAGGTCTGTCGACTTCATATCCAAGCGCTTGTTGTTAATATCTTCACAGTTGAAATTCCCAAAGGCTACGAAACACCACTCAATATTTTGCTCAACGGATCTAAGATGGAACTTCCGCCGGATTCTTTCGCTTACGTCTGGACCACTCTCCCCGGGATACAGCTGCGCGACGAACCCCAGACAGAATGTGTGTTGCTGCCCGAGAGCAAAGATATCATTTTGAAGACACCGGGGTTCCCTAAACCACTTCCGCCGATGCCCACCTGTCCTGCTTTTCGTGTTGCGCGTTCTCCTGGCAAAGGAATGGGTCTCTTCAGCACCCGCAACATCAAACAAGGCGAAATTATCCTTTATGAGCGCCCACTCTTGATCACACCGGCAGCCGTTCGGGCCACTGCTCCTGAGCATTTTTCGCCGGCTCAGGTGGTTCAGCACTCGCTGAACACGTTCGAGCGTATTGCAGAAGTGTCCGTGAATCGAATGACAGAAGAACGGCAGGCCGCATTCATGAGTCTCCATAACTGCCATATGACGGATGGATCGGGGCCGATAGTTGGCAGAATTAGGACAAATGGGTTCGGTCTCCCGGGTCTTCAGCCTGGAGCACAACCCAAAACGGAGATGGAGTTCAGAATGGGGGCGTATTCCGTGATTTGCGAGAATATATCGCGTCTCAATCACAGGTAGGTTTCATTTTCCGAGTTTCTGTTTTTCATTGGTTGATTCCTTCCTCCCAGTTGCGCTCCAAACACCGCTTTTTCCCTTGACAAAGCGATGCTAGCCTATCGGCTTTATGCCGTTCGTGATATTGCTGAAGGAGAAGAGCTGACATTGCAGTATGTCGACGTGTTATGCAGCAAAACGCAACGACAAGAAGCACTCAAACCATACGATGTCACTTGCGCGTGTTCTGTCTGCACCGACCCAACCACAGAAAGCGATAAACGTCGTTCCATGATCGGCAGCTTCATCCCAACCATCTCAGCATGGGCTGCCAATCGACAATTGCCCGACGACTGGCTGATTAAAAAGTCAACCGAGGTGCTTGACCTCATCGAAAAAGAAGGCTTGGAGTACTTTGAATTGTACTGCATTGCGACCCATACGATTATGGAAGCCTATATCTGCCTGGGGGACAGCGAGAACGCGAGTAAATGGGCGGAACGCGTAATCCGCCAGCCCTGGTCAGAAGAGTACAACGATCAACATGAGGTTGAGGAGCTGCTGGACCCAGAGAGCCCTGCCTACGCGAAACACGGCCTGTGGCGGATGCGTGTCGACGAGAATCCGATTGGCGAATTGGGCGCGATGTTCAAGATGATGGGGGAGATTTGTGGCCCGGAGGGAATGAAGATGATGGACAATGGTGGTGGGATGTTCATGATGCTGCCAAACCAGAACGCTTCTCCGGAAACTCTCAAGAAGATTGCGGACGCTATGGTGAAGTATGGGCAGCCTTCCGGCTGAGCGCTGAGGTTCTTGTCAAGTGTTAGTCATCTTGATGTCATCGTACACGCTCACATGATGTACTCCACCCGCGCATCGTCATCGGTGCACGCTCCGAACTACGCAATCGATGATGTATTTGCCTCCAGAGCCGGTATATAAGGGACGAAGCGTGCGGTTACAGATAACAAACACATCCACATCCACTCGAACCACAACCACTTTCACAACTTGAAACATGTCTTCCGATAACTCTACCTACAAGTGCGTTATTTCCCTTCCCCGTTGTGTTGGTATCTTATCCTTCCTTGCAGCAAGACCACTGGTCAATACCACTCGACCAAGGGCAACATCGTTGAGGCGATTGGCAATGCCACAGGTCTCGAATCATGGCAAAAGTCTGGAAAGGCATGTTTACCTCTAATTTTGGTTACTTCTCCAAGTTTTAATGCGCTTGCAGGAGGAGCACGCTGCCGGTGAAGCCGAATATAAAGCCGCGCAGGCCCACGAATACGTAGAGGGCGCCACGGACCGTATGCACGGCAAGGGCGAGGCTGTCTGGGGAGCCATGACTGGCGACAAGACACAGCAGGCCAAAGGCAACCTCCGGCATGATAAGGGTGAAGCCCAACAAGAAATAAACAAACCCTGAGCATGATACGTATAAATATTGGCATATTGTATCCACTTACCAGTAATTGTATTGCTATGTAAACTGCATTGGTCAAGTTTTGCACACTGGCATCATGAGTGCAGTGAGGCCCAAATGTCAGTATTGAGAACTTCGACATTATCCAAACGAACGCATTCCGCCAGGCCAAGCTCGAAAACGAGGCCCATTATTCATGCTACAATGGCGATTGACAAGTGACAAAGGATAGCGAGGGACTGGGAGTTGGTTAAATATATATCGTTTCGCTATCTCGCTGTCAAATGCCACGTGATCGTGCAGTGACTCCCACTAGTTTTGCCGTCATGTTGGTTGCGACTCCTGTGAGTCCACCTCGGAGAGTTCGTTCATTTGCTGATGAAAAACACCAAAGGCAATAAACTGAACGTGGCGTAATTCAGAACTCCAAGCATCGACGCCTGAGTCAGACTATTTCAAGTATCACTTGGGGCAGCCTGAGCCATGTTCGGCGTGGTGGCGCGGAGCGTCCGAGGTTCAAGCATGCGATACTCGGGTTTGAAGCTATGTAATTTGTGCCGAGGCATTTACCCCTCCAACCGCCAACAACACTCGTCTTCATCTCAGGTTGCCAACTCGGACCTGTTTGACTATACTGAAGGGCGTTGGCTGTGAGTGAGCAATATCCTTACATGGACCATCAGCTCATAAACCAGTTTTAATGATGCTCTTCGCCTGGCGGAGCGCAAGCGTGTTTTTAATGTCCGTGGTCTGCTCAAATCCGCTGCAAGCTCTGTCCAACGCACTCCCGATGATGTTCAAGACATCCGAAAGCTTGCTGAGGGTGGCTACAACCGCGTTTTGCTCATCACTATGCGCGACGGCTTCAAAATGGTCGCGAGGATTCCGTACCCCATTTCTCTCCCTCGCTACTTCATGGTCGCAAGCGAGGTCGCGACCATGGACTACCTTCGGACGCAGGGCATTCCCACCCCTCAAGTTTACGGCTACTCGCCCACCACTGAAAATGAAGCGGAGACTGAATACATCTTAATGGAATTCGTCGAGGGTAGCGATTTGGGCTCCTTTTGGTCGACACTCTCGGAACCACAGATTTCTTCGGTTACTCGTCAGATTGCGAAGCTGGAGGCGACTATGATGTCGCTCGAATTTCCCGCGGGTGGTGGCCTTTATTATACGAAGGATCTTGAGGCTGTATCCGCATCTGGCGTGCCGTTGGAGGGAACATCCTTCTCCGTTGGACCTGACATACGCGCGACCATGTGGAAAGGCAAACGCCCGACGCTTGCGCAAGATGTAGGACCCTGTGAGGCAATCAACTCGCTTCAGTTATTACTTGCGCCTGACTAGAAACCATAGACCTCACGGCCGAAGCCTCATTGCTGGGAAGGGCAACCAATGAACTTGCATTTGTGGAGCGTTTTGGTCAGCCTCTTTTGCCCTTTCGACGTTGGAGACGGGAGGCATATGGATACCAAAAGCAGGATCCTTCAGACTACATTCAAAACCTGCAACGCTATCTACTTGTTGCGCCATTCCTTCTCCCCCCCGAGCCTGCTAGCACGCGCTTTGGGATCCGGCATCTTGACCTCAAATCCTACAATATTATCGTGTCTCAGTCTGACGACGGCACTCTGACCATCAAGAGCTTGATTGATTGGCATCACGTCCCGATATTGCCTCAATTTCTTCTTGCTGGTGTCCCTCCCCAATTCCAGAATCACGATGACCCCGTTTGGGATGAGCCGTCGCTACCAGCCAACATCGAATTGATGGATGAAATGGAGCGCAACGCTGAACACGAGCTCTACCGTCACCGCCTTGTCCATTACCATTACATTGCCAACGCTGCGGTGCACAACGAGCCGCACTTCAACCTGATCGTCCAATCGTTTGGCCAGAGAAATACGCTCTGCCGCTCCCTTTTTGTGCATTCATCGCGCAACTGGGAGGGGGACACCAACGAGTTTAAGACGGCGCTGATGCAAGTAGTAGAAGACTGGGATGTGTTAACGGGGAACACAAGCCCGTGTCCGATTAGCTTCGAGGCTGATGATGTTCGCGCGACGATGGAGGTGGCTGAATACCTTAAGGTCGCTGAGCTGGCGCAAAAGCAGCTCGAGCAGGTGCTTGGCGATGGCTGGGTGCCAGCAAATCGGTATGAAGAGCTTGTGGCACACGCGAAGAAGGTTAAGGATCTAGTTCTAAATTCAGAGGATGTGAAGGACGATTCATATGTGAGGGAAGCGCTGAATGTGCATTGGCCTTACGATGATATGGACGAGAGTGAGTACCAGTAGTAGCATAGGTTTAAATCTCAACTCAACCAGTAGTAAGTGAGGCGTGTGTCGGCGAAGCGGAGAAGAAGACAGTTACCAACACGTGTTCCGACTTACGGCGGGATTTCTGATGTTTTGCGTCGTTTTTGATGCCTCGATGTTCGCCTACGCCACCAAGATCACAGTGAGGTTCACTTCGAACATGCCAACTACACGTGTTGGGGGGGTATATAGCCCAGGGCTAGCTTTCCACGTCTCCCTCCCCCCCTTCTTGCGCTACCGCAGTCCCTTTCCACCTCCCTCCCGCGTGTATGTCGACGCTGATGAGCCTTCAACGTTTCGAGGACTATTATCTACCCGGCGGTGACCTCTACTGCATTGTCAGCCATTCCTGGTCTTTTCTTAGCACCGTTACTGATACCGAAATGATTCATCAAGGCAGAGAACAAGATCTTCCGGGTTCATCGTTATTTCTTCCAACGGGAATCATCCTACTTCAAGGCTCAGCTAGCGCAGCCAGCGACGCCCGGCGCGTCCAAGCTCGGTACATCGGACGACAGTGCGATATTATTGGAGGGTGTTCGGAGCGAAGCTTTCTCCAAGCTGCTATGGGTGTTCTATAATCCGTGAGTGCTCCACTTTTGCGCAATCATGCTGAGCAACTTTGGTGGGCAGTAAATACTCGCTCTACGACGCAACGGTTGAAGACTGGTCTACCATTCTCGAGCTTGCGGACAAATGGGGCTTCGTTGAGGTGAAGAACCTCTGTGTTCGCCAACTCGAGAAACTGGAGATGCTGGATGTCGACCGCATTGTGCTCTACCACGACTTCCATGTCGACGAGAGGTTCCTTGTCCCACGCTACGTTGCCCTGTGTGAGCGGCCAGAGCTGTTGACGGTGGAAGAGGGTCTTCGACTGGGAATGCACACGGTGATAGCCCTCACTCGGGCCCGTGAATGCGCCAGAAACAGTGCCTCGAGCGGAATGCGAAGCCCCTCTCCCGCGTCAATGAGCGAGAAGGAGCTCACGGACATCATCCTGGACCACTTCAACATCAGGGACGACGACGAATCCACCAAACCGACAGGTGCAATCGGTGTTTCTCTACCTCCTCTTGTCGCACTCACGCCTGAGTCGCAGAAGAGCCCCCCAAAACCACCACCACCACCACCACCGCCCCCACCACCACCGCAACAACAACCACAACAACCGCCGATCCCTTCAAGACCGACGATATCAATGCCTTATTTGGGTTTGGTCCAAAGCCCGAGCCAAACGGGAAGCCCAGCGACACTGGCGATTCCGCCACCGGGGACAAGACATCTGGAGGAGGTGCAACTGGCACAGAAACAGACACCCCAAACACCCCTACCACCACCGGAAATTCTGGTCCCGGAAAAAAAAATAAAGCAGGGAAAGGGAAAAGCGGTCAGTGAAGATGCAGGGAGCGACGAGGACAGTGGTTACGGGAGCGAGGCGGTCAAGGCAACGACAGTCTTCTATTCAGACGCTGGAGATGAAAATGAGTTTACGAATAGTTACGAGGTAAAAGTCGACGCCCATGCGATAGACCATTCGGCCCAGAAACTTCAAGTCGTCGTTGAGGAGACCTCTGCCCTTCCGTCCCCAGTCCATCCCACCAAATCCCGGGCCGTACTGATCCCTTCATCTGAGGATGAAGGTGGTGAAGACGCTTTCTTTGACCTTTGACTCTAATGTCGTTGCTCGCGTCTTGCATTCTCTAGTTCTTCCGCAATCTAAATAAATAGACTTAAGAGTTAAATATTGAAATGGGAAACAGCACAAACTTTATCGAGATACTCTTCGGACATATTTATTGCGTGCTTTTGCTTGTTTGCCCACAGAATCTCCCTCCACGATACGGGCTCATAGCGATGCGACTGGTCTTCAATAGCACCAAGTGGCCGAGGAGTGGCTAGTCTCTTTAAGCGGGCAAGATCGGCTTCTGAGAGCTGTTCGCCAGACCGAAGTTGCTTGACGGCAGACTCGAGAACGGAAATACGGGCCTCTGTGCGATTCCTTTCTGCCGCAGTTGTTTTCAACTTGACGTAGTAAAAGAACGACGCGTTGGCAAGGAGCATTGCATGAAAGACGGGGCGTCGGTGGCCAGAGAAAGGCATGATGACGTGAAGTCACGTGGTAACTCCCTTTGCTTTTTCCGTCGTTCTCCGTTCAGCCTCAATGCTGAATGCATTCTTTGTCCGATGGCACTTCAGCAAACAAAGGAGCGCTACGATGTTGAGACAAAGACACGGGATATCATACATAAGCCGCCTGGGTCGATGCGACCTTTGCTGACCTTCACTTGTTCTTTGCACAACCTGGTGTTGTGCCGCTTTACTCCTCAAGCTTAACATTAGACTGCTCGGACTCTTTTCGAAGATGGGGAGGCAATCCTATGAGACCAGTATGTCCTCCCATTATCACCTATATGATCGACATCTCTTGCTGCTAGAGACTCTCCTCGCTATTACGAATCTCACTCGGTTGGCCGACGAGCTCCGTGTCCAGCAGCTTGTCGACGAGGGTGAGCTCTTTTTGTGACCTTTTTTCTTCGGTCGTTATCCAACGTTTGCAGTCGAGAGGATCACGGACGCACTTGGAGAGAAACGTGGACCCTATATCCTTCACGTAGTCCCCAGGGTTCTTGCTCAGCTGGTGAAAATTTACTCCGAACTCCCTTAGGTTGATGCTAATCTCTCTTCAGAGCAGGCGCCGGCTCATAACGGTCAAACGTCCCCACCAGTCGGTAGTGTTGGACCATCGAATTCAGCTGACTGCATCGGGAATCAAGAGGTTTGCTATGCCGCATGTCGTCCTATTTCATGCTGACTATGCAGATTCCGAATGGTCGAAAACCTTACTCGTGGGGAGGACATCTCAAAACACGTCAAGACCGTCAAAGCGATGCTTCAACCCGCAGACCAATCCACCAAAAGGGTGGTAAGTCTGTCTTCCAACTGCATATCATAGTAATCTCACGCTCGTTCAATTATAGCTGCAGGAGACCAACCAAACTTTGGCGGAGACGATTGAAGATCAACAGAACACTATCATGAGTTACAAGCAGAAAGGCATGTACTACACCAATATTCTGCCTATAACCGCTTACGATTCTCGATAGACAAAGAGCGACTCCTCCGAGGCGATTTCTATGCTTCTCCGACACGTACAACAATCTCTCCGCTACGCAAAGCAGTCTCAATGCCCGCGGCGGCGTATGATTCTCCAAGACGATCTCCAGCACTTCTCTTCGGTGGTTTGGGTCACGGAGGGTCTTGGCCCACACCTCCTCAGTCACCAACACGCAATCCTGTTGACTTCATGCCTATTGATGAGGTGGAAGAAGAAGACGATGGTGACGTTCCAATGGATGACATTGTTCGACTTTTCTCTCAAGAAAAGCGGGACCAAGCTCACATATGTCTGCAGATTCAACCCGATTTTTCGGTTGCGGCTCAGAATGACAAGGTGGAAATGAGCTATATGGAGACTTGTCGCGAGCTTGAGCATTACAAGCGAGAATGGCAGGCAGCCATGGAAAAAATAGCTCAACAGGACATCCGACTCGATGAAGCGAAAGATAATATCGACACTCTTGGCGGCCTACTGACGCAGCGCAGTGACAACCTTCGCGTCACTAACGAGATTCTCGCTGCTCGGGAGGATGATGTATGTACCCAACCATCCGTTTCATGTCCTACGGTTTCCCTGACTCGAGTCCAGGTTGATCGTCTGAGTGCCGAGAATGAAGAATTGCAACAAGACATTGAGGATGCAGAGCGTGTCAATCAAATGCTGAGTCTCGACTGGGCCGACGCGACAATCCAAGTCAAGGAATCACAGGACAAGATTGCGGAGTTGGAGCGTAAAATCATCCAGCTGGAAGAGGACAAGAAGAACAAGATTCGTCTACTTAGTGCGAATTTCGATGAGATCCTCAGGGCTCAAATGGCGTAAAATAGTGTTTTCTTGTACTTCTCTTTTACTGTACTTATTTGGAGGTCTAATCTTGGGTCTAATCAGAGACGATTTTTTGGCTGGTTGGTCTTGTGGCACGTGCGCGTCGTCCCCTCCCTCTCTCTCTCATCACCACCAACGACAATGCTCAAACAGTTGGAAAGGGGAAAGGACTAAATAAAACTGGGCATTGGTATGTCGTTTTCCTCGTTTTCTGGCTACGATGTTATAGTAAAAGGGTCGACTCCCTCTCCTCCAACCCTGTCCACGCCCCTCAGAACCGCTCCCCATTCCACTTGCTTGTTGGCGACGGCCGAGCCCCGCAAAGCGTCCAAGTTCTCTATGCATCGCTAGAGCCCTCCGCGATGCATCGTAAGGCTGGACCGACATTCCAAACGACTTTTTCCTCGCATTTGCGGGGTTGGCAGTCCTTCCCAAGGCTCATGGCCGGTACTGCAAAGGCAGAGTCGCACACCGATGCCAAATGCGTCGTTTCCGCCCCGCCGAGCCCACACGGATGGTGTTTACTCTACTCTGTGTTGGGTGGTCCCGGACGTGGTTTTTTTCTTTTCATCAGGCGGCATATTCTTGCACGTTCTAAGCGTCCGAGCGCAAGGTCAATGCTCGTTGGCGTGTGGTTACTTGCGAAGACGGCTGGTTCGCTGTCGCTGCAGTGGACAGTTGGGTTGGCTGGGGCCGAGGAGTGTAGGGTTGAAGTGGGGGGAGATATGAGATCACTTCAAGTCTGCTTTTCTGCAGCGCTGAGCCTTTCTTCTTTTCCATTCTACATCTACTTCTTCGAAGAGCTGGGCTGATTTATTTGTGCTTAGATGTCGAGTTGGTCGTTGCCAAAATTATTCCTGGTGACCCCAGATTTCCGTAAAATTTCGGTCTGCTTGCTCGGTTCCTGTATTGTACCTCCACCTGCGAATGCCATAGAACCCATTCATTAGCCCGAGCTGATTGAGGAACCAACGAGGAACAAACTCCAACAAAGTCAACTCCAGAATTGGATGCATTGTTGCCATGGCGAAAAGCACCGGTTATCAGGTCCACACAAGCTCGTAGATCTGCCACACCGACGTCGGGGCTCACGTTTACTTGACGGTTCTTTTTCTCTTCCCTCTTCGACCCTGTAATTCTAATTGCACTCGCGAGCGAGTGTGTCCGCTCTCTTTTCGACGTGGTGTCTGGTCTTCGTTCCAAACTGCTACCCTCGTACTAGAAGATGGCGGTCAACCGCCCCGGCATATCTCTCTACCTCTGGCTGCTCATACTCGCAGTCCACTCGAAACTGGCCTTCGCATCACCCACGCTTTCCCCCCTCCCCCCCCTCCTTTACGATAAACAACATCACAGGCACTCCTCAAGTCTTTGACTCGAATGACAACATCGTCAAACAGGGTGCAGCCACCGACGGGAGTGGCTCCAACTTCGACCTGCCCGCACTCATTTGGATTGGCTTTACACTTGCCATTGGAGCACCCATGGCCATTGCGGGCATCCGGGGTTGGCGTTTGACGACGGGGGCAGCTATTGGTGTCTCTTCAGCCGCGCTGACGTTTGTGGCCATTATCAACTCGGTGAACGATTCAGGGCTGGCAGACATGTGAGTTTCTATATCATGATGTTGCTCGTTTTATTCAAATTTGGGCAGCTTCTTGACCGCGATAATTCTAGTTATCTTCTTCATTGGGTTTGCCATCGGAGTCTTTGAGTTTGCGCGTTTGGGAGGAATCGCAGCAATTGGGCTGGCAGGTGGTGCTGCTTTTGGCATTCGCGTCGTTCTCCTTCGACCAGGATTGCTCATTTCTTCGACGCAACTCTACGCGCTGAACTGGGCCATCATTGGCGTGTGTGCGATCGGAGGAGGCTTGGCCCTCATCTGGTTCCAGCGTTACGCACTCGTGCGTGTTTTTCTTACCTTAGCCAACCGTTTATCTGAGATTTGAACAGCTCTTCGGTTGTGCTTCGATTGGGACCTTTCTAACTGGACTGGGGGTCGATTTCTTCTTGGAGAAACAAACGGGTCTGAGCCTTGGCTTGCGATTCCTTCTCGACCGCAACGACTCTCACGTAGTGGTGAGTGGGATTTTTGGCTCCACAGACAGCTGACGGAGGGTCTAGTTCTTCCTCAACCATCCATATACTGCCCCGCTACGCACCCGCATCATTCTCATCGCATCATTGGCCCTAATGTGTGTTGCCCTTTTCCAGCTCAAACGAGAGCTAATCCGTCGCAGCCCCATCCTCGCAGTCATTCAGCACCGCGTTTTCAAGGACCCATTCACCCGCCGACCAATCGAGTCGGACGACGCCCTTGCAATCAACTTCCCCACTGACGGTGTCGCGCCGGAGACAAAACGCGCTACGTTTTTTGTGACGCTGTGGGACGGTGCGAGGCGAGACCCAGAGAAGGTCAATCGATTCAGTGTCTGAGCAAACTTTCACGAAATCCGCCTGCTGGCGAACGAATACCACATTTGCATTTTCCTTTGTCCTTAGCTTTGTACATACCATCGTTTTATACGAGCAGAGATACCATACCAATTGTAGAGCTGTAAACGCATGTACATTGTCTCCTACCTTGGAGAACAACAAGGACATTTTTGGAATAATTTTCTGGTAGACGGGCAGTTTGATTCAAAAGTTGATCGCCTGATCTCTTGTTTCCAACCATTGTTGCTTGAATGTCGATCGATGCGCGCAACGTTCATGACTGCGTACTTCTCCCTCGACTTGATGATATGCGCTCTAAACTCGAGGCGGACACACAATGAGACCACGCGGCAGGCAAAGAAGCTTAGGCTCGAAGAAGCACGATACTTTGTTGGGCCTCTTATGGATATGTAAGGTCCTCCCTTCTTGCTTCCACGACCACCATGAAGCGTGGTTTTCTCAAGTCATCCACACCGAAAATTGAAGCTCCCAAGGGTCCTAAAAAGACGGCGAACACAGAATCAGAGCCCCAGCCGTTGGTCCGAGCGCCGTATGGTAAAGTAGATAAGACAGGTTTGAATCGGTTTTCGCTATGGTCCGCTGCTTATCATCGTTCAGTTTACGTCCCGAAAGGATTTGAGGCCAAGCTGGCGCTGGGAGAGATTGTGCGGGGGAAAGACAACGTTGATGATCCTCGTCGACCGAATTACATCTGGACCACGATGCCCCCTAACACGGCTGGCCCTACAACGGAATGTCTCTTTGTTCCAGGCACAAAAGAGCTGTTCCTCAAGATACAAGGGTTCCCCAAACCGCTTCCTACGCCTCCCGCCAGCCCAGCTTTCCGAGTCGCGCCGTCCCCTGGCAAAGGGCTGGGTTTATTCAGCACTCGAGCATTCAAGCAAGGCGATATGATACTCTGTGAAAGGCCACTGCTCTTTACGCCCGCCGGCATCCCTGTCCATACCCCAGCAAGCTTTTCTCAGGCGCAGTTTATTCAGCATTCCCTCAACGAACTCGAGCGTTTTTGCGAAGTTGCCGTGCGTCGTATGGAAGCAGGGCGCCGCGAGGCATTTGAGAACCTTCACAATAGCCATACTGATGATGGTTCGGGTCCGATTCTTGGCAGGTGGGGGTTTTCCGACTATATATTTTCCTTCTTCTGACGGTGTTCAACTTGAAGGATCCGCACTAATGGTATTGGTATCGGACGACTACAGCCCACCGTACAAACTGCGGCAGGAATGTATTCCGCGATCTCTGACATGATCTCGCGACTCAATCACAGGTTGGTGCAGTCCATTCGTTTCCATGTTGTTCAACTTCAAGTTCCCAATCCGTTGTTCGCCAAACTCTCAGCCAAAATTCGACCGCGCATCGTTTTCCCTTAAACTCTATGCTGTCCGCGACATCGCAGCCGGGGAGGAGCTCACGTTCCAATACATCATCACAACGGCCAGCAAAGACCAACGCAACGAAGGTCTGAAACCCTATGGTTTTGTCTGTGATTGCCCAACTTGCACGACCGCCTCGCCACAAAGCGACACTCGTCGCGAAGCCATCGCCAAATACATACCCTTCGTTGGGAGCTGGGTCAGAAAGCGCGAGCTACCAGACGACTGGCTCATCAAGAAGTCGACCGTCCTGCTCAGTTTGATCGAACAAGAGCAGCTACAACATGTCGACCATTATTATCTGGCCGCAGACGCGATATTTGAGTCGTATATTTGTCTCGGAGATGCACGGAAAGCAAGTGAGTGGGCGGCGCGGATCAAACAGTGCCCGTGGTCGGAGTTTAACGGGTACTCCGACGAGACACTGGATGCTTTGATGGATCCCAACAGCCCGGAGTACAGAAAACATCGGCTTTGGCGCGCGCGCGGTTAACTAGGCATCTTATTTCTTGTACAAAAAACCAACTCAAGACCCAGAAATGAAAGTGCTACCAGTACACCATTGAATCTAGACAAGCTCCTCTGAGTCCCACAGCTTCCTCACCCCACTGTCCTCGAGTCGGTCACGATGCACATGCGTCTTGGTTTCGACTTGGACATGGAACATCTCGTGGTCCTCCATTCGGGAGCCGGCGTGACTCTGTTTTGCGATCAGCTCTGCAGATTGGATATGACAAGTATGGGACTCACGAATTGCGGCGCCGAGGCTGGAAGCGTTATGTTTGGTATCTCTCTCAAAGCAGCGCGAGAATTAAGACTGCATTGATCTCTCTGAGTCACAAGTCTCCAGCACATATACTGAAACACACCTGGCCAAAAGGGAGTTGGAAAAGACTAGTTTCTACGTGAGCTTCAAGTTGCGAACTTGGGAGGAATTCGACGTACGGCGCGACTTGATGATAAACACCGCCAGCCAGATGACTATGTGCTTTGTTAGCCTCTTCAGCGCAGAGCAAGACGAAATTCTGACAAGATTTTTGCATTGTTTCATACTGCAGAGGTCGTCAAGAGGGAATTTCTGCACAAGGAATTCGCTTACAAATATCAGGATGAGAACGCTGCATAAACTAGAAAAGCGGTCAGCTGGCAGCAGCAAGATGGGACCCGCTTATACCTAGTCGCCACGCCGGTCTCTGTTTCATTGCACTGAGAACTTGGAGGACAGGGGATTGCAAGCTCACCGATGGTCCATGTGATCACCTGGTCTATAATAGCGGAGGTGCTGGATACGTTGATGAGCACAGACTTGGTAGTAAACTTGAGATTACGTTGCAGTTCCGCGACGACGATTGCCGGCCAGGAGGATTACCAATGCCGCCGAGATGCTTAGATCGGTAACGACACTGAGGATTGCACTGGCGAGGATGTCCCAGCCCCACTCTTCTTCCGCGTGTGCCCACGTCCCTAGTTTGAAGCTGGCGATGGTGAACGCGGTTGTGCCCATGAAGTAGATAAAGGGAAGGACAGCAAGGATGGCGGGGACATAGACCCTCTTCGACAGTTGGTGAATGCGGTAGATGAAGAACAGTTCAACTGAGTTCTGTTTAGCTGCGTGGAAGGGTGCAGAACGATGTCGGCCTACCGAGGGTGGTAATGGCCCCAGTAAGGATAAACGAGACGAGGAGAGGAGGCAGCGCGCTCTGCAGAGCATGTTTCTTGTCTCCGTAGTCTGTTATAGTGTAGAAATACACCACATAGCCAACAAGACCAGTTTGTGTGGCTTCTAAGATCCTGGTCCAAATTATTGACTTCGTTCGTTACATCGGCATCCGGCTACGTACCAGACGAAAGCAACCTGTTGGAGTGAGTTTCACATCCTTTTTGAGAGCGGACGTACTCACCATTAAGCGAATCCATGGCGCATCTTCCGGGAACCGGGTGTAGTAAATGTACACCTGTGTCGTAGTGATGCCGAAAAGTAAGTAAGACAAAAGAGTGCCGATTTGAAGTGCGCCTAGTTGGTCATTACTCGCTGGAGCATCTCAAAGTCCGAGATTTTGGACTGACCCAGTGTGTTGTTGATGACGCTTTGGGGCGGAAGCGTAACGAGGTCCATGGTGCCGCAGTTGAAATGTCGAAAGGCCAAGTAACCCAGTTAAATACTTTAGGCAACTGTTCCCTTGCACATCTGCCAGCGCAAAGAATCGCCATCGGCTCTTCCGACTCGTCGACCATGAAAAAATGTGAAGGCCGTGGAGACCTCGCATTCATTCAAACTTGGGCTAAGTTTGGAAGTGATCGGCTAGCGCGACGTAAGATGGCTTCGGTACGAATACTCTCCGTAAATAAATGGTTTACTGGTGGGACTGGTGTTAGACAAGTTTACGAGCTGGGTAAGCTTGTAGAGCATACCGCACGCCCTTAGCATGACACAGTTCATATTTTGAAGCTCATATCTGCGCCAGCACTTGCTTGAACTTGTACCAGTGGCCTTTAAACCTCGCTGGTCACCACTCTCCTTGCGACTCTCACACGACTGACCGGGTTGTCCTGTTGCTCCTCGGGCGGCAAAGCTTGGCGATAGCGTTCCTATGGAGGGAAGCTTCAGATGCATGGCGGCGTGGAACCGACATCCATGGAAGTCTATGACCGAAGTCCGAGCGTCACTGGGATCAAGAGGTGATCAGAAGAACGTCATACAATGAATGGCGGTCAATGCCAGCCACAACGTTGATTGGTAGCAAAGTGGAGGCGGATGAGCGACGAGCCCAGAAAGTGTTGATGAATACTGGTCTTCCGCGAAAATTTTTTCCATGTAGGGAGCGACGATGCACAAGAAGTTCGGGCGTTGCGTGATTCTGGAGCTTGACCGGAAAGAATATACGAGGGCACAATTGGTTGTCGGCGGTTGGGTGCAACGTTCACATGCTGTGACAAATTAACGTGCACTGTGACCACCTCCATCACTAACTAGTCGCATCCATCCAGGATCATCCTAGGCCTGTGGTCAACGCTCCACAGTAAAATCCACCGCTTCGCTTACTATACAAGTCCTATCTGCAAGCTTCCTACGACAGCTGTAATTGTTTTAATTGATACTGTCTGCGTCTTCTTTCACTCCACGACGCGACTTTTGGCTCTAAAATCTCGAAGCTGCTGCCGCTTACTCAGAGAATAACACCCTTTAAATTACTGGACACTGTCCGCCAATCCCTCCGGAGTCCATACCAGGTTGTTCCCCTCAACTGTAGACACTAAGTACTAACTTTGCGTATAGGCAGCCAACTTGAAGAGATGGCAAGCGAGAATATTCCCGATGGTTGGGGCAAAGTCGTCCTCATCTCACTCCGCACTTCCAGCCAAGAAATAGTTAACTCCAAGCCAAATATTCAGTGATCACGAAGTAACGCGCCCACGTGATATACTCCACACGTATCGTCATTGGTGCCGACTCCAAGCTACGCAATCTATGATGTATTTGCATCCGCAGAGGGTATATAAGGGACAAAGCGAGCGCCCACAGACAACAAACACACTCACATCCTCTGATAACATGTCTTCTGATAACTCCACCTACAAGTCAGTCCCATTCACCCCCACATCGCGTTCTCATACTAACTTTCATCGCAGCAAGACCACTGGTCAATACCACTCGACCAAGGGTAACGTCGTTGAGGCGATTGGCAATGTCACGGGTCTTGAATCATGGCAGAAGTCTGGCAAGGCATGTTACCTCTAGCCGGCTCAGATTTCTTCTTGTTTTAACACACCCGCAGGAGGAGCACGCCGCCGGTGAAGCCGAGTATAAAGCTGCCCAAGCCCATGAATACGTAGAAGGTGCCACCGACCGTATGCACGGCAAGGGCGAGGCCGTTTGGGGAGCCGTGACTGGCGACAAGACGCAGCAGGCCAAGGGAAACCTCCGGCATGATAAGGGTGAAGCCCAACAAGAAATAAACAAACCCTGAGCATGACACACATAAATAATAGCACATTGTATTAACTTGACGATAATGTATTACTAGTGAGTAGCTAATGGTTGCAAGATCTTGCACCTATTGGATCTATAAAAGGCTTTTAAGGTCAAAGGCCGAGGGACAAATCTTCAGAAGCTGAGCCAGAGAATTTGTCCGACGGGCGCACTGTATTTACCCTTTTGATGAAATCTTAGCCCACTTCATTGTTTGCGAAAAGAACAATCAAGAGCTGAGCTCATATTAAACAACGGAGCATAAGCAATTAATCCAAGAGGTAAATGTTTTGTAGAGGCCAAATAAACGGCGCCTCCGAGTCCTGTTTGGCAATGGAAGTTAGCGTGGTTGCCTGTGTTGTGGATCAGTGCTTGCTGTTCTGCAAGTTGTCATGGATCCGAGACACTTGAATCCTGCGATAGCATGGGGACCGTGTAAGCGCCCGACATCAAAAACTCGTTCACGCGCTTCAAAGTTGCACGCGATGGATTCGCCTCGGGCCTGCTCGCGACGATCCACTCTAGCCGCGTTCGGAGAGCGGCCTTGGTGACTGTATTGTCCGAGGCCAGCTTTCCCGCGTCGTCAAATAGCAGACCCAGTGTCACCAACGCCAATCCAACGCTGACATCTCTGCCATCGTCGCATACGAAGCAGACCCGACGGCCCAGCCGCAGGTGGTGGGTAGCAAAAGAGGTCGAGCGAGGGAGGAGAGAGGGCAGGACGGAATCGGAGCGTGATTTTCTGGTGTTGCAGGTGATTGGGAGGTACAGGACTCGCGGAAGCGGCTGTTCTGCACGGTCGACACCGACAACAACGTAGGCGACGTCTTCTTCGAAAACATTGATATCTGCAGCTGCTGCAAGCAGTAGAAGTGACCCAGCATGTTGGATTGGTGTGGGTCCGTGGAAGATGCCGGGCGAGGGCTTGTGGCCGGAAACGAGTCGCGCGACTAACGATGGCAGGTCTGCACGCTCGGCACCCAAAAGCGCTGTCCGATGTTGCCAAAAAAGCTCTGGGGTCAAGCCCTAAGATTTGTCTGAGGCCATTCCAGTTCAACAATAAGACACACCATTCCCCAGAGTTCGTGGTCGTCTCCGGCACCTTGAATATATGAAAAGCCATGCGCCCGTCTCCCTATAGACCCTTCAGCGCTTGCACTGGCACATATTATCGGTATGCAATCTTGCGGGGGGTGTGGAAACGCGGAATGGGCTGGCGTGACCCAGATCGGACGAAGTGGTCGAGGAAGGTCAGGTAGCGAGTAAGAGGAGCAAGCTAGTTCTCGTGCCCACTCGTCTAGTCGTGAAGTGATTTGGGCGGCCTCTTGTGTGGGAATTGAGGGCGGAGTGTGCAGGGAGGTATCCCAGCTCGATGAGCCTGGAGCTGAACGGCGGATAAGCAGAGCACGGTTGAGCACGGCACACCAAATCGGCACGGTCTTGGACAATGCATCAGGGAAGCGCTTTCCTGCTCTTGTCGAGTCAACGAGAATCAATCTAATCATCGGCCAATGAGAGACAAATCCAGCCGTCTCACGCACCCTTTGCCTCCATTCTCTGCGGCAACAGGCAGAAGGTGGAGATTTGGACGTCTCAGACTGAATCGCCACGCGTTATAGTGCCCATCGGTGGACTTGAAGTAGCCGCCCTTCACTTCGCCAGTTGCCTTTGATGACAAGTTTGGTCGATGCTAATGTAGATTCAAAAAGAGGCATTCGCACTCTGATGTCTGGGTCCGTATACCACGCGCCGCAGCGAAGGTTTGCTGCAAGAGTTAGAAATTAGAACATTCCGACCAGAGCAAAACCAACGCAAAATGGGGATGTCGCAGTAAGCTTTGTGCATGTCGTTAACAAACGATATGTCCAGTTCTATAGATTTCAGGCGGTTGTATAAGTCAAGCGATTCTTTGCGGAGTTGCTTCAATGCTTCTCGGTCGTCGGACTCATGGTTGAACATGGCCAAGAGTGGAGATCAGATTTGCGGCATCAGAATTTGGTGGTGACGAAAAATAACTCTGCGTGGGTCAGTCTTCCAAAACCTAGCTTCAGGTTGTTTAGTGAACTCTTTGAGACATAAGAATGCATGTATGGCCTAATTCATGGCCACCATTCAGCGACGACAAAAGATTTGATCTGTAACGTGTCACTCCAGTTCTTTCTCTCTCTCTTAGTTCGAGGATGCTACCGTGGACCCTGCTTGGGGTCCTGTCGGTCCTCGCAACGCTCCCGAGCGCGTTAGCAGTCAAGGCACACGACTTCAAGACATGCTCGCAGGCGGGATTTTGTCGCCGTGGTCGGGCTCTTTTCGCTCGCGCTGCTGAATCCAAATCTTGGAAGTCCCCTTACTCAGTCGACATCCCCTCCATTTCCATTTCGCCTAGTCAAGCGGTTTTTACTGCTGGAGTCAAGTCGTCTCTCTACCCCGACATCCAATTCAGCCTCGAGCTACGTGTCCACGATGATGGAGTTGTGCGCGTTAGAATGGATGAGATCAATGGCCTGAGGAAGCGATACGACGAGGCGGCTTCGTGGGCACTCATTGCAGAGCCAACAGTCAGTCAAGACATAAAATGGGTCGCTGGGAAAAAGGATATTCGCGCCAAGTATGACAACAACGAACTGGTCGTTGTGTTCGAACCATTGAAGGTGTCTTTACTCCGCAGTGGAAAAGAGCAGGTCGTGTTGAATGGCAATGGCTTATTGCACATGGAACATTTCAGGTCCAAAAACCCAGCGCCGACTGGAACTGAGGAGGCAGATCCAGAGGTTGAAGAAGGTGCAGAGGATGGTGAAGAGAAGGCCCAAGTCCTCCTCCAAGCCAAGGAGGAGGAGCCTGTCAACCCGCGCGCGTGGTTTGAGGGTGACAAACAAGATGACTGGTGGGAAGAGAGTTTCTCGTCGTGGACTGACACAAAACCCAAAGGTGTGTGGTGGTTCTACTACTTTCAATGTTTTTTGAACTTTTCCAAGGGCCTGAGTCTTTATCCATCGACATTTCCTTCCCAAATCACGCCACTATCTACGGTATTCCCCAGCATGCAACCACTCTCGCACTGCCTACCACTACTGGTGCCTCACCGACATTCACAGAGCCTTTCCGGCTGTGGAATTCAGATGTCTTTGAATATATCGCCTCGTCTCCAATGTCGCTATACGGCTCTATCCCCGTCTTGCACGCTCATTCTGCAGACTCTACCGTTGGCATCTTCCATGCTGTCGGCTCAGAGACATGGATTGACGTCTCCCACCCAACCGACAAGTCAACTCAGACCCATTGGATTTCCGAGTCCGGTATCTTGGACATTTTTTTGATGCCTGGCCCAACTCCAGACGAAATCTTCGGCCAATATACTCGCCTCACAGGAACTCCGGTTCTGCCTCCGCATTGGAGTCTTGGATATCACCAGTGTCGCTGGAACTACATCAGCACGGAGGATGTCAGGACAGTGCAGAAGCGCTTCGACGAGGAAGACATGCCTGTTGATGTCTTCTGGCTCGATATTGAGTACTCCGACGAGCACAAATATTTCATGTGGGAGGAAAAGAGTTTCCCCGACCCCGTAGAGATGACCAACGACGTTGCTGCTATTGAGCGCAAGGTTAGTGACTATCGCCAAACATTCAAACATTTTATTGATTTCCCTTTTCTAGATGGTGGTTATCATTGACCCTCACTTGAAGCGCACTTCCACATATCCCGTCTACCAAGAGGCTTCAAACAGGAACCTACTTGTCAAGCCTCCCAGCGGTGATGGCGAATACGAAGGCTGGTGCTGGTCTGGGAGCAGTTCATGGATCGACTTCTTCAACCCCAACGCTTGGGCTTGGTGGAAAGATCTTTTCAAGACCACATCCCTTCCAAGCGGCAGCTGGAGTTGGACAAAGAGTACTACAGATATTCATATCTGGAACGATATGAACGAGCCATCGGTATTCAACGGGCCGGAGATTTCCATGCCGCGAGACAACGTGCATTACAATGGCTGGGAACACCGCGATGTCCACAACATTAACGGGATGCTCTTCGTATGCCTTCTCTTCCTGCTCAATAGGGTTCATTTATCAATTGAGCTATTTTCAGTCAAACCATACTTGGCAAGCGGTTCATGAGCGGACCGACCCTCCGACCCGGCCATTTGTCTTAACGCGATCGTTTTTCGCGGGCTCTCAACGCTTTGGCGCGATGTGGACTGGTGACAATCTGGGTACATGGGAGCATATGGCGGTTGGAATCAAGATGGTGCTTGCGAATGGTATTGCTGGATTGAGTTTTGCGGGATGTGAGTATGCGACTTTTGTTTTGCATCATGGACTCATACCTGTTGACAGCTGATGTTGGAGGATTCTTCGGAAATCCCGAGCCAGACATGCTCGTGCGGTGGTACCAAGTCGGAATCTTCAATCCCTTCTTCCGAGCTCACGCTCACATCGACACGAAACGACGGGAGCCGTTCTTGCTTGATGAACCATACAAGGGCATGGTTAAAGATCTTCTGCGGCTACGGTATACGATGTTGCCTGTGTGGTATACCGCATTTAGAGAAACGAGTGTTACCGGTGTCCCGGTCCTCCGGTGAGTCTTCCCGCCCCCTCTTTTTCGTTGTCTGATTGCTCGTCAGACCACACTATGTTGTTTTCCCCAAGGACCCGAAGGGTTTCGCGATTGATGACCAATATTACATTGGCTCTTCCGGAATATTAGTCAAACCCATCACAGAGAACGACGTGACCCAAACAACGGTGTACCTTGCGGAAGATCAAGTCTACTACGACTATTTCTCGCATCATGTCTACCGTGGCGCTGCGAAGGGCAAGGAAATCACGGTCAAGGCTGAGCTCCATGAGGTGCCCGTGTTCATTCGTGGCGGGTCTGTTGTTCCGACCCGAGAGCGTCCACGGCGTTCATCTCCACTGATGAAGAACGACCCATTCACATTACGGGTCGCACTGAGCAAGTCGGGGAGTGCCTCGGGAGAGCTGTATCTCGATGATGGGGTCAGCTACTCGCATGAGAAGGGCGAGTTTGTTTGGCGGAAGTTCGACGCAGTTACGGAGAAGAAGGTCGTTCGCATCTCGTCAAAAGATTTGGGTGGGGAGCGGAAAGATAGGGCGGTTGATGGGGTGGCGTTGGCCACGTATCAAGTCGGAAATGGGTTTGCGAAGACGATTGGGCAGGTGAGGGTGGAGAAAGTTGTCGTGCTTGGGTTGAGCGGAAAGCCGACGGGTGTGAAAGTGGAGGGTAAAGAGTTAGTGTGGGAGTTTACTACCGGTGTTGCTTCGGGTGGAAAAGGTGAGGGCGTTGCGAGTGTGCTGAGCATCAAGGACCCGCGGGTGCTTGTCGTAGATGACTGGGACATTACAATCCAGCTATAAAATATTTTATTTGCGAGCAAGAGACGTTCACGAACAGGAGTCACGCGTGTGACCAACTCTCTTTCCACCCCGGCGTAGTCGTGGCGGAAACGCCGAAGCCACACCACCCCTTCTCCTCATTGTACTACTACACTCATTCGACTGTAACCCAACTCTGTCGGCCGGCAGGCGCGGTGGCTTGTGTAATTTGTTCGCTACCTCGCATTGCCTCGAGAAGCTGACTCACAATTGTTCTTTGCTCTAGCCTTGAGCAGCACCCATTCAAAGTCACCGCTCCATGCCGTTGCCGAAGACGACGACCTCCACCGACAATGACGATGGCTGGCAGAAGGTTTCAGGCGACTGGTGGCGAATCAAATACTCTGCGGTGTCGTGGACGTATTCACCAGAAGCCGGCGAGGAAGTCATTCCCATTCCCAAGCCCCGTTTCAGCAACGGGCTGTTTCTCTCGCAGCCTGTTGAGGAGAAGGGGCTCGAGGGAGACGATGAAGACAGCCAGAAGCTGAATGACCATCTGGTCGGCCTTAAAGGCGCGCTTGACGCACTTGAGCCGTACGAGATTGGCGTGGGGTTCTACTGGCCCGAGTCACCTCTAAACCGGGAACCGGAGAGTGAGATTGGGCCGGATAAAGCAAGGGTAGGGGGCCACGTTGTTGATGCGAAGGAGCAATGGGACGAGCTCGTCCAGGGCTTGACTGGTGGTCTGACCATCACCACCGCTGGGCAACACGAAATCGATTCGGATGATGAGTCGGCCTTGAGTGTCCACCGAAGTACATCTACCCACTCGAGTATGGATCTCACCGACTCTGATCGCTCTGTTTCGTCAATTCCTATGCCTTCCACTCCACGCGCAAGGAGAAACTACCCCAGCATCCAGGTCAAAACCGACTCGTCACCCAGCAGGAACTCTGATCGTTCCAGGCTCAATGCGGCTGCGAGCATATTTGTGCCTAGTCCTCCTAAGCCCAAACTTCCCCCCAGAGTGGAGCCGATCTCGTTCCCGACATTGAACAAATCATCTACTCCTCCCTTCAATGCCACATTTGTCTTCCCATCCCTCGATGTCCAAGTTCCGCCTGTCCCATCCGTTAAGATCACCAAGGATGAGCAAGGCTTCTATAGCGAGGCTGAGGCCCAGTCAACAACGGTTGTTCCCTCATTTTTGCAAGGCGCTTTTACTCCCAAGCAACGACGCACACCTTCGTCCAAGACTAGGGCCATAGTCGACAAGCTCAAATCGAGTGTTTCCCAGCAACAAGAACATGTATCACGGCCTCCCCAGATTCAACTCTCGTCGTTGGAGAAGCCCCGCTTATCGACTTCTGAACATGGTGGGGATGTTCATACACCACCTGCTGAAGAAGACTCAGAAGGCTGGATTGGGGGCGATGATGTTACTAAACCCACTCCGGGCAATCCCAAGACCAGACGGACCCGAGAACTCTTCCTTGCTCTCACTCGACGGCGCAGTAACTCCTCGCCAACGAAACCAACTTTAGTCGCTGACCCGCCTCTCAACGGTGACGAGAAATCTGCTCCTGTTACTGTTGCCATCCAACTTCCATCGCCTGCCTCGACTTCTTCATTAAACTCGAGTGACAATGATGGCTGGTTAGAGGGGTCTTCTACACCTGCGGTGGTTCACAAACCTCGCCCTCCAAAGAAAGCCAAACGGCCTTCCGCTTCCGGAATTGTACCTGGAGGAGTACAAGGTGCCAACGGTTTTATTCGGCCGAATCATCATCCACCAGCTTACTTCTACCCGCCCGCACAACCTGTCGCTGTGCCCGTCCCATATGCTGCCGCGTATATGCACCAGATGCAATTCCTGCAGATGCAACAGATGCAACAACATATGCGACGAATTTCCGCGCCGGTCGCTGTAGGTCGCTCGTCACGTGGGGCCAGCGTCGATTGGTCAGCCGCTAACCAGTTTGCGGTTCCAATCCCTGCCTATCCCATCCCAGTTGCCGTCCCCGTTCCACTGCACCATCCGCCACCCGTATACGTCCCACGCGCCTCTTGATAAAGGGCCGCGCGTCCTCATGATCCTCCTCTTTTTATGCTGCCGCTTTGCTTTCCTGCTCCTCGTCATAATATTTTTGGACTCGCCCTCGTAAAAGATAACGCACACACACAACCACCGACATGACAAACATATGGATTGTATCATCACCATTTTCCCCCTGTTTTTTTTCTTCTTTATCCGCTGCTGCCTGCTTAGTTATTCTCTACTCCCGATTCACGTTTGTTTCTTGGTTTATTTGCCATTATGATTCAGACTGGCTGGCGTGGCCTTTAAATTTTTGGTTCTATTGCCTGTACGGGTGTTGTGTTATCGTGTTTCTGTTGCTTGGGTTGTGGGATTCATATACAGATACTGGAACCCCCATTTAGCTGTTAAAACCTGAAAGCAAAACTTGACGGGAAAATCAGGGCTTCGTCCTGATTTAGCAGTCAACGCCCGACGCTTAAAATGGAAATTATTATGTAAGCTTTGTTGACCCGCATTAAGAAAAGGTCTGGGTGCAAAAGCAGCCGATAAAAAAAGGTGAACTGTCGATTGTTGTGTGATATAATGCTGTACTGTTACAAGATGATAGCAATACAAGTTAATTTTCCGCCGCAGAGGTGGCCTCCCGGCTTCGACGTTTAATTGGCCTCAAAAACAGTAACAGATGTCGATTCATCTTCGTCTTCACTGGAGGGCTCGACGACCGTGTTCGTTTCGGAGTCAAAGCTCCAATCTGAGTCCGTGCCACGCTCGTTGTCCGTGACATTGGATTGCTCGTGACGGACACCAGTGACTTCTGGTTCCACAACATCCAAAGTATTCATGGAGAGCGTAACATCTTCAGTCGAGGAGCCGGTTTGGATGCTCATGGCCTTGCCACCCTGTTAGAGTGGGTCAAGACAACGACAACAGGTAGAGGAAAAAAAACTCACAGTGGTGGCACGCTTGGTGGGATCGTAGCGTTGGGCATCCATGGCTGCGCAACGGGACTCGAGGAGTTCGCGGGTAAAAAGCATGGTGGTGAGTGGTTGTGTTCGGGATGGTGTGGTTGGAGAGTACTAGGGTGGGTCTGAGCCTCTGCGACCCTTTGCGCTTTTATATCACTGCAGCAGACCGGAGCGCTTGGATCGGAGGACATGGCGCGCATTGGATGGCGCTTTGACGCTACGTGGGCAAAGGCTTTGTCGCCACGCTTTGTTTGGGTGGGGAAAGCTAGAAGTATATAACAGTACGGCGAGTTTGGGACGAACCAGACACCCTCATCTTGCTTACCCGACCCCTGCTATCCATGGTGAGAGCTTTGTTGATGTGCAACGAGTGAGCTCATTTTCTTTCTTTCAGGCCCAACCATCCCACAGAGAGCGCCGCAAGCTCAAGAGACGATATGTTGTGCACCAGGGCCACATACATGGGAAGTTTGAAGAACACCCGCCGCTTGAAGCGGAGTCCTTGGAAGAACTACTTGAAGCCCCCAGAATGGTCACAGGTATCAAGATGTTAAGCCTGGAGAAAGCCAGGTTCTGCTGGGGTATTCGCCAGAAAGATGCGCGGCTGCTGATGGTCCATTTTGTGCCCGAAAAAGAGGCCCGAACTTGATTTTTACTCGCTATTATTTGTGTAGTTTCAAACTTGTGGACGGAGAGAACAAAAAGTTGTGTGACGTGTGACAGATATCACTTTCTCGCGTTTTTCATGAACGAGTTAAAAAGTGTCTATCGACTGTTCCTGCGGACGTGCAGCGTGTCTGTCTTGCACCATACGCCTAGTACAAGAGTCTTGCGTAAGCTTTGGAGATCAAAATTTGACGACGCCGCTCGAGTTACAACGCAACTGTTACACCCGTCGACTTCTAAACTAGAGCGGAATGAACTTGAATCGTGGCTCCAAAGCTGGCATTTACGCGGTAAGCCTTGGTTCTTCTCTTCTCGGAAGTCTTCATTTTGTCGCACAGTCGATAACACGCTTGCGTTGCTATATTCTTCCAGCCAGTCCAGGGGCCTCCCCCATAAACTGACCCGAAATCTTCCTTTCATGGTATACAGCGAACAGCGGCGCATAAACCGCAGCAAATATCCTATCTGGCGTGCCAATAGGGAGCCACAAGCTCCAGAGTACACGACCGCCTTCCGAGAAAAGGCCATTCGGCGTCGAGAAACGGACGACAAAGTGCTCGTTGATGCACTCGCTTGGAACGGCTTAGACGACGTCGTCAGAATGGCAGAGGGACGAGGGCACTTGATTTTTGGTTCTGCGAGTTGGGTTAAACGTACCAAATTTCGCACAGCTTGAACGGACTCGACCAATCCAAACATCAAGTTCGAAGTCTGGATTATCATGTGCCTGTAGGTGTTTGACTTTTGCTCCTCTTGCTCAACGTCCAAAATTGACGTTTCACAGGAGGCTCCGTTCATTGCTGTCCTCCTCTCTGGAGGCGTGATCAACTTTCGCAGTCATCTATAAAAATCCCTTGGAGCCATCGCAATCACCATACTTGCCCGTTTTCCCCTCGGCTTAGCTGCGCTTTGCTCGACGTTCACCCCTTTACTTTTCTCAGCTATGAACTCGACTATGCGCATCCAACTACAAGGCATCCATGCGAGCCAGAAGTCCAAGGGCCTTTACAAGGTACAAAAGTTAATTTCTTCCGACACTTGTGTTCATATTCCTTAGCTCAAGGGACACAAATCTCCCCTCCAGGTCCATCTTGGCGCGCCCCTCCAAGTACTGCTGGATAACGACGACTCTGACGCTGATACTCCCTCTCCTTTGACACTCTGCTTTGATATTCCACACTCGACTGCTTCGTCACCACTGCGTGCAACGACGGAATGGAGCGATTCAGACTCGGATTCGGACAGCGAAAGCACTCCTGCAGAAGACGAATCACAAACCATTTCCGTACCGGCGGAAAGTCCTTTTTACACGCCCCACGCGCCGCCCTCTTTCCAGACCAGCTTCAACATCCCCCCACCCCTTCCAGAGAGCCAATTCATTTCAATCCCGGCCGAAAGCCCATTTTATACGCCTTGCGCGCCGCCCACTTTCAAAGAAACGTTCGATGACCTCCCCCCGGTCCACTCGGTACCATTTTCCAAACCAATTGCAGCCTTATTTCAATCGCAACTCGACCAATTCCTCCCCATCGACGTACGGAAGGCACTGTTTCTTGTGGATGAGCAGTTTTTAGGGGACATGGAGGACGATGTTGTCTCGGCACCGTTGGACGCCTTCGCCAATGTCTGCTTGAGGCACCTCCCCCAACCCATTGACCTTGAAGAAACAACCCGGGTCGATGACTCCGTAAGTGTAACCTGAAAATTCTCCTGTTCTGCTTGATTGACACCGTTTGCAGCTTCCGCATTATCACCTGGTGGGCGGGAGTGAAGTTGTCGGTGGATTGGCTCCCGAGCTCCGCTGTCTTTTCTCGAAACCCTCTGCCGTATCTGGACGACCATTATTAGCTGACGCGAAGACCATGTCTTGTGTCACCTCCTTTCTTTGACTTTAAATAGACAGTGGTCTAGCCCAATGATACGCTCGATACCTATAGACATTATCCAATCTTCATACCCACTCTTTCACACCACAGGACAACTTTCTGAATCAGTCACACTACAGTGTGAATCGTATTTTAACTCCATTAGATATACTGGTACATTATGAAGGAAAGCTTATTAGTCCTGCTTGAAAACTTGGCTCTCTATCAAGACGCCCGCGTCATGGAGTCGCTTCGCCAGGACATCGCCGAATGCAGTTGCAGGGGTAAGCACCCCCCCGCGGCGAGCCAGAGCCGGCAGTTCGTCATAATGCAAGGCAATCGACAATGCAGCTTCCGCAACGATGACTGCAACTCGTCAGAGAGAGACACGCGTCGGACGGGCTCGGCTTACAAGAGGTCGTCCAGTACCCCGGATCGCCTTTGCTCTGCATCACCGTCTTAACTGCGAGGCCAGATGCAGCGGTGGAGACGTTCGTCACTTTCATGCGCCCGCTCTTCAGTGTTCTGGAAAAGTAGTGAGCTTGTTGGCCACGGACATGCTCAAGAAGACCTTTCTGATGGGCCATCGCCAGGCTGGGGCAGTATTTGTTTCAGCAGCCACCGTGTCTATATCATTTGTCGTTACAAGCCAGGGAGCTCTAGTTGAAGGACGCACCGGCGGTATGAGGAAGAGACTAAACACCAGAGCCTGAGTCAAAGTCACGAAGAGCCCGAGGAGCCGGCTTCCGGTAACGAAGAACTCGTCGTACTTGAATTGCGGGCCAAAGTGGATGTCTGTCTCGTCGCGTGCTGCCTCTGCCTCCAATAGACCCCATGACCGTTGCTGCAGCGGGCGGTTGGCGGGGCTCATGAAGAAGAAGGCGCCGCTAAGCATCTGTTTTGTGTCGGGCATGCGAACGCGGTAGACGAGGCGGGATGGAGCCTGTGCTACGCCGACCATGGGACTCAGTGCAAATGGGGCACTCGCAGCCTGGAGTTCCGTAGGGTGGATTTGGGGAACTGTGAAAAGCGTGGCGAGAGTGCCGCCAGACATGCTGCCGCGTATGCTATAAGCAGATATCGAGTTGTCGATGTCGACATGGTGGCCGGTGAACTCTTGCAGCTTTCTGGCGGCAATGAAGGGGAGCAGGTCGGCTGGAACGGAGTCGAAGCCACAAGAAGGGACGATAATGGTGCCGTTCTTTGTAGCGGGGTAATGTGAGGTCTTGATTATCTCTTTGATCCATTGGGTTTCGCCGGTGAGGTCGACATCTATAGCCTTTAGGAGCGCTACGATTGGGAGGACGGTGCTTACAATGGACACAATTTCGGAGGCATGTTCTACACCTATAAACACCAATGGCAAACGGAAAGATAGACACGCACTCAACCACCGGACTGCCATACAGCCAGAATGGCCCAACTGTGTTCAGCACAACAGTCGCTGCTGGGATTACTTTCCCCAGTTGCTCGCGGTTTTTGACGTCGACGACCTGGAGACGGATACTGCTGTCCAATCCGAGCTCTTTTACCAGTGAATTGAGGCGGGCCTCAGAACGGCCACCGAGGACAAGGGCAAACGCGTCGCGGTCGCGATGGAAAGCGAGTTGGCGCGTGACCAGCTTTCCTGTGAAACCTGCACACCTAGTTATTTTACGGCTATGAATATATATGACCTGACCTGTTGCTCCCAGAAGGAGGACGACTGGCTTGGACGACATGGAAGAGGAGGGATAAGCCAGGGAGCTATATAACGCGTCATCTTGACCACGCTATAGAAAGTACCAATCTAAGATGGCAATTCATTATGTACCCTCACTGGTAAGCCGGTTGAGGCTGGAAATAGGATATTTGGATGTGGCTCAACAGCCCACATATAGAGGGGGAAGGAAATTTTTAAGTGAAGAAGCTCGCGCACTTGACGGTCGCTTACCAATCGCTTTGTAAGCGAGAGAAAAAGTTATTTTTCATTCTCTAAACGATAGCCTTTTATCGCAAACTTCATCTTGCCCTGCGCATCCAATTGCTTTGCCTCAACAAATTCATCCGGCCCCGGTTTTCGTCGGCCCATTTCATACCAACACACCTCCAGCTCGAACTTCTTAATGCCTCCCTTACCTCCGCGACTTACCCGCGATGTGATAAAGTCGCGACACACCCCCTCGTCGAACTCTAAATGCGAAAAGAAGGTAAATGAATTGAGGTTCGGACAGAGACACCCCTCGTCCGTGGAGTCTTTCCGGGTTAGCCGGTGGAGCACGGTGTTGGTGACTGCAACCACATCGCTTTTGTCAACTACCTTGTGGTCCGAAATGAGGAGGAAGGTGAGCAGGGGGAGGTTTCCGAGTATTTCGAGCATCTGGGGCTCATTGACAACGACCCAACCTAAATTTATACGGGTGAGGTGGGTCTTCAATGACGAGCGTGCGGCAAATGCGACGAATTCGTCGTGTGGCCAAGGCATCGGCACGTATTTCGCATGATAATCGAAGCCCAGAAACGTGACCCGAGGGAGGTTTAGCCGCTGGAATATTTGGCCGAGGACAAAACGTGTCATGACCCCGTCGACTTCCTTCGTATGGGCATAGCCAGTGACTGTGCAGGACTCAAGTTGGGAGGTAATTTCGCCGGTATTGTATCCCGCTGCCGATACGCTAGTGTTCGGTATCATATGGATCATAATGTGCGCTTCCGAAGTCTTGGGGAGCCGGGAGACAACTGGGAGAACATCGTTTAACGCTGCTGGAGGAACTCCCCAGAGCACCAACGACCCCAATTGCTCGAACGGCAAACCGAGGCTGTGGAGATGACCAACAGGACTGCGTAGCTCAAGGGTTCTCAGTCGTGGCACTTCTCTAAAAAACGAAGTGACTTGTGGGGGAATGTCCTTGAACTGTGCGTCGAGATGTAGGTTTTCAAGGTCAGGAAAATCAGGATTTGGTGCATCATAGGAGGCAAAAGCCATCGGCGATTGCGAGAAGAAGGCATTCTTCCATCGTGATGAATGGCGAAGGAGCAAGGCCATTGTTCTTTTCCAGCCATTGCGTGGAGTGCGACCATAAGTATCATGCACGCCTATAGTCAACGGAGTTTGCTGTCCACGTAGTAAGACCTTGTTTAACGGAGATTCTAATCGTGTGTACGCCTCTTCAGGGTCAGCCCAGACAGAAAGGTCCAGATTGACCGCGGACCACAGCGTTGGGGTGCCCATGATGATATTATTCCAACGTTGGCAAACTCTAGAAAGTGTGATCAATGCTTGATTGCCAACCTCCTCCGTTTCTTGTTTGAGAAGGTCTTTCCATGTGGTTAATGCCTCATCTGGGGTCCAAGGAATCCATGGAACTGGAGTAATGAAACATTCGAAGACAGATGTAAGAACTTCAGGCGGAAGACGTCGAATGGGAGCAAGGACGGAGCGACACAGCCCATGATATTCTTGAATAGTTCGTCGCTCGCTCTCCAGTGCATCTAGTGTAGCGCGTGTCTTGCTTATGGCTGCGTCGTATTCAAGCAGCTCTTTCGGCGCGTCAGAAACTATCGCTTGGCAATGAATCGTTTGATCCATCGAAGCAGGAGCGTTGTTCCGAGCTACATCTTGTAGTTCAAGCTTGCGGTCGAGGCGCGAAACAAAGGTTGAATGGAAAACGGGTTTTGCCATAGAATATTCTCTCGACATGCAAGATGAGGCAAGATGGCGTCACTGCTGTCACACAGACACGGTCACGTGCCTGGCGGCTACTTATAGTAGACTGAGTCTTTCTTTTAATTCTCGACCAAGCAGCATGGTTCAGTAATAGATATAACATTGTTCGTGGACTGTTCACCGGAGGGTGGCAAATCCCACCCGCGCTTTACCCTGATCAAACACTAAAGTTGGGAGTTAGTTGAGTATTCGACGGGTATGATCAGAGTCGCACCAGTGTAGAAGTTCTAACGTGTCGATCAGCATATTCCTCGAATGACAGCAGGAATCAACTCACGCGCAGGAAAATATCGCCAAGAACCCAGAATGCTACATACCAGTCAGTGGAGAGGTCGCGATTCTACTTTCATCGACGTACGAATGCCGTCAGAAGAGACGACGCCCCCAACACAATCATTTCCCTGCAACACGCCGAGGTTGAAGATGGCTGGCGCCACATTGAAAATTTGATTCCCAAGCGTGACTCCGACGGTGGGGATGCGGTTGCAAGGTACGGTGAAGAAACCAGGCCCGAGGATCGCAGAAGCATCCTTGGCGCCGGGGATAGCGCTGTACAAAATCTCGACACCTTGTGGGTCACCAATGAGGAGAGTGGTTCCTAGTAACCAAGTTCAGAAAACATCACGACAAAAACCACCAACTAACCGGTATCGACAATGGCAGTGACGCCATTAGCAGTAGCCACCGTTCTGCTGCTGACGTCTAGGGCTTGCAAATTGAGGGCATAGAAGTCCTGTGAAAGACGATTAAGAGGGGATCACGAAAGTTTTGTCAACAGTACCTCTTCGATCAAGGAAACGTTCCGGAAAGCACCAGTAAATAGAGCAGTATTGACACCGCCCAGTCGTAACTCGGAGCCAGAATCTGCGAGCTTGACCCCAAAAGCTGACGGGACTTGACCCTGATTGACCAGCGTTGTGAAAAGAGGGTTGGCACCAAAGACTGAGAGCGCGGGGAAAGCCATGCCAACGAGACCATCAGGAGGGAAATTTGCGGCTTCGAACTCGACAGAATAGTGATTTGAAGCACCTTGACGAGTGATCAAGGACTTCAACAGAAAACATCTTCCGAAGAGACCCACCGACGGCTTGGCCAGTTGCGGTTACACCAGCGACTTTCACAGTGTCGGAAAATACAAATCCAGTGGCGTTTCCGGCACCAAATTGCAGGAAAAATGCTTCAGGAATGTTGAACAAGAGTTGCGGTCCGCGAGAGCAAAAAAACTAACGGTCGGTAGTATTAACAGCAGTCGAGCTAATGGCTAATCAGACTGGAGGACAAGTGGAACTCGCGCAATGCTACCTTTTAGCGGTATTGAAAAGAGTGTGGCCGTCGCAAGTTGAATCACACCCTACAGCTGGCAAGAATGTGTCTGAGCTCCCCGTATCGAAATCGACTGTATTGATAAGCCTCTGGAAATCATGAAGAAAACTGACTGGTACCTGTGAAGGTCTGCGGTGGGGATCCAACAGTGATGGTGCCAAACCAGAGATCCTCTTCAGAATCTGTTAAAGGTTCGGGGACGATGGCTCTTCCCGTCAACGAGGTGATTTTTTCAGGAGCAGGATTGTTGTCCGTTGGTGTGAAGGTGCCTCGGAAGCCTGAAACTGCTGGATGGACACGGCCGGTATTCTTCTCGACAGCTACAAGACCAGCAGCGATCTTACTGAGAAAAGGTCAGCTAAAGGAAGATGATCAAGTCAAAATTACCTTTTGGTCTTCGCAATCTGCATTTTGAAAGCCTCGATATTTTGTAGAACACCATTTCGTTTGCTTTCCGCTAAAATGTCCTTGCGTTTTGAAAGGGGAATCTTGGGCAACGCAGAAGCGTATGCAACGAGATAGAGGACAGATAAGAAGTTGGTTGCCACCATTGCTGAATGAGGACCTCAGCTTGAGCGGCTTCACCCTGGATGAGAGTAGATATATCATCTAGAGTGAGTCCGTTTCCACGAAGATAAGGCTGTATGTCGAATACTGCCCATGGAGAAGCTTCAATGCGAACATTTGGAGGCATGAAACGCGCGGTATTGCGTCATCTGAGCACGTAGAGTGAGGTGTACTGTGGGCATTCGCTGCACGGTAGTTGGGTGTGGGTAGATGAGCAAAGAAGTGAATGGGGCCGGTTCAAGCGGCAACTCTGGAGTGTGGGTGTGACGTTTTTTTGTTTCCCGCCATCATGTTTCCCCCATGTCTCCTACTCTCGCGGCTCAACGCCAGAGGTTGATAACACCACAAACTGGTACCGACATCGTGTTCAAGAGGGAGCAGCCGATTTACAAAGAATCCCTTCGAGCAAAGATTGGTCCAAGCTCAACACCCGTAACAATGAAGGTGAACAAGCAATGGCCGCTACATTTGCATCAACATGACCAGGAATACGACGACGACTATACAGCTTTCTCTTTGACCGGTCAAGCGTTCACTACGCTTTGGATCACATGGTTTAGCCACTGAACAAAGCTCAACCACGTTTCGCGAAGTCCAAGCGCTGCTTATGCACTCGGAATGGCAATTATGCACAAAGCCCCAGCCTCCGTCTACTCCTAGCTCTGATCCAAGCACGACCGGGCTCGAGAATAAATTCAGCCAGTCGGAGAGGTGGCCTTCACTGCTTCCCACTTGCCCATTTCCGACGACCTGTTTGCCACCCTCGTAATCATCCTCTACTCTAATGGCTGCAGTATCTACTCGCGATATCGTTATGAGCGCACAACGCTACGACTTTTCTAAAAAGATGGTGACTCATTCTTCTATTTCCCTCGCTCCAAATTCAACTTTTTCCAAGGTCGGCGGCGAAAAGCTGAGGATCCAAACAGGTGTCTTTGAGGAACCACTTGAACTTTCACTCCCGATTTACCCTGTTCGGGAGCCAACATCGGAGGCTGTCGACTCCTCTGAGTTTTCCGTTGCTACCTCCGATACGGCTTCCGAGAGCAACGAGTCTACCTCTACCCCTCCATCCTCTGTGGAAGATGTCTCGAAACCAGAGGAAATTGACCAAGGAACTTCCTTGGATGATATCGCCTGCCAACTTGATAGTCATAAACTGGAGGAACTCGACCAAGGAACTTTTTTGGACAATATTCCATGCCAAGTTGACTTCGACCGCCGCCCACGCTCTCCATTATCCCTCTTTTCCCGTCCTTCCAGCCCCCTCTCTCGATCAGCATCTCCCCTTCGCCCACGCTCCCCAATTGAAGTCGTCTTCAATGCACTTACACTCAACTGCACTTCTGCCTTTGAGCATGAAGTCGACTACCTACAGGAGAAACGGAAACGAGAAGACTCCGGGGCTGCGAACCTCAAAATCGGAGTAGAGGATGCCACCGAAAGTCATATATCGAGGCTGCCGAGCAGCGAACAGGAAAATGAAAAGAACGGACCCAAGCTGGAACTTGCTCGCCGTTTGTTGCTGGAGTCTGATGCTCGGGTTGTAATTGGGGTCGCCTGAGTTATATATTGAAAGCATAGATATAATGTAGCACATTCCTTTCACTCTGTCGCCCTTTTGGGCTTTGGTCCTTGGAACAAATAATTGATCAAATCATTGATGTCATCTGACATACTTTCGGCAGCATATGACAATTGAAAGGTCTGTTTCCTTCCGCTTTCCATCTCCTCCCCATGGTCCATTTTGTATTCCGGTGGCTCAAGAGTCTATTCTGGAGACTCGGGTAGACCCCCGGCCTCGTGTCGTTCTCTATTAAAGTTCTGGAGCGAGGAAGTTTCCTTCTTGAGCTGGGAGCGTGAGCAAACTGTCAACGACACTCTTCTCCGTTGAGTGTACGGCGCGTGTTGCTCTTTTCCGCATACATTGTTCTTCTTCCTGCATCGGCTCGCCTCTGGACTCACTTGTACTGCCCACCAACACTAACGACTCGCGCTGCACGCTTGGATGCCCCCTAACTTGGAGGTGATTCGGTATCAGACGGTCCTTGAGGTCGATGCGCTATTCAGCTCGAACTGCGAGGAGGTGCGTGGCGCGGTCGATGAACATCGCGGAGGCCACGAATTTTCAGGAACGAGAGATAAACGAGCTTGTCGGCCGGGTAGCTAGCTTTCGCAAAGCCGTGCCTGGCTCTGTTGGCGCTGTGTGGCCAACGACACTGTATGTCCCCTCCGCAAAGATTTACTCGCCAAGTATAACATTCTATGCAGAGACATCAAAGTCATCCAAGGTGTGTCATTCACTCGCTGGATTCCAATATCGTTGACCTGAAAAGGAATGCTGCTCTACCACGAAATGAGTGTTGAAGATGAAAAGGGGCGCTCATTGGCCAAGTATAAGAATCGCAATGCCTTCATATCCAGGTTCATACTCCATGCAACAAATGTGCTTCGAACAAGGTCACAAGTCTCGAGTCGTATCCAACAACTCCGCAACCTCACTCCGGACAATCGCAGTACCTTGTTCTCCTCTCTCTCATCAGCATACTAATTTTCTAGTCCGTGCATTAATAGACGCCAAGTCGCTCAAAGGGATTACGCCATTGCCCGACAAACTGACTGTGTTCGAAAGACCGAACATCGAGAAAGATCTTTTCGATGAAGGCCTCCCCATACATTACCCCACCCTCATTATCTCTGCTTGCGTCTACGCTTTTCAAAGACAGAGGAACGGGCTGCCGCCAGCCTTACATATCGAGTCGACTGCTTCTCAAGCCATCGAAATATGTGAACCAGACTGGCGGCCTTCCACAAGCGGCTTGGGCCTCACTGTCCACATTATCTCTGCGGCCTCGTTATCGACATACTGTCACTACGAGGTGACACAAAAGGGGAAATCCATCAATTCCTTCGAGGGCTCGTTGATACCTCATGGGTTTGCAGAGGAACAACAAGAGAACATGACTCGCAGACGGCGTCGATACCGTGGTTCAGTCATGCCGGAGGGATTGCGAAATCATGACGGTGAGTTGCTAGCTTGGGTTACACACTAAGCTGACTGCTGTTAGTCATTTCTGATTGGGCCGTGCGCCAGTTGGTCTATCCTCCCTTTGCAGATGTCAACGAATGGACCCAACCATTCGCGGAGATCACCTACACCTTTAACTCGTTGATCGGAGAGTTCAAGGCCCAGATGGACATCCATAGCGCTAATCCAGCTATGGTCCCGCCAATGCCGCGGCTGACTATGGATGAGGGTCTACATACCTTTTCTTATCGAAAGCACGTCGCAACAAGAGCAAGCCGTCGTCCAAAATTACCTCGTTCCCCTTCCAAACCTATTGGGGATGGAATGTGGAAGGTGAGTACAAATCGGTTCTTGCAATCGCTTTAACACTAAACTGCGGTTGGAGATCGAGAAATATTCCGTTGCGTCGAGTCATCCACGTAACAATGAAAACCCGGATCATTCTACCCAACGAGAGCCTGGTAATGGGATTTCTCTCCGGCTGCAACACTTCCAGGATACATCGAGTTTTGTCAACCCAGAACAGCGTGCCCTGATGGGCATCCTGAAGCCGGCGAGCATAACCGAGACTTTCAATGAGCTCGATGTCAAGCTTGACATACCCAATGGCCAGTGGGTTGGTAACCCGCCACCTCCTAGTCTGCCAAAATCTTCAACTGCGCCAATCCGTCGACTGGCACTCGCAGATCTGCTTCATGCCGAGCCGGTACGGAGAGAAGTCAGCCCAGAAGTCGCTGAGATACTTAGGCCTAGTTCCTTTTCGCTAACATCGGCTGTTTGGGACAAATGATGCAAGATTAGCACGGACTGGTATTAACAGCTATGTAGTGTTGACTGGTAATGCGAACATTTCCTGAACAAAATCGGCGATCGAATCGGGATGTCTATTAAGGTTCGAGGCGTAGCGGATGGCCTGGCGAACTTGGCCGACACGGATCGAGTCGTCTAGTCCAAGACAGCGACCCTCCGCAAGTGTGAGTGCTTCGGCGCGCGTGCAGAGGGTAAAAAATGCGGGTGCAAGCCATTCCTGAATGTCATATGCACGGGCTATGGCAATGCGTTCGGCTGGGGAGATGGAGCTGGTTAGGGCGGCCAGCTTGGTTATAGCCAGGGTCCGAAGGGAAACAAAATCCCAGCGCGTTGCGAGGGAAAGAACGGAGGTCCATTCAATAGCAGAGTGTGTGTCTCGAGTCAAAAAGTTCCTAAAGATGTTCAGACGATATGCTTATAGCAGGTATAACCACCCACGATGGGTATAAGATGGTAAGAAATCGGTCAAAGTCGAGTTTTTTGACTCCCTCGAGCAGGATAGGGGATTCCGGCGTTTCTCCCTCTGGACGTTGTCCGGCCCCGGGTGGTAGAGTAAACATGCTAGAGAAGATAACAGAGTCGCGGTCAAAAAAATATCGGTGGACACGATATAGTGTGTCTTCCACCTAGGATAGCCCAATGAGGTCAGCCAGACTCGGGCCTAGCAATTACTGGCTAGTGCTTACTTTGAAGATGACATTGCCGTCTCTGAAATAGAACCGCGGATGCTCATAAGGTATTGGTGGATTGAGCATGTCGTCAAGTCGTTATTGAAGCATCAACATGAGATTTGGAAGAAGTTTTGGACAGGGGTCTTTGATCGCCGCTCGATCGCTTATCTAAGAGTCACGCGTGTTCGACTTGACAACAACCTCGAATCTCTTTCAATGTTGGGAATCAGCGCTTGGGAACCTTGTCCAATCCTTGTCATCGGACAATTTTGCTCTTTGAAATGTCCCCGACGGGTCCACGAGGGTAACGCTTTCTTCGAATCAACGTTGCGGGCAAGTCGGCGTCGTCAGTGCCAAGCTCGCAATTCCGCTCGATTTGAGCTGTCGGAGTTTCTCTTGGAGGGCTATTGCAATTGCAGGGTAAACTAGGCTCTGAGTCAGGTATGCCTCTGCATCTCCACGCTTTAGAATCGCTTGTCATCTTCCAACCTGTAGGAATGCGCTAAAATGCTCACTCGGCTTCGTTTCGGCTTTGAACAATTCATCATTCTGCCATGTGTCTCTCCATGCGCCAAGAGTAGTTGTCGATGATCTTCGTGATCATCCCTTTTAAATAAAGATGCTAGCTCTCCTTTCCTTCTTTCCTTCCGTCCCATCCTTTCTTTTCGTTCGTTTCTTAGCTAGTCTAAGCACGATGCTTTCCACGTCCATTTTCTTCGTTCTTCTTACTTCTGTACTTGCCCAAAATAACGACTGGAGCCAAGTAAGTGTTATAACATCCACCAACTCCTTTTCAACCACTTTCCTAGCCATGTCTTGACGGAGAATGCTTCTGGGACCTTCCCGCCTCTGCCAACGCGTCAGGAACGGTCCGCGTCTGGGGCTCAGCGACTGCTCTTTCCGACATCACCAAGGCCGCTGGTTGGACAATCCTCGACTGCAACCCTTCGTTACCCGCTCAGAATATCCGTCTCGTATGCACTGGTGACGACGAGCAATGCTCCCATCTCTTCGAAGGAACTGGTGCCGAAAACACCCTTGTTCGTTTACCAACTTCTGTGAGTATCAGGCCTCTGATTTGGAAGACTGAGCCAACAAAGTCCAGTGTGGATCCACTCCATTCGCACGCGTTGCTCGCTCGTGGGTCCATGCCAACCAAACATTGCCCACCGATGTGGCCAAGAAGATTGAGGCAAAGTTGCGCAAACGACAAGATGAGGAACCTATTTTGGTCCAGGGACTTGCTCTCGACACGCAGTTCGACAAAATCGACCCGGATGCGTGCGTGTCCTCGTGCCGTGGATGCAAATAACTTAGTATTTTCAGTAATGGCGAAGTAAACGTTGCTATTGCTGGCACTACGATTCCTGGCCAAGCCGGTGACCTCACTGTCACTCCTCCGCCTCCCGCGCCAGCTCGTCGCAGCCGCTTCCAACGTCGTGGTCTCTTCTCCTTCATTGAAGACTCCTTCAAAAGTGTGTTACACTGAATCCCCTGCATTCTCTCTGACAATCAGTTAAGAATTCAATAACTTTGACAAGGAGATAACAAAGCAGTTGCCGCGTATGTTTTCGGTTTCTGCTGGTTTCTTGTACTGAGGAGAATTGTAGCTGTTGACTTCGACAAGAGCTTGAATCTTTTCAAAGCCTCCATTTCATGCCCGGACCCTGTAGCTTCCGCCTCCGTTTCCGCGGATGTTAATGGTAAAGCGCACGCGGTTGTTACCCTCGGAATGTCCGCCGTCGGCAAAATTGTGCGTTCCACTGCCAGTGTTAGTCGCTGTAACATTTCTCAATAATAATACATAGGTCCCGCCCCAACTCAACGAGTTTGGTGTCTTTGTTGGTCTTGATGGCAGCGTAACGGGAACTCTCGATTTGAAGGGCAGCGCGACTGGTGCAATCGACAGTGGCCTGATCGATATCTTTTCAGTCGGGCTCCCTGGTCTTGTAAGTTTCGCCCTCTTTTGACTTGACGAATCTCAACCGATTCAAGGATTTCCCTGGCCTCATTACTCTTGGTCCAACCTTCAAGGTGCAAGCCCAGGCCAAAGCTCAACTGGATGCCAATGTCGACGCCAAAATTGTTCTGGCTTACAAAGTCGACAACGCGAAGCTCTTTTTCCCCCGCTCCGACTCGTTGAAATCCGGTGGTAATTTCAACCCAGCTGACAGCCGTACGTGGTGTGCCTCTTGCTCGTATCCTCCTGATTGTGCTTTTAGCACTCAGCCTATCTGTCGCGCCTTCCATTGCTTCGCAAGGTGTCGTCAGCGCTCATCTCATCCCCCGCGTCGATTTGGGTGTCAATGCTCTGGCCGGCATCGCCAAAGCCACCGTTTTCCTCAATCTCGATGCTAGTGCTTCAATGACACTGTCGCTCGATGGCAAAATCAGCGCTGCTGTGAGCAACACCGACGGAAAATCCTCCAGCGGAGATATCAAGGGTTGCATTGATGTGGGCGCTGGGCTAGACGTTAATGCCGGGGCCGAAGGTGGGGCTACCACCAGCTCTGAATCACTTTGTTCTCAATAAGCATTCTAGGCTCATTCTTCAAGATCTTCGACAAGAGCACACAAGTCAACCTGTTCAGCAAGAAGTTCAATCTACTCAACAAGTGTGTTGGTGGTTCATTCCGCAACCGCGCTGTCGAACCATTTGGCCTCGTTCGACGTATCGATTTGGGATGCCCTGCCGCCACGTCGAGCCTTGTCAGTGCTTTGAGTGAGGCCATTCCTGCCGGAAGGTGAATTTCCTCCTACCTTCGGGTTCAGCTCTCTGAATATTTGACAGTATCAAAGCTGTGTGATCACATGCCCTCATTTCGCGAGGGAAGCTCGCGTCCGTTCCTTTTGGAAAGAGTTACAGATTACTAATTTGTTCGTGTACATGCTTTGTTGTAATTGGGACGGAATTCATATCCAAGCCGCATTTTATACCCTGGAAATGACCATTTTGATAGCAAGACTTATAAGCATGGCATTATTGGTAAAGACAGAGTTACTGTAAGAGTGTGTCGACAGAATAAATAAGCGGTACATAGGGCATATGGTATGACAAGAAAGATCCTCCTTAGGATTTGATTCTTCTGACTTGCAATTTGACTTTCTCCGCGTCCCTGACCAACACAAGGACCTTCCCCCCGCCCTCCTCCCAATGATCCAGACGCCGGAGCTTGGGACACCGCCAGGCTAGCACACTCGCCACTTCGTCGTTCTTGCGCACCCGACTGCGGTCCGCCATACTCAAGTTGGTCTCCTTGCCCGCTGAGACCTCATAGAAGAACCGCACGCCGTGGAAGGTGGTCAATTCGGGCAGATTCGCCAGGATCATTGCCCATTCGGTAGCGTTGGCGATTGGGGGCCCGCGTTGTGCACGCTTACCGACGTCCAGCCATACAAGGTTTGGCGCAGCATCAGCGAGTCGGCGGATGTCGTCCATTTCATTCCAGCCAGACAGCTCGATGCGGCGAACACCGGCCCCAAACGTGCGAATGCTTTCTAGGAAACGGGCGTCTGCAGCGCCGCTCGATCCCGCTAATCTCATTCCACTAAGCGCTTCGATGGGGCGGGGGAAATCAGAGGGGCAAGACAACACTGTGGTTGCTATTTCGCGGCTGCAATGGAGTTCTTTCAGATGGGGAAGTGCGTTGTCTGGTAATTCAAGACGATAGGAGGCACCAATGTCGAGTCGCAGGCTGGTCAATTGGGTATGGGCAGAAAGGAAGGCAGTTGGTGCCCCAGCAACGTTGCAGCGGATGTTGGTCAACGCCAACGAAATCAAACGAGGGAACCGGCTGTAAAGCAGTAATTCATCCGCCAATGGGTATGCAGTCGAGGTATTTCGTGGCTGGGAATAATTGACGTCTAAATTCTCGAGGTTTGGGCAATGGGCGAGCAATCCACTGATGCGAGCGAAACCTGGGTTTTTAGAAGATCCAAAAGCGTGTTTAGTAGAGCGGACAGCGACAGTTTTGAGATCATGGAGCTAAAGGTCGTTCAGTAAATGGGACATATGAAGCAGATATTGACCACAACTGCTCGACGCGTCTTGCTTGACTCCTGATCCTCCCCCAAATTAGAGAAGATGAGGTTGTCGTTGATATCGACTTCTGTTAACGTCTGGCATTTCAACAGGGTTGGCCAGATATTGTCTATCGAGATTGGGGAGTGATTGCAGGACCAATGGAAGCTTTTCAAAGCGGTCATCTTGCTCAACGCCTTGATGAGAAACCGCTCCTGCTTCTCGTGCATGCCGAGCTCGTCGTCCGTGGAATCCATATCGGTGTCGGTACCCATGATGTCGCCAGGAATAATCAACTCTGTACTGGCCGCCCGCTCATCCAAGATTTCTAACCGTCTAACATTGCGGGCAAGCGAGCGGTGCACCACCAAATGGTTCCACACGCTCAAGGAGCTGACTTTGCAGCGAACGTGGCGGTAATCATAATGGCGCGGGAAAACGATATCACGCATGCGCTGGCAGGAGAGCGCAAGGGCCAACAAGTCGCGTTTGGAGTCGACGTGGAACGCAATGGCATCGAGGATTTCAGTGGGCTGGCGGGTAATTGTCCGGCGTGAGGTGTCAAGCCCAACGAAGGGCTCGACGATGTTTAGTAGATGAAGCGACAACTTGTGCTCTTCTGGCGTCAAGCGGAATTGACACCCTCCAACGCGTGAAGGGAGGGATCCGAGCAGCTTGAGCAGTGCGTTGAACGCCCTAGATGCTGTTAATGCGACTGATAACGCAGTAAGATATGAGGGCACATAAAAGGGTCTGTCCGGTCATAGGACCCAACATTGGTATCAACCACCTGGGTCGCTTTGGCATGGCCCTGTCTGCCCTTGACCAGAGAGGGCTTGTGGACCGGCGCTTTCAGCGGCTCTGGCCGCAGCGAGATGGAGGGTATCATCAAGAAGGCCTTAGTGCCATCAGTTGTGACAGGGGTCACGGTAGGTAACACTGGGTGACACCACGCGTCAAAATTCAAATACTTGCCAGGAAACGCCATGAGCACCTGGGAAAAATGTGTACATGTTACTCCATCACGATGTGACGATCGCGGTGAATACTTGAATACTTGTCTCTCTGGACACAGTGGACAGACCCCGCGCGACCGCGTCGTAGGCGGATACCAGCAAAGGTGAACAATGCTAGCGAACAGCGGACCGAGCTTACGGCCTCCAATGTGGGTCCATTGTGGGAACCAAGTGCTGTCAATACAATTCCCGAGTTGCCTTTTGCCGGTGAGTAGGCAACCACCACTTGCACCAAAACCCGGGCCATTCACCGGATTGCTTCACCCTGGTAGTAATACAATTATTGCACAGTTATTACGATATCAAGAGTTATCATGCGCCGGTTTGTCGTGCTCAGAAGTTGTTTATGTCTTGCTGAGCCTGGCCCTTATCATGTCGAAGGTTGCCCTTGGCTTGTTGCGTCTTGTCGCCGGTTACGGCGCCCCAAACAGCCTCGCCCTTGCCCTGCACACGGTCGGCCGTGCCTTCAACGTATTCTTGGGCCTGAGCAGCTTTGTACTCGGCTTCACCAGCGGCATGCTCCTCCTACAAACACATCAATAAGAAACAAAAAATATGTTGAAGGGTGAGCTTGCCTTGCCAGACTTTTGCCATGATTCTAGGCCAGTAGCATTGCCAATTGCCTCAACGACGTTGCCCTTGGTCGAGTGGTATTGACCAGTGGTTTTGCTGCAATTGAACGTTAGCAAGGTAGCGCAAAGTGGGGTAGGAAAGACACACTTGTAGGTAGAGTTATCAGAAGACATGTCGGTGGAAGAGGTTTGAGTGGTTTGTTGGATGTGGATGTGTTTGTTATCCGCCTTAGCGCTCTCTGCCCTTATATACCCACTGCAGATGCACCTACATCATACATTGCGTCGTTTGGAGTGGGGCGCCAATGACGAGGCAAGTGGAGTACATCACGTGGGCGCGTTACAATGACGTCAACATGACTAACTTCAACCAGTGAGTTGCTGGCCATTGCGGCAGCGATTCTCCGCAGAGTTTCCGGAGGGGCGGCCCGGCAGTAGCATAAACGACCCAGTACCATTGTCCATCATCTTCATTCCTTCTGGGCCGCAAATTTCGCCCATCAGCTTTAACATCGCACCGATTTCGCCCGTTGGATTTTCGTCGACACGCATGCGCCACAGGCCGTGTTTCGCGTAAGCGGGGCTCTCCGGGTCCAACAGCTCCTGAATTTCATGCCGGTCTTTATACGCCTCCGACCTTTATACGCCTCCGACCAAGATTGGCGGACCACCCGCGCCGCCCATTTGCTCGCATTCTGACTGTCGCCCAAGCAAATGTAGGCCTCCATGATCGCATGGTTAGCGATGCAGTAGACCTCGAGATGCTCCAAGTGTTCTTTTTCGATGAGCTCCAGCAACTCGGTTGATTTGTTGATCAGCCAGTCATCGGGCAATTGGCAATTGGGAGCCCAGGCTGAGAGGGTCGGCACAAAACCGCTGATCGCAGAACGACGCTATCGCTGAGTGTGGTTGGTTCAGTACAAGCAGGACACGTGCAGACGACATCGTAGGGTTTGAGAGCCTTGCTTCGCTCGCTCTTGCTGCTTAAGACGTTGACGTATTGGAAAGTGAGCTCTTCGCCTTTGGCGATATCACGGACAGCATAGAGACGATACGCCAACATTGCTCTGTCGAACGAAGGAGCGGTGTTTGGAGAGCAACTGCGAAAGTCAGATTACTTACGAAAGAGGGAAAAAACGAAGCACACCTGTGGTTGAGACGGGAGATGTTGTCACAAATAACAGAATACGTTCCCATCTTGACCTCCATGTCTGTTTTGGCTTTCAATCCAGGCTGTAAACCAGAAAGACCGATTCCATTCGTCCTAATTCTGCCAACTATGGGGCCGGACCCATCCATTGTGTGGCAATTGTGAAGACTCATGAATGCGGCTCGGCGTTGCGGTGTCATGCGATTGACGGAGACTTCTGCAAAACGCTCGAACTCGTTGAGAGAATGCTGGACGATTTGAGCCTCTGAAAAGTGGGCTGGGGTGTTTGAAAAAACGGCCACGGGTGCGATGAGAAGGGGGCGTTCATGAAGGATGATTTCGCCTTGCTTGATATTCCGGGTACTAAAAAGACCCATTCCTTTACCGGGAGAAGGTGCAACGCAGAAAGCAGGACGGGTAGGAGCTGGTGGAAGTGGTTTGGGAAATCCAGACGTATTCAAAAAGATTTGTTTGGTCTCGGGCACGAATAAACATTCCGTATCGGGCTCGTCACCCACTTGAGGAAGAGCTATCCAGACATAGGCCGCCGTCGCTGGCTGTGTGTCGCTGCCCGATGCTCCCGTCACAAAGTTTAGCTTGGTCTCGTAGCCTTTTGGAACATCGACTGCAAGCAAATCAGCGATGAAACGAATGGGCAGAATTCATACCAGGCCTGTCGAGCGTCGCATAGGGAAGTTGACTGGGTACAGTTCCTTTGAGAGGGTGGAGAACTTCCTATAGTTCAGCCTTGAACACAACATTTTAATATGACATACCCGGGTCGGTTTTCGATGCAACGGGGGAACCAAGGGGGCGGTCTTTGGCTGGCTTGGAGTTGAGAAAGCCGCGCTTCATAAGCAAGAATGCTTCTTGGCCGGTTTTTACGTGTAAACACTCTTATTCGATTACTCGATATGACCAATGCCGCACCCTCGCCTCGCCCCAACATCTAGCCAGCCTTGACCGTAAAATATTGTCTCGCAGAGTGGAGCGCTGTGAACAGGTTCAAGATCCCCAAGCTTCCTCTAGCCATTTATGGACAATGTCATGCCCCATTTCGACCGTGGTCTACGACCAGCTCCTAGAATTCCTCCAAATAGTTTTGAGAAATGAAATGCCGCCGTTAGAGTCAGCGACCAGCTCTTAAACTTCCTCCAAATAACCCTGGACGATGAGATGCTCAATGTCCGACCGCCTGACCATGAATCGATGACCCATTCGGAAGTCTATCGTGCCCGATTCTGTTTGTATGACGCCGCAGTCGCGGACGACATTGACTAGAACGTGGAGTTCTTTGGGAGGCTGGACGATGCTGGCGGTGATGTCGAGCTCATGCGAGAACTCGGCGCGGAAGGTCATGACCGATGTGTGATACGAGCGGAGGTAGTCCACTTCATGGGGGGAGAGTTTCGCGCGAATCGACGTGGTTTCTGCTGAGAGCAATGGTGGAAGGGATGCACCAAGTGACCAGTAGAGAGTGCAAAGAAACTGGATCCGATGGTTGTGATAAGCCAAAAGACAGCGCTTATTCCGCGCAATGGCCGTTTGGATTATCATGAGTTGCGGCGGTGGGTTCGCGGAATTAACCGTGGCGAGAACTAGAACATCGGCCACTTTTTCGAGATCACGTTGCTCTCGAATAATAGATCGGACAAGAGAGTCGTTGTATTTGAGCAACGTGTCTGTCTGCGTTGACCTGCGAGACTCTGTAACGAGCTGAGTGGCAAGTTCGCCGTATTGTCGCGCTTCGTTCATGGCAAATCCGAACAAGATTTGTTTGTGACGTCACACTTGTCACACTTATTGGCTTTCACCCATGAGTTTGGTTCTAGACGCCCTCGTCGTCTCCAGCGCTTGGACACATGTTCTACTTGCTCCCTACACAAAGGTCGAAGAGAGCTTCAACCTTCATGCCGTTCATGATGTCCTGATGTACGGAATTTCTCCCTCCGCACTTCCCAACGTTTGTTCTTTCACATTCGGGTCAATTTTGTTTTTTTAAATTGCCCACCAGTAGTACGACCACTTTGCCTTTCCTGGTTCTGTACCCAGAACATTCATCGGGAGCGTCTTGCTTGCTTGGCTGGCGAAGCCTTTCATCTACATTGCTGCGACCTTTGATTTACTCCCATCCAAATTCGAGATCCAGGTTATCGGTGCGTTGTTTAACATTATCACCGGCCAAAACTGATACTTTTCTCTGCCAGTCCGTCTCGTCTTGGCTACTATCAATGCTATTGGGCTATGTTTTATTCGACACGCAGTATCCCGACGATTTGGCCGCCCCACGGGCTTCTACTACACGTTGCTCACTTGCTCGCAATTCCATGTGCCATTTTGGATGGGTAGAACCATTCCGAACATGCTTGCATTCCTTCCTGGTCTATATTTACTTCTTCTTGTCGACGTCGACTGACTTTTTGGGCAGTCAATCTATCTGCGTATTTGCTCCTCGACCGCGCCCCTAACACCATAAGGCCGTCCGAGAGAAGCGTCACCGCGTCCATCGCGCTCTTGGTTTCTTCCGCTGTAATTTTCCGAGCAGAGATAGCGGCTCTTGGCGCCGCCCTCATTCTACAATCGTGGTATGCAGGGCACATATCATTCAAACGAGCTTTTGTGGTCGGAGCAGTTTCGTCCATGGCATCTATTGGTGAGTTGGAGAACCGAACAACCGCTCTTTCTAACGTCTTTTAGCATTGACAATGCTTGTTGATTCCTACTTTTGGAAACAACCCTACCTTTGGCCGGAGTTCCACAGTATTTACTTCAATGTTGTCGAAGGCAAGAGCGTTGAATGGGGTGTAAGTGCTTATTTCAGCTTTCTGTCTCAGCTCAGACTAAACAGGTATCGCCTATCCACTCTTACTTGACTTCACATCTACCTAAACTACTCCTTTCGGCCCTCCCATTGTCGTTGTTTGCAGTGTTCTCGTCTGGATCCAGACGGCTTCTACCCCTCATCTTTCCAGCAGCCGTACTAACAACCGCTATGAGCGCCATCGGTCACAAAGAATGGCGATTTGTCGTCTATGTTGTGCCCACAATAAACGTTGTCGCTGCGCGAGGACTCAGTGTGATGTGGGTGACACCAGATATCTCTTTCTATTCTCACCTTATCCACAGGGTATCCCGACGAAAATCGTCCCTTATTGGCCGTATTCTATTCATCGGCGCCTTTGGAGCCATTCTCTGCAACTTCGCACTCACTTTGTTGATGACTTTTGCGAGTATTAAGAACTATCCAGGAGGCCATGCGATGAGCGTCCTCAACTCTATTTCTTCAAGCCCATCGCCCGTTCGCGCTCACATCTGCAACCTCGCTTTACAAAGCGGGGCTTCCCTTTTCACCCATATCCACTCTCCTCCATACCCTCCATATCTTCCTTCGGCTGGCCATTGGGTATACGATAAAACCGATGCACCCACATCATACTCCAACTTTACGCATCTCATCACGGAGTCGTCGACAGCGCCATCGGATTCAAACAATGGTGCCTTTGGATTCTTGTCTCGCAAAAAGGACAAAGAAACTTGGGCGACAATCGGCGATGTCTCGGCGTTCGAGAGGTGGGCGCTTGATGCTGGACGGCTGACGCGGTCGACCGGGGAGGGGGGGGAGGTAGTTGGAATTGTGGATCGGGTACAGAGCATGTTGACTCTGCAAGAGAAGACGCGATTATGGGTCCTTGAACGAGGTCAGGGCAAGTGAACTCAACGGCCATGATACCAACATGTTCTCGATGTAAGATAGTCGACTTGCTGTTATTGTGGTCGCACACTCACACCCTCTTAGACCAAATTCACAGTCTGACTGCGCAACTGCTAGCGGCATGTGCTGTTGACATCTTCGAAAGTATCCTTCTACTCAATATATTGTAGATAGTGCTTTCGCCTCCAACATGACTCTTTACTCTATTATTCCATTTGAAAGGCTCGGAATACTAGTATGCGAATGATTTTCTGCTGCCAATGACGGTGTCGGAACTTGGAGGAAGCATATTTGCCGATGCTATGTAAGGCTAGATTGAGTCTAAACCTCTCAATTTTCCTGTTGACCCGTCTTCATCATCATCATGGTGCACATGCGTCTTGGTTTCAACCTGTACGCGAAACATCTCGACGTCTGCGTTCTCCATAGTACGCGATCCCGGGCCGATGTGACTCTGCATCACACAGCTGCATCAGTCCATTGTAGATAGTAGGACAAACGAACTCACAAACTGCGGCACTGAGGCAGGAATGGTAGCATTAAGCATCCCTCGGAACGCTGTTCGGGAGTTGAGGCTACCGATAATCAATAGTTGGCTTCAAGTGTTTCCAATACTGTAACAATGCGAACCTGGCCAGAAGCGAGTTGGAGAATACTGTCATATTGCTGATGAGCTTGTGTTTCTTTCGACGACACGAAAACCTACGACGCGACTTGAGGATGACTAACGCTAGCCATATGACTGTATGGTTGTAAGACGAGGTTGGGAAGGAAATAGCAGGATTTTTACACGACTGTTTCCTCGTCTCGTACTTTGAATAACGTGAGCGACAGGATGGCATGTAGGAAAGCATCTCACAAATATCAGGATAAGAACCATGCAAATGCTGGATCAGAAACCTGGTCAGCAAGCACGACAGAGGAAGACCATTAGGAACCCGGCCTACGTGGTCAGCGAGCAAGTCTCTGTTCAGATCATAAATTCCGCAATGAACCCACAGAATCGATGGCGCACGAGCTTACCAATGGTCCATGCGATAACCCGATCCATGACTGCCGTTGTTCTGGAGGCATTAGCAGGTAAGTACTAACTCTGAGCGTTGACAAACGCTTACGATGCTATCCCTCGACCGCGACTCCGGATGAGCAAGACAACTAACGAGACCGAGATGCTCAGGTCCGTGGTGACACCCAGAATTGCAGTGGAAAGGACATCCCAACCCCACTTGGCCTCCGCGCGGGCCCATGTGTCCGTATGAAAGCCTGCGACGCAGAAAGTGATGCTACCCAAGAAATAGCCAATGGATGTGATCAACATTATGATGGAAGGAAAGCGTTTCTCGGAGAGCTGGTAAATTCGATAAATGAAGAATGATTCAACTGTGAACTTGAGTATATGCTTGGTCCGGAGTGCGGTGGACTGATTGCCTACCGAGAGTGGTGATTGCACCATTGAGGATAAACGTGACGAGGAGTGGAGGCAGCGTGTTTTGGAGAGCGTGTCGGCTGTCTCCGTAATCTGTGATGGTGTAAAAATACACGACATAGCCTAGCAGACACGCCTGGGTGGCTTCTAAAAGCCTGATGCGGCGGCTCAGTAAGCACATTTGAGGTATGTGGGCAATGTTCATACCAGATAACAGCGACCAGCAAGCGAATCCATCGCGCGTCTTCCGGAAATCGAGTGTGGTAGAGGTAGACTTGTGTAGTTGTCATACCAAAAAGCATGTAGGACAGAAGAGCGCCAATTTGGAGGGCGCCTGACAGTATAATTATTCGATGCGTGGGGAATCATGATGGGAAGTGTAATAGACACACCTAACGTGTCATTGATAAAGGTTTCGGGTGGAAGGGAGCCCATAATTCCGAGGCTGGTCCAGGTTCGGTTTGCGCGACCAGTTCTCTAACGGAGGGAGACTTCCCTTTTAACAGTCAAAAAATCAGCTTCTCCGACCCACTTATGACACAAGATCAGGAAACGGGGCCAGAAATGCGAGTTCTCTGCGAAGCCATCTCCAGTGAATCAAAATAGCTTGCACGCTTGATGAAGTGCCGCGCGCGAATTCATGAAGCAAGTCTGGAGGTAGGAGCGCTGGTGCCACGGTGGACTCACGCAAATGGACTTCGTCAGATTCTAAAACCAGAAAGATGTTCAAACATAGCGGTGGTTGGTAGTGGTGTTGTGGCGTGGGAACGATAAGCGGTAAATAGTGGCCATCTCAGCCAGCCATTGGTTATGATTGCTCGTACAAGTTTCGATCCAGTGTTGAAGACGTACTTGCGAGATATAAGTAGCAAAATGGCAGAGTGACGAGGTAGGGGTATCAGTGCTATTCTAGTAGCGTGGTTTGAGTCCCATGAGCAAAAGCAGCACAAATTTGGTCGGATTTCCGATTTTGAGTTGACGTTGACACCAAAGCCAGGTGTGACATAGCACGTGGCTGTGACCACAAGTCCTCCAAGTTCGTCCCGCCGCTATGACGAAACCTCACGATCAGGTCCTCAGGTTTCTTGGGCCCAGATAGAGGGGTGTAGCACGAGATCGAGTGGTTTCGACTACTACGGAATTGGCCAAGGACACAGCACAACACATACAAGTCTTAGCTATAGGCCTCGTGCGGCAGAACAATGGTAACGCTGAGACCACATTGGGACGCCATTCGAAGGTCCAAAGTCAAAGCACCAATACTCGTTGCGTATAAAAGTCAGACAAAACGCGGGTGCCTCTCGCGTTTTGTCCACCACCATCTGTTATGAAGGCAAGCACGATACTGTTCTTTTCCCGTCCCCGGCTAAACTGCTTGTAGACTGACCCGAAGACACCAAATCGCCGCCAGTCTCTCATTGACGTTTTCCAAGCCCCTCTTTCGTCAAAGAAGCCGACATCGAGCTCGAAGCACCAGAAGACGCCCTACGAACGACCTCGCGATCGCATTGCGGCGATTTTCCGTGGCAAAGACACCAAGAACGAACCGCGGAAATCCAATCGCCCTCCCACACCCATTCCCGACTATGCCACCGACATGGACATAGATACGGATTCGGATGACGAGTATCTTGATGAGGGGAACTCACACACCTTGAGTGCCATGGGCGATATATCGTTGTCCTTCCCACTGTTGATTCCTGGAGCCGATGGGGCGGATTTACTGCACTCTTCTGACTCTCCTCCTCGCGCCCACAAAGAACCTCTTTCTCCAACCACCACGCACATTGCCTTAGGCTTTGCTCGCCCCCGCCGCCCTGCCCCACCGGCTCGTCGCTTTACCCTTGATAAGCCCACCAAATGCATTGATTCGAGCATTCGCGGGTGGCACGAGTCGCGTCCTGATACGCCTTCCAGTATGACCAGCGAGGTTACCATTCGTCCAAATGGCCACCGGTCCGAAACCCCGGTCAGCATTTCCAGTGAGGTCACCATTAGACCAGGCATGCCTTCGACAGTGGCAATGCACACTACAAGTCGCCTCAAGTTCTCCACCAAGTCATCCAAGGCCTCCTTTGGCAGCTTTTCAAGTATTGGAACTATTCCCGATGAGCCTGAAGTGAGTTTTCACCATGCATTTCTCAGCATTTGGCCTAACTGTTGCATAATAGTCTGAGCCCAGTTCTACCCGTCAATCTCGTTTTACTGCGTTCATGCAGAGCCGCGACTTGACCCACTCGCCGTCAAAGAAGTCCGAGCAGGGCACGGGGAGTCATCGAGACCGGCTCAATGCGCTTGCGCGCGAAGCTTCTCTTGTGATTGGTCATCAACTTGTTCCTTCACCAGGACGACCTCTTCGTGGCAATGCGCCGCTGCCTGCACGACCTCCCATTCCTCGCTGGGGGACTTCCGAGTTGTTGAGGCTGAACGAATAAACGAACACGGCGGCATCAATTTAATAATTGGATCATGGCAGCAAATCACGGAGGAAGAAATCTTGAAGAAATCATGACTGCGGACCTGTTATTTACTCTCGTAATGCCCGTTTACGACCTGTTTACGAGTTGTGTCTGAATACCTTGTAGCTATAGTAGTCCTTGTGCTTGAAGTTGTACTCGCTAGTCTGAGCAAATCTCATTTGCGTAATTGCAGCATTCGCAAGAAATTTCAAGCACATGGAACAACGTTGCCTGGTTGATCCGGCGGGTCAATACCAGCGAGCGTTCTGTTGGCAGTGTTTGGTTGGGCGAAACTTACTCGGACGGGCTATCGCGCATATAAATAAAATGCACGCCGCTTTGGCTTCCTTCCACTAACGACATGGCCCCTTCCATTTTTTCTCGGTTCTTTCCTCTTCTTCTCCTTACCTTGACCTCGGTGGCTGCTGTGGGGGTGGAACTGGAGAAACGCGACGACGCTGCTGCTAAAAAACTCGTTCCGTGCGCACTACTCATTTCTTGGGAGTTCACTAAATGACTTTTTTAAAAAAGCGGGGGTTATATCCCCAAGGTAAGACTTCGTCCCGGTTGTTACTTGGCTCAACATTCCCTGACAGAAATTTCCCGCTGTTTTGGGGCTGATCCTCTACGGCTTTTCTGGCATTCTGCATTGGATTCGTGCGCCGCTGCAACCCATTATCTTCCACAACTCCGCTCATCGGCTGGGTTAGATTTTGCGCGGTCTCCTGTCAGATGGATACTGGCTTTGCCCATCGGCATGATAAGTGAGTGCATCCTCAAGCTCACAGTCTGTTTTTCTGACACAATCAAGCTATGGCAATTGGGTTTGGACTGCGCCTGTACTTTGTCAGCCATATGACGAAAGGCATCTACATTGCCATGTATCTGGTATGTTGTCACTGTTGGACTTCTGCGGTCTTCGTTTGCTTGACTCCTCTTGTCCCAGTTTATCCTTCTCTCTGTATGCGCCTGTGAACTTCAGGATGCCTTTGACTAAGACCACCTCGGGATAGCCTTGCCTCTACCTTGCTGCCGACTACGCGATCCTCTCGCACCTCACGGCGACGTTTGACAAGTCGATCACAGACCGTGCATTACTCATCAGGCCCACGCGCATCGTGCGCATATTCGTCTGGAGCGACGTGCTTACGTTTCTGATACAAGCTGGGGGTGGGACAATGCTCACGAACGATAATCCAAACACCCGGAAACTGGGCAGCAAAGTAAAATTCGTTCAAGTTATGGGCGAAAATTGCTGAATATGATCAGGTTGCGATGATCGGCCTTATCCTGCAGGGCCTTTCATTCATGCTGTTCACTGTGCTGGTGCTTTTGTTTGCATATCGAGTGTAAGTCTCACCCTTCCCCATCTAACAGTAGTAAACTTCATCCCGTTGGAGACAACTTGAACCGAGTTGACTTGCATTTACAGCCGCCGACGTTTCCCTGAAGCATGGGGGCCCAAGCGCATACGATGGGAAGAGCTCTCCCCTGTCTTCGGCTCCACACCCATCGACGAGTGGCGGCCACTACTCTTCGTCGTGGTGATCACCTGCATCGGTATCCTCATCCGCTCCGTCTTCCGCCTCATCGAATTTGCGGAGGGCTCCAATGGCTACCTCCAGAGCCGCGAAGGGTTCTTCTACGCGCTGGATGCGCTGCCGCTCTGGATCAGCATGTCGCTCTACTGCATCGTGTGGCCGGCCCGGTTTACACAGAATACGCGGGAAAGCAGCGCCGCTGCCTTCCAGATGGGTCCCGGGTCGAAGGTGGGGCTGGCTACAGGTGTTGCATAGATATCATGGACATAAAGGATATACTAGATTACTTGCGACTATTTTTTGTTTTCTGAGTCCGTGTTGGATACTTGCTGCAACTTGCTGCGATGATCAATCATGACGTCGCCTTTCCCACGTTGGTAAGCGCCATTCATGTTGTCGGCAGCCTTCCCGAGCGAAACCGAGAAGTGGTCATGTCCACATCGTGAATCGTAGGATTGGTGAGCAAGCGTCTCATCCGTGCAGTATCCGGTCAATGGGCGGCTTGTCGGCAGGTTTCTCACTGCGACGTATATAGTTGAACGGTGGTCGCTTCCAACTCCCAGAATTTAAAGACCCAAGCAAGTAATCAAGAATGGTGCAGAAGACGAGCAAACTCGGGGGCACGGCCTCCAATGTCTCTGTTTCGCGTGTTGCGGTGCGTTTTGAATGCTGTTGCTGGTTGGTCGAACTCACGGCGATGTAGCATGGCCTAATGCTGATGACGTAGGCCTCACTCTAACTGCTTTGTCAGCAACTGAAGCCATACACATAGATGGACCCCGACTCCCGTTCCCGACGAGCAATGTTTCGAGGCGATTAAGGCTGGGGTCGATGCTCTTCCAGCAGGCACGAAGATGCTTCTAAACAGCGGTGCGTCGCTCTGGTCATATATGGGCCATCTACTGACTTGTCTGGGCAGCTGAATTCTACGGGCCAACAATGGGCACGGATAACCTGGAAATGTTAGCGCGTTTCTACGCCAAGTACCCCGACTATGCGGACAAAACATTTGTGGTCGTCAAAGGCGGCTTCGATCGCGCCAAATTTGCGCCAAACAACAGCCCGGAATTCCTCCGCGCGAGCGCCGACAACTGCCAGAAGGCGCTCGGACCCAACAAGAAGGTCGATGTCTACGAGCCTGCACGGGTTGACAAACAGTTTCCCATTGAGGAGACGATGAAAGTGCTGGTCGAGCTGAAGAACGAGGGCAAGTTTGACCATATCGGGTTGTCAGAGTGCAGCGCCGCCACACTGCGCAGAGCCCACGCCGTCTATCCTGTTAGCACGGTCGAAATCGAAGTCAGTGCCTTCTCGTACGAGGAGGAGACGATCAAAGTCATTGACGCGGCAACTGAACTCGGAGTCTCGGTTTTGGCTTACTCGTGCGCATGACTGTTCTATGCTGCTGGCTCTGACTTGCTTTAGCCCCCTTGGTCGTGGTATGCTCACCGGAGCACTGAAAAGCCTTTCCGAGCTGCCAGGTGTGTACCTTTTTGGAATGAAGCGCTCACCTCACAAAAATCCAGAGGGCGACATGCGACACCGGTTTACAAGGTTCAAAGACGAAGAGACCCTAAAACACAACCTCATGATTGTTGACGAGCTCAAGAGCTTCGCTGAAACGAAGGGCATCACCGTCGGGCAGCTTTGCATTGCGTGGGTGGCAGCACAGAGCCCAGTGATGATTCCGATTCCAGGCTCCTCGTTGGTCTTCCTTTGCACCGAGGGAAGCTACCTCTCATCAGAACTTTCCAGGAAACACCCCCGCACCCTCGAAAACCTCTCGGCAGGAGATGTAGAACTGAGCGGAGCAGACGTGAAGAAAGTCAGCGACATCATCGCTAGTCATGGCGGAGTGAAAGGTGATCGCTCGAATGGCATGGCTATGCATCTCTGGGGCTGAGTACCGGTGGTATCTGTTGAATTCATACGTGTTATCTTCAAAAGCCTTTTTACCGTGCAACACGTAAGCGGGGAAGGATAAATGCGGCGCGTCAACCAGGGACCGGCGATTCAATGAGCTTTCTCAAGGGGCGACTGTGTAAACCCAACGCCATGCGCCATGATCGAGGAAGCGTCCCGAGGATTGGTGATTCTCATTATCTCATTTGCGTTGTGACGCCCGCCGCTCCTAGACTATAAAGTCGCGGAAGAGCTTTCAAGACGAACACAGACCCAGAAATGAAGACCGTCCAACTTGGTGGCACTGCGTCCGACGTGAAGGTTGCACAAATTGCGGTAAGTCTGATGAATCGTGGGTAACCGCTCGCTAATATGCATTAGCACGGCTTGATGCACATGACGTAGGTCTACGCCTAACGCAAAGCATTGACAATCTCAAACAATTTGGTAGATGGAATCCACTACCCACTCCCGATGAGCAATGCTTCGAGGCCATAAAGGCGGGAATCGATGCTCTCCCGGAGGGCACCAAAATGGTCTTGAACAGCGGTATGCTCTGGCTTGAGATGGCCCCTAAATCTTATACGAGCCTGCAGCCGAATTCTATGGTGCGGGAATGGGTACAGGGAATCTCGAAATGCTCTCCCGGTTCTTCGCCAAGTATCCGCAATATGTAGACAAGACGTTCTTGATGGTCAAAGGTGGATTCAATCCCAAAACCTTTGGTCCAGACAGCAGCCCCGACTTCCTCCGCAACAGCGTCGACATTTGCCAGCGTGCTTTGGGGTCACAGAAGAAGATCGACGCTTACCAACCAGCACGGGTCGACAGCCGCTTCCCTATCGAAGACACGATGAAGGTGTTAGTCGAGCTGAAGAACCAGGGCAAGTTCGGCCACATCGGTTTGTCTGAGTGCAGCGCTGCGACGATGCGCAAAGCCCATGCGGTCCACCCACTCGTAGCGGTGGAGATAGAAATCAGCCTTTTCTCCTACGAAGAAGAGACCGGCAAGGTCATCGCTGCAGCAAACGAACTTGGCGTTGCGGTGTTGGGATATTCGTGCGTAGCATGATTCTTTCGTGACGTCCCACTGACCCGCTTCAGGCCCCTGGGCCAAGGAGTCCTCGGTGGTTCGCTGAAGAGCAGCGCTGACCTGCCAAGTAAGACTAGCGTCGGTGAAGGTTTGGTATACTAACTTGGATTTCCCCAGCGGGCGATCTGCGACACCAGCTGGCACGTTACAAGGAGGAAGAGCTGAAACACAATCTCCTGATCGTTGAAGAACTCACGGGCTTCGCGAAGACAAAGGGAATTACTGTCGGCCAGCTTTGCATTGCCTGGGTCGGCGCATTAAGCCCCAGAATTATCCCACTGCCTGGCTCTTCGTGGGTTCCTCCCCGCTTTCCTCGGAATAAATTGCTGACGTCTTTCCAGGAAAGCCACTCGAACGCTAGAGAACCTCGCGGTGAGCAAGATAGAGTTGAGCAAGGAGGACATCCAGAAAATCGATGGCATTGTAGCCAAGCACGGCGTCAAGGGTGCTCGAGGATTTGGGGGGCCACCAGAGAAGTCCCATCTCTGGGGTTGAGTTGTGTACCTCTTGTAGCACCATTTTGCTTTGAACCATTAGATTTGGTTTGTGTCAACAAGAAGCTGCTGTCACACTGCTTACGAAGCATGTCAAATCTGCTTCCGTCGACAAGGCTGTGCACCATCAATGCCGCCCTGTTTTGGAAAATTGGACCACTTCGTTCCTCTCCACGACCATTGACGAGACAACGCCCCTGTCGGCGGCTCCACCCTGCCTGTATAAAACCCGCAGCGCCTCTGTAAATCACTCATGCCTATGGACAAGCACATCCGCCGGGGCCACCCCAGTAAGTCCTCCCACTTTTCCCGTCCTCGATGAGTGTCTGAATCTTGGTGGTAGTTACTTTCGGCCTCATCATCCTCTTCGGTCTCTTCGAGGTGAGAGGCACCCGTCGTCTTTCACGGTCTGGTTGCTGACCCTCACCAGCTTGCCCTGTCCGCATGGCTAACCTCGATGTTCAACATGCACCACAACCAGCGCAGTCTGACTGAGCGGGACCGTGTGCGATTTGCACTCTTCACGTCTTCGTGGACGGTCATCTTTTCGAGCCTTATTCTCGTGCTATTCTGGCACTCGGCGGACGGGTCGATTCTCACGAGCATTCTGGTCCATCTCGTATTGTTGCGTTCCTCCGCTTATATCCGCTTCCGCCGTCTCACTTTTTGCATTTCAGCCTCAGCTTCTCGTGGCTTATGTGGGCCGCAACCGCAGCAGCCGTGACCGAAATGCTGGGCGGTGGTCTGAACTGCAAGATCCAGACATCGTATGTCTACTGCAACCAGCTCAATGCCCTCGAGGCTTTTGCCTGGATCGAGTTCATCCTTGTGACGTTTGCTGTCGTCTTTGTTCTTGTCCGTGGCATTATTTCTGCGCGTCGCGGAGATGGCTACCGAGGAGGTCTAGTCTAACAATCGAATGAAAGCACGGACCGGAAAATGCCTTACGATACGCACGCCAGCTGATGTATTTTGGATTTGCTACTTATGAGACTGTATTTTTTTTCAGCATAATGGGATCCTTTTACTTGAACTCGAGCCCAAGTTTGAAGACAAACTACGTCATCGGCACGTGCCTTTTTCATACCTTGTCTCCGATGGCCTTCTAATAACTCCGCTGGCTGAACTTAACTGGCCATAGTACAACGACAATGATCCGGTCGTCGCCAATGTGATCTTGTCATATGCCTTCATTTACCGTCCTTATCAGACGAGAATGAGAGGGACTCTTGGTCGTATTCGATCTTGATGAGGGCTCTGAATCTGCTTGGTTTGTCTACTGTGCTTGTCCTGGCTCAATATGCAGCTGCCCAAACCTGGTAAGCCTGGTGAGTTGACCAATCTAGACAATCAACCTTGTCGCCATACAGGTATTTCCTAACGTTCTTCACCCCTCCTGGATCCTACATCACGTCCTATTCCGGGAGTTTCGTCGCTCCAACGTTGCCCCAGGCTGCGACGTACTATCTCTGGCCTGGTCTTCGTGAGTTTGATGAGTTGTGTGTAACTTCTCGTCTTGATAACCACATTAGAACCCTCCGATAACGCTGGGGTCTTACAGCCTGTGCTCGATGGTCGAAGCGGGACATGGTGGATTGGTTCTGGGTGGTGTTGCTCCAATCCTTCATTGCCCTGGGGAAGTGGCTTCAACGGTAGGCCTGCCTAAACTTGTCTGGATGTCTACCAACTGCTTTCTTTTTCCAGTCGCCAACGGCCAAACGGTCCGCTTCAGCCTCAAGGTCAACAGCATATCGGGCGGGACATGGGCCACCAACTTAACGAGCAGCGCGGGCGGCGCCGCAACGGGGTCGTTTCCTCTCCGTAAAGCAACAATAAGCCAGGCAGTTCTCCGACTTGCTCACGGATCCTACAGCAACCCACCCCATGAACCAAGCAATCATTGCTATCGAGCTGTACAACGTCGCGTGGAACTTTGGCCAGTTCGCGTTCAGCAACGTTGTCATCGTCGCTAATACCACGTCGACAAGTTGGTGCACGAACGGACCGACAAATTACCAGAAAGCAGCTGTTGTGTCAATGAGCACGCCGACAGCCACTGTCAGCGGTGGGCAGACGACTTGCAGTATCGCGTCGGTTATCCTCGTACGCCCAGCCTAAGCAGATGGTTCAGTAAACACGTCCCATGTAAACTTGTGATTTTTCATCTGACTTCTTTCATTTGCTTACACCGACGTTTGACACTGCCCGTTATCCTAGTGTCAGCTAACAAAAGGACAGTGCGGTTAAACTTGGCAACTTGGTGGATGTCATCATCGACGGTAATAGACTTGCTCCACAGTTAGCGCGTCAGCACTATGTAGGAGGACAGACTATTTGTAAAAGTTCCATTAGGTTGACCGTTCTTGCGACTGGTCGAGACCATAACTGGAAGGAAAAATATTGCGCATTATGCTTGATTCTATTATTGGACCAGACACGTATACTGGGAATACAGACGCTTTGGGGGCATCCGCAGTAGCAGTATGAAAGACGCCCAAGTCGCATCGTTCCAAAGTAATATGGTCGATAAATACAGAGAGCTGCGTAGACGGGTCATGCGGGGAGCTCGAACTTCTGGCCTTGGAGCACTCTGGAGGTTGGTTTGTCAGCGCAAAGTCGCAGGAAGAGGGTAAGCGGCCGTACTTTGTGAAGTAGACGTAGAAGAAGTCGATGTAGAGGCCCGTTTGGACGATTCCAGCCGTAACTGCAATTGGGTCGACGACGTTGTCCGAGAAGTATCTGTCCAGTGCTTGTGGGCAACATGCGGAGTTGTAGAGAGGAAGAAACGTACCTGAATATCCAGTTGGGGATATATAATGCACGGTAGGCACCCAGAGCAGCGAGATAGTGCGTGGTGATTGTCTCGGCTTCACCCGTCCGCTGGAGCATGAAGAGTTGTGGGAGAATAGCGACCGACTCGAGGAAAATGGAGAAGGACCACAGAATCTCAGTCATGTTGAAGTGGTAGTTGAAGAGGAGGGACAAGACGAGGGACGGTCCGAGGAGGTATTCGATGCGGAAGGTGTCAATGGATGGGTCGTGTGTAGGTCTATGACAAGTGAGTCTGAGGCATATTTGGCTCGGCATTGGGACACACCTGAAGCGGTAGCGCATAAGGTAGAGGATATAGCAACTGCTTCCAATGAAGAAGAGTTTCATTATGAAGTTGTACACCGAGACCCAGCGGAAGAGGAGGTCAAGGTATCGCGCCACGAAGACCCCGGCATACAATGCTTGGGTTTTGAAAGAAATGCCTGCGCTGGTGTCTCAGTGCCGCGCTACAAGACGGGCGGTAAAAATGGGCTCACCTCGACATGACCGTGTCGTCTGGATTTTGTGCAGAAGAATGAAGATAGAAGCCAAATGGGACAGGTCCCCTAGAGAGAAAGGATTTGAGTAGGCGAGAGCTGGAGGTAGAGCGCGAAGGACCCACCCAGTAACCGGAAGATATTCATCGTGAATGTGAACCCGTTTTGGCCACGTTGACACTGGTAGAGGTCACGCGACCGTCACAGTGTGACATATCCGTTCTTTCTTGGTTTCTTCCATAGGATTTAGAGTTGTTGCGGGCTGCCTCTCAAGTCCTTTTGCTTGGAGCTGGAAATCAAGTACTTACGATGTCTCCGGCGACTACTCGGGTCTGCAACTGTCGATGCAAGTCTGACAAGGGAATAAGCGCTTCTAAGCAATCCATTACTATCCGCGCGATGGCAACTGGGCGCTCCACTGTTAAAACTTTGTACACTTGGTATACAATGCTTTCTTCTATGTTCAAGCCATCGCTCCGACTTGGGCATCCACATGGCCAGTTCTCAGCTCAAGATCTCCTTCTCAATGACCAGGTTACAGGTCGCACTTTCTCGAACATCAAGATGAATATACGCCTTCCATCTTTCTATGCTCTGAATCTTTGCTTAACTGCCGACTGCTAATACATGTTGAACGTCTCCCGTCCTCCCATCGGTGCGAGTCTTCGTACCCCCAAGGAATACGTCTAATGCATGCGCGACAGAACAAACTGAATGGGTATCGCTAGAGGGTCGCACTTATCACCACCCGAGTCCCGCGGCCACTTTCTGGTTTGCGGTCGGCAAGCGGTCTGATTTGATGCGCCGCCCGAATCTTCTACGATCCAGATAAATGACTACGGCACATTGCTACCCTCGGTATACACCGGCCTGTACGTATGGCCAAACGAAAATCTCGACGGAATTTGGCATAGTCTGTTCGGGTGGTGGTCGGAAAGCCGATTGATTTTCGGCTGAAACCTATGAGTAATGGCAGGCCAGGAACAACGGGTGTTATGAGGTAGTTGCGCCCTTTGCTTGGTGTCTGGCTCACTCGCATCGCGCAATTCTTGGTCATTAAGCCTCGGTGTAGATTAGTGTGATTTTCGGCTCAAGCCCCAAACTCTCTTAGTTCCATCCTCAACGCCACAGAGCTCTAAAAAAGCTGAAACATTCTGTTCGGGACCAGTCTTGCTCGGCGCAGAAGTCGTCATTCCGAGCTCACACCAAGCCAATCCCAAAGTCAGTCCAAACTCAGATGATCGTGTCGTCTGTCACGAGTGACACCGTGACCCCGGTGCGTGACACACTTCTGGTTGCTGTCCGCGATTTCGACGAATATTCCGCGTCCGGGCTGGCCTCTTCGACATGATAATATCACGCTGCAAGCAACTCCTCTCGCTTTCTCTCTTCGCTCTTTCCGTTCTCCCCGGGTCCACATATGCGGCCAGCGAAGACAAGACAAAAATCGGAAATAGTACTATTGACAGGGTAAGCTAGGACTGCTTTATACCGACATGGGCGACAAGGAGGGTGTCTTTTGAGAGTATAGTTGCTCTCTGAGATAGAATTCAGGCTGTTGGATTCTCTCTTTTGGTCGTCCTTGGTGTCCACGTATTCACCGTTGTTCATGTTGTTTTCAGACAGTACAACTTCGAACGCACTCACTATTCGCGCCTTACATTGACCAAGACCTGCAAAACCGGTGCGTTTTCTTCGAGGCAACACGTCTTGTGCTGATGCTTCCTCCACAGTTGGTGGGATTTTGGTGCCGACGCTTATGTGGTGAGCACTTTCTCCTTCTCTGTGGCTCCCATGGGTTGCTTACGGCGTTTAGAACACCAACAAACATGTTCGTCTGACGAGGGATGTGCCTTCTCAAATGGTGCGTCATGCTCTCAGCTGCACGCGCTTCTAATCGGCGGAAGGGATGGCTATGGTCTCGTCTACCAATCACAGCATCCAACTTTGTTATCGAGGTGGAATTCAAGGTACGTAATGCTGTTCCGAAAGTATTCTCCTACTGAGTCCCCGGTTCAGGTTTCCGGAGAGCCGGGCCATCTATTTGGAGATGGCATGGCTATCTGGTTGACGAAGGAGAGAGTACAACCAGGCCCCGTATTTGGCAACCAAGGTCGTGTCACTCGTGCTTTCTTGTGGGCGTTTTCTGAAAGACCTCCAGATAACTTCGAGGGGCTTGCCATCTTCCTCGACACGTGCGCCATTTACTTCCAATCTTCCGCCGCGGCCATTTGACGTGCTCCAGATATGCCAACAGCCGACACAGCTATGCCTTTCCACGCGTTATGGGGATGATTGGTGACGGCAAGACGAGCTACGACGTTGGAAACGACGGCGACGGACAGGAAGTGGGGGCGTGCTCGGTAACAGACCATCGACTTCGTGCCGCGGGCAGCCAACTGAGAAATCCCAGGCTAACTTCCGTCAAACTAATGTGGCAACCAAACTGAAGATCACCTATGTCAAGAACCAGTTCTTAGATGTACTTCTCCTTCGCGCGCTCTGTCAACTACCTGTTGCTGATTCTCATATTTAGGTCAAAATTCAATACAGAGCGTGTAAGTCTCTGTGCAACTCCTCTCACACTTTTTTTTTTTTTGACGCGGCTTTCCTAGGGGATGAGTGGACGGATTGTTTCCGGCAAGAGAAAGTATCTCTCATTACTGCCCCGTACCTCGGTTTCTCCGCGTTGACTGGATCCCTCTCCGACAATCACGAGTACGTGACGACTGTCTACTTCGTAATCTGTTACCGATTGACTGCCCATTAGCATTATCGCAGTGACAACGTATTCAGCGGTTCTGTCTGCTGCATCAGCACAACGCGACAAGGGAGGCAGCTTCTTCTCCCGGCGTCCCACCGACGAGAAGGGCTCATGGATGGGTCTCTTCTTCAAGCTATTCCTGTTTGTTGGTGTTTGTGCCGGGGCATATTATGGCTACGAGGAGTATAAGCGTCGTAACATGTACGGCGCTGGGAACTTTGGTGGGAGAGGCGGTGGTTTTGGAGGAGGTGGAGGTTATGGCGGCATGTACGATAAGAGATTCTGACGCTCTAGACCAAAGTACTCCCTTCCCGCAATATAATTCATGAAAGAACTGAAGCGTGGTGTGGGGGTACAACGCCCTATTGGGGAAAGTCGTTTGTGGGCCCCAGCTCCTTCTCGCGACCCATGGGTATCGCCCATCAATCAGAGCCCGTCATCCTCTTGGACAGAATTCTCATGTGCTGCCTTCCTTCATAAACGAGGTTCCTGGACGCCGCTGCAACAAGTGTATTGCTGCTCAATATATTCATTTCGTCAGACAAGGCTGGGACAAGCTTGGACAACGCTTTGCAGCGGCTCGTGGAAGTCGGCAAAGACATCGAGGAAAGCTCACACCATATGGACGGATCGGGAGTTTGCTGCTCAAACGATTCAAGACTTTCAGATCTTTGATGCTGTCTCTAGCCAAAAGCGGGCTAGTGGCCAAGATTTCCACTTTGCCATAGTTGGACTGAATATGCTCATTTTTTCGTCAAGGGATCCAGAGGTGACATTGTAAACGGACCGACCATGACCCACAACTTGCACGACCGCCGATAGGATGCGTCCAGATGGGCGAGACGTTTGATTGTCGACCCAAGCCTTAATTGAGATCTTGATTCCCGATTTTCGGTGGTTCATTTCTTGGAAATCTTGTGGAGATCTCGAAGGCATCATAACATTGTTGTTCTGGGCGTCCACAACTGGACACGTTACCGGCTCTGCGAGCCGCTTTTACTGTGAGTAGCCACTCTTCTCAACACCGTCTATCATTGATTCGGGCTTGTGAAGTGCCTCCGCTTATGGCCAGGGTCTTAATATGGATGGATTAAGGAGGACAAGTCTACTGCTCTGATGATACCGGTCGTCAATCCCGGCGTGCATGCCCCACCTGATAGCATATGGCAACACGGCAAGTAATGTCAGATGTGTCAACACAACATATAAGTCCACAATATTTCGAGCTGCATCCGCACCTTCGCACTTTGCCCTCATCATGCCTTCCGACATCCTTTTGCTGTCGGTCGCTGCTGCTGCCATTGCCTTTGTTTACATCCGCAATCGGCATTCACGGTCCCCCCTCGCTAACATCCGTGGACCAACGCCGGTTTCTCGCTGGAAAGGTAACGACGTCACTGTTTTTTTGACCTTGCGCGCCAACACCGTTCCAGGCAACTTGCCGCAAATTTTCAATATCGAGGGCTGGGACTTCCCGAAATACATCTTCAATGAGTACGGTCGAGTCGCGAAGATGACCGGTTTGCTCGGGGTAAGATTTTGTCCTGACAATGTCCATGTCGCCACTCACACCCAGTCATGACAGAACGAAGTTTTGTATGTCTCGGACCCCCGTGTGGTTCGGCGTGTCCTTCTCAACTTCCCACCGCCGCCGATGGTAACACAGTGAGCCCGAAATACGCCCAAGGCATCTTGCTCCCGGTTTGCTGATTGTTTGCCAGGAGCCATAACCTGATCAACGGTGATGGTCTGCTGGGTACCATGGGTAAGAAAGAACCTGATCTTTCCCAAACCCTACCAGGCACTGACTTCGTGATCTACATAGGTGATCAGCACAAGAAGCAGCGCAAAATGCTAAACCCATTATTCGCGCCCAAACATATCAAGGGCTTCACCAACTTGTTTTTCGACCGGGCAGCCAAGGTGCGCGGTAACGGCCCGATATCTAATGCTTTACTCACACGCACGCTTTCCCCCCCTAGATGAACAAGACTTTCCTCGAGGGATTTGGCATCCAGGAGAAGCCGCGGGTGCTGAACATGCACTACTGGTCGTCTCGCCTGACGCTGGAGCTCGTTTCGCAAACTTCCTTCGGCCGATCGCTCGATCCGCTCGACTCGGAAGACTCCGTCCATCCTTACACTGTCGCGGTTCGCTCCATGCTGTAAGATTAATATCGTCCCTGGTCGCTTACCGCCCTCTTACGCAAAATCTAGGCCAGCCGCGCTCCCGCTCTCTGTGCTCCGAATTACAGTTCCCTACTTGCAATACTTTGGTACCAAGAAATTCCGCCGATGGCTCGTACACAGCCTACCCTGGCCGGCGCTCAACACTATGGGCAAGGTCGTTGATGTTATCTTCAACACCGCGGTTTCCACGTACGAAGACAAGAAGAACATCAATATTGACGAGGACGAGGATCGCAAAGACGTTATGTCGGTTCTGCGTGCGTGTTTAGCGCCACTCCACCCTATTCGGCTTACGATTTTTGAATTATCAGTGAAAGCAAACAAGAAGGTTGTCGCCGAGGATCGTCTGAACGAATACGAAGTCGTCTCGCAAATGGGGTAAGACATCCACGTGAATGCAAGTGCAAGTTTGTTGACCAAGGCGAATAGCACGCTAACCGCAGCCGCCAACGACACGACACCTAATGCGCTATCGCGCATGTATTGGCAGCTCGCGCGGAATCCCAAGGTGCAGGAGAAGCTGCGTACCGAAATTCTCGCTGCCGATTTCGACTTGGAAAACTCCGATCCTGGACAACTCTACGACCAGCTGATGGCGCTTCCTTATCTTGATGCTGTCCTACGCGAAACGATGCGTCTTGATTCGCCGGTGTCAATGCTGCAAAGACGGTTAGTGGTGGTATGGAGCTATGTGACCTGTGCTGACTGGTATGATGCGTAGGGCGAATGTGGATGCGACTATTCCTCTATGGCGGCCGATTGTTGGCGTCGATGGGAGCGAAATTAACACGATAAACGTCTCGAAGGGTACTGATTTCATCCTTGCTGTGTGCAACGCCCATCGGGACCCGGAAATTTGGGGTTTGTTGATGATGGATTTCCTCCTTGGTTGAGCGCTAACCATGCTTTTCAGGCAATGATGTGCTTGAATTCCGACCTGAGCGATTCATCGAGGCGCTCCCCGAGTCCTTTACCGATGCTGGGCTCCCTGGTGTCTACTTCCAAACTTTACCGTTCGGTGGCGGATTCAAGGCGTGCATGTGAGTGTTATTTGTCACTTCTGGTTCTGTTTGCTTAATACTGGGCAGTGGCTACAAATACGCTGAACTGCAGATGAGTGCGTATCAAATTGCTTCCACAGTCGCCCACATATGCTAACTTGTACTTGCAGAGGTTATGCTCTATAGCTTGCTGTCGTCGTTCCGTATGGAGCTCACCGATGACGAGCTGGTCTGGAACATGCATATGGTTGCGACCCCGAGCATCGCTGGCGTCAAGGGCTCGCAGCTTCCCATCAAACTCACTGCATTATAAGCCATCGTTACACCACTTTTTTATTCGCTATTCTGCGGTAATCGTAGCTTTGCTGTAACTAACTACTGTACGAATGAGAATCGAATTGTAACTTGTACCCAACCAAAGCCTGACGAACGAGTCTCTCGAATACTCTGTTGTTGCTGTTACACGGTAATAACGCTTCCCCTCGAGAAAGCTACCGTTGTTGAACGCGAAAGTACCTGAAGTGTGTGTCTCCAGTCGAGCTGACCTAATTTGGCAGGTGTACAGTCAGCGATCACACGACGCGCAAAACACAAATGCATTTCTGCACCTTGAACAGGGACTACCAGCCCATTGGCTTTCCTCTCGCTCTGCGGCCGCAAAAATCCCACAACGCCGCCTCCTGTACTCTCTTCTCGTCCAACAAACGCCACGAACCGTCTCGTGTAGCCTGAGATTGAACGGCGAAGCGCGGTTTGGGTTGTGTGCTGGGTTGTTTGCAGTGGGTTCAGTAGGACGACACGCATAATGGTCCCCAGCGGCTCTGCTTTCCCCATGGCGAACGGTCGGAGGAGTGATGGGGACAATAATGGAAACGGGCTGTCCGCGAAGGGCAAAGGAAAAGCAAGGGCTGTTGACGCGGCACAACCTGTAGCTTCGACATCTTATGTGGACGGGGCCCGCCTCGCCCTCATTTCAGAGAAGGAGGCAGAGCTGGCCGCTGTAATTGACCGGCACGACGATTTGGTGAGTTGTTTCTGCACTCGAAACATTGCCCACTAATCCCGGGCGCCACAGGTCAGAGAGCAATTTCACCTGGAGAAGTTCAAGAGAATGGTGGAATATGACCCAAGGGTGCGCATACTGTGTCCCGCCTAGCTATCCAACGTGAAAAATTGACATTTTTAGGCTGCGAAACAGGACGATTCACCAGTCTTCCAACATGTGCGTGCTCGATGGGATATTTCTACCACAACCGCCGCTGACTACCATACATAGTACAAAGCACAGTATGATCTTGGAGACATTACTGCCTCGGGATCCGTTAGTCCTCGTCGAACGCGTTCTGCACGTGCCACACTTGCTAGGCTAGGCGCCTCTGCTACTCCTGCGAGGCGACCACCCGTCTCTGAAGAGGCCCCGCCACTTCCTAACCCTCCACAAAGAATCGTTGTAGACAGAGTCGCGTCGCCACTTCCGCCTGCACCTGTTGAACCACCACCTCAAACTGTATCAGTGAAGGGAAAGGGCAAAGCCAAAGCTACACAAAACGACCGTATTTCCATATCATCCTCGGCAAGTCGGCTAGGCACTCGCTCTCAATCGCTTGAAAAAAGTTCGGGTTCAAAGTCCACAGCCAAACGAAGAGCAGACCCCCAGCAAAGCCATGCTTCTCCTCCTCCTCCACGAAAACGACGCAAGCTGAATGGCACAACCAGCATTGCTGTGATACGGAACCCAATTACTCGACACTCACCACCGACAACATCCATATCTGCTCCAGTAAATGGACAAACCTGGCGCAAACAGGACATTCCAGTCCTTCCTCCCAACCCACCTCCCCCTCTACCGATCATAAAAATCAAACGCCAGCTCCCCCCGTCCACTCCTCCCCCCGCTGCCTCCTGGGAGCGCCGAAACTTACATGTCTCCCTCTGGTATAAAACGCGTTCGTCTTATCGTTCGCCGCCCACCTTCTCGTTTTCTTTCGCACCATTGGCAGCGACCACCAAAACCTCAATTCGGATCGTCGCTCCCCGCGTTTTTGAGCAGTTATGTGGAACTTGACGGCGAAACATATTCCGTCGACCGATTAACTGGTTCTAGCGAGCAGGTCGTGGAACTAGTGAATGCACAAACCTCTGTGTGGGCCAGAGCGGACGCAATGAAGAGGGCCCATCAGTGGTTTGGCTCAGATTTGTTGGATCCTCTTCGTCCAGGCCCTGATTACCAAGGCACGCGTGAAGAGATCCAAGACAAATTTAGTCATGATGAGGTCGATCCTCCGCCGACAGATGCCTGGTCAAACATAGTCGCAATTATCATCGAACGGGGTCGCGAGCAATATGACTCTTCGGAGTCGGAACCTCGGAAATTGCACGGACAACTCATTGCAGCCCAAGTTGCTGCTCGAATACAGGGTTACTGGGATGGTGAGGCGGCGAGGCAGGAGAAGCGCCGTGTACTAGAGGAGCGACGGATGAGGGGTGTCGCAAAATCTGTCGGAAAACTCGTTATTGCTGAGTGGAAGAAGGCAGTTTTCGTGAGTTACATTCTCATTTTCCCTGTATCATTTTCTGGCTGAGCTGCTGCAGCATGTTCGCCAGCAGGAGCGGCTAAAGCTGGAAGCGGAAGAGCTTAAACGTGGGCACGAACATCTCGATGCGATACTGGATCAGTCAGGGCATATTCTGGTCACGCAGCACAACGACTTGACGCGGGGGGCCGAGCGCCGAACTCGGTCTCCAAGCTTGTCTAGTGTCGGCCATTGGGACGAAAGTGAATCAGAAGAGCAAGAGGAGGAGAGTGATGAGCAAACGGACGATGATGATGGCGAGAGCAGAACCAGCGAACGAGCAGAAACTGAGATGAGAGATGTGGGGGACGAAGCAGTTTCAAGCTCGGCACTGCTGGGCTCATGGGATACACAGGCAGCTCAAGAAAGCGACCCTGAAGAACCGCCTGGATCCCAATTACTTTCCGACACGGTTGTTGCTGACCAAGACGACGTGTCAGGAGACAATGTCCCGAACACAGCGTCTATTCGTGCCCAAACCCCCCTTCTCGAGGACATGGAGTTAATAGCAGTTGAGGAAGATAGTGTCGAAGAGGACGAAGATGTTGCGCCGCCGACGCCAGAAATACCATCGTATCTGCGACCTTATGCCGTTGCGCCGGTCGAATGGGATCCAACTAAACGGGTCGTTCCACCTCTCCTTCTTCGCGGAAATCTTCGGCCGTATCAATATTCTGGCCTTGAGTGGCTCGCTAGCTTGCACCAGAATAACTTGAATGGAATCTTGGCTGATGAGGTAAGCACCTTCACGAACATCGAGACAAACTGCTGAAAAAAAACCGTTTTAGATGGGTTTAGGGTAGGCAAGCGACACGAAAGCTTGACACAGTTACTCATGATATGATAGCAAGACCATCCAGACAATATCACTTCTTGCACATCTTGCCTGCGATCGCGGAATCTGGGGCCCCCATCTAATTGTATGCCCTCATTTTCTTTGTTTCAATGCATCTCTTAAAACAAATAGGTCGTACCAACGAGTGTTCTGCTCAACTGGGAGATGGAGTTCAAGAAATTTCTTCCTGGCTTCAACATTATCAGCTACCACGGGAACCCGAAACGGCGTCAAGAGCTGCGGCGCGGATGGAGCGACAAGCACCAGTTCAATGTTTGCATCACGTCTTACACTCTCGCCAGCAAAGACTCGCTCATCTTCAGACGGAAGCAGTGGTACTACCTCATCCTCGATGAAGCACACATGATCAAAAACTTCAAGTCGCAGCGATGGGCGACGTTGCTCATGTTCCGCTCGTTCCGCCGTTTGTTGTTAACAGGAACTCCACTCCAGAACAACTTGACTGAGCTTTGGTCGTTGTTGCAGTTCTTAATGTCTGGCTCTGAGTTTGTCAACTTGAAGGAGTTTGGAGATTGGTTTTCAAGTGTGTTTCCATTTTGTGCATCAGGACATCAACAGGACCAACACCACCATAGATCCGTTGGAAAGGGCCATCGAGGCAGGCAATGTCCAGGACGAAGACACGCTTCAACGGATTACAAAACTGCATACCGTTCTGCGTCCCTACCTTCTCCGACGCCTGAAGCGCGATGTTGAGAAGGAGCTTCCCAGCAAGTTCGAGCATCTCGTTTTATGCCCGCTGTCCAAGCGCCAACGCTTTCTCTACGACGAGTTCATGTCACGTGCCCACACCCGCGATGCGCTCCATTCTGGTAATTACCAGAAGATTGCCAACATCCTGATGCAGTTGCGCAAAGTGTGCAACCACCCGGACCTGTTTGAAGTCCGCCCCATTGTCACGTCTTTTGCTATGGCGCGGTCGGCGGTGGCGGACTTTGAGATCAAGGAGCTTCTTGTTCGTCGACGGCTGTTAAGCCAGCGCGATGAGGACATGCTTGATATAGACTTCCTTGGTCTTCGATTCATTGACAGGCAAGGAAGCCCGTTACTTGTCGCGCGAGAGACAAGACGGTTGGACGCATCAGCACAACTGCCATTTGTCAACGACGTTCTGGGTGTTCCGCCTCCGAAGGACACCCGCACCATCGCCGGGTTCAGAATCTACTCTGCGTACCAGAAGCGAGCCGAGTCGATTGCGCATTGGAGACATGTGGCATATATCAACGGACAACGGTGTCACGCTTCACCTATCTATTCTTTGGAAACTCTGGAGGTTGTTGGTCGATTAGGCCCAAGACCTCTCCTCCCCTTGCCCCATTGCAACACTGCTGTCGAATACTGGGATACTTTATACAGTATCAATGGCGCAGTCAAGTCGTACTCGGCTCGCGCTCAAGACATGGCTGACATCATCGACCGTTTTGCATTTTGCACACCTCCTGTGGTTGCGCTTGATCTTCCTCGCATTACATTGGCCGGCACTCCTCTCCCACCCGAAGCCCTTTCTCCTACATTTGACACCGTCCTTCACCGTTCAAGCGTCAAACTCCAGATTGCTTTCCCCGATCTGTCCTTGTTACAATACGACTGTGGAAAACTGCAGCGCCTCGCCGATCTGTTGCGCGAAAAGAAGGCGGGCCAGCACCGCGTGCTCATTTTCACGCAGATGACGCGTATCCTCGACATTTTGGAGATGTTTCTCAGCTTCCACGGCTACCTTTACCTCCGCCTTGATGGCGCGACCAAGATCGAGGACAGACAGTATATCACGGAGCGCTTCAACGCCGACCCGCGTGTTTTCTGCTTCATTGCCTCCTCGCGATCCGGCGGCGTGGGAATCAAGTGAGTGCCCTTTTTTTTCATATATTACTGCATGGCCCCCATCCTTCCATCTTTTGCTTACGTTCTTGCTAGTCTCACCGGCGCGGACACGGTCGTGTTTTACGACAGCGATTTCAACCCGCAGATGGATCGGCAGTGCGAAGATCGGTGGGTCCCATTCCGATCTCCATCCAACAACAATGCATCTGATATAAGCACACACACGCCCAGGGCGCACCGCATTGGGCAGATCCGCGATGTGCACATTTACCGGTTTGTGTCGCTGCACACCGTCGAGGAGGCGATGCTGCGCAAGGCGAACCAGAAGCGCTCGCTCGACGACCTGGTCATCCAGAAGGGCGAGTTTGACTGGCGAGCGCTGTTTGTCAATGTCGGGGATGGCGATGGCGATGGTGATGGCGCGGCGCTGACGAGGGCCCTGGAAGAGTTTGACGATAAGGAGGATGCACATGCAGCGGTTGTCGCGGCACGGGAACAGTTGGCCCGAGAGGGGCAGGACGAGGCGGAGTTTCTTGATGATCTGGAGCCTGCTAGTGGTCGGCCACCACCAGCAGTTGCTGCTCCTACAGAAGAACAAGCTGGAGGACAGGAGGAAGAGGAGGAAGATGATGATGAGGGCGGCAGTGTAGCCGATTACATGCTTGCATTTGTGCAGCAGGAGTTAGAGTATTTCAGAGAGTGGAGGGTATAACCTCTGCTCTATTTTGCATATCTTAGTATTTAGCATTATTATCTTGTGTTTTTTTCTCCAAATAAGGCAGCTTTACGCCTCTGGGCGGGCTTGTGATGGTGACAACCCTTGGTGAGTGGGTAATGGGAGACCCGTTTGATTATTGTGTCTGGGTGGGGCCAAAGGCCGCTCCGGAGCTTGGCGGGAGGGCAAACTCTTCAAGCCGAACCACACGGGGCGCGTTGCCAAGTTGGCAGGAAGTGCCAAGGCACAGGTGGCCTAAATCTTCTGAGTGACTGAGGGAGTCAGACTGTCAGACTGTGGGTCAGGCTGTGCAAGGACTCCTTCTAAGAACGCGCACCCGGAACAGAACAGACAGATCGTCGGGCCTGTGAGTATGGCGAGCGGGGTAGATTGAAACCGAAAGGGCCTGTTAACTCGGTCCCTTGTCGCTGTCGGTGGGCAAAGGTTCGAATCGGGCCCGATGAGTCATTGGCACCTCCTTGCACAGAGAAAGGTAGTTCTTCAGACGATCTAAGCAATGGAGTACATGGTATGCTATTGCGCATTATATATGCAGGCCCCGCAAAGGGGGTGATCAGACACCCTGGCCTCTTCTGCTCCTCCTCGCCCCTGTTCCTGGCCGCAGAGGGGATGATCATACATCCCTTGCAGGCCAGGCACTACTCCTAACCTCCTAGCACTCCTCCCCAGTCCCCTAGTGTCGAGTTGGGCTCGGCAACGGCTCGATGTGTCGTTCTCGGTCACGTGCTTCCCATGTGTGTGTTTCTCCTACTGGGGCGCATGTTCCCCGTTGTCATGTGCTGCGTGTTACGGGCCCGTGGTGGCCTGACACCAGTACTGGAGTGGACGGGCCGGGTCTTATCCGTGACACAGACCACCCAAAATCCGCGTGGGAAGTAGGAGGGTGGGTCAGAGCGCAGCTGGAAGAGGCATATCAAACGTCGTTGTCAACAGATGCGTCATGTGTGACCCACATGATCACTGTTTTTTTTTTTTTTGAATCACATTTATATACCGTGTACAAGTATTCGTGTGCTACTAAGGCGCGGTGCTCAGAGAGCAAGGGCCGGGTTGGGTTGAGTGTCATTTACTGTCCTGTGGGGGTTGATGTATAGGTTTCCATGTACGAGGTTGAGCAGTATCTGATTCGCTGACGTCCTGCAAGTTGTTTGGCGAGCGTAGAGCATGAGGGTCATAGGGGGGCATAATTGGGCGGGTTGGCAGTGAGTTTGGTGTGTAAAAGGGCTATCCCGCCGCTCTTGAACATCTTCAAGTCATCCTTCCATCCATCTAACCATGGTCCTTGATGTCACCCACATCATCTTCATCGTCAGACATGACATGATCGCCATAGATCATCTAATACAAGTACATAAAGCCCACCTGTCTCAGCGTCCTACACTGCCTTATCTATTGCTAGCAGAGCTCATGCCTTGCCCCACTATGTAGCTAGCAGTATCCTATTGCTTTGTTTGAGGTATGAGTATAGTACCAAGAAGATAATGTAACAGGAGGTGGTTGGAAGTACATAATATATGTATATGGTAGGGTATTGAGGCAGTTGCAGTGGGTAGAAATACAGTGGAATGAAGGAGACACAAACACACACAAAAGAAACCAGCTGCGTGTGCATTTGTGTCTCCTTCACATTTGTGTTTTGACATTGCTTTTGCTTTTGCTCATGAGCATGAATGCATGATATGAAGGGCAAGACTGAAGAAGTGGTGGAAGTATGCTGCAAGAATTTGAAGAAGAAAGGGGCACTAAAAGCAGTGATGAGCATGACTTGGCATGATATGCACTAGGGGCACTTACTATGCACAATACAACAATTATATGCGCTCGATCCCGCGCCGGAACTCGGCAAGGAACTGGGTCATCCGCTCCTCCGCGTTGTGTTCCTGCCAAAGCACGTCAAACGCGCTGGGCGTGAGTGCACCTGGTCCCGGTGGGTCCTGTTTGATCGCTTCGTAGACAGCCAGCAGGTGGCGTTCAGTATCATTGGAAGGCGGCGGTGGCGCTCGCGGTGGCAGACGGCGTGGAAGAGAAGGACGGGGCGTCGTAGAAGTAGAAGTCGAAGTCGAAGATGTCGCCGGCCGGCGTGGGCGCGGGTCTATATCTGGCGGCGGTGTCTATGAAATGAAATCAGAGGCTATTATTAGCAAAACAAAAGAATACCAACATTATCTGCGAACGAGGATGATGACGCTTGTGTCTGAATGGTCGGTCGCGCAGAAATGATGGGTGATTCAATCTGCTGCAAGCAAAAGTTAAAAAACGGGGGGTAGTTGATTTGGTAGATTTTGGCTACGCACGCGGGCAGAAAACACGGTTGAAGCACGGGATTCGGGCCCGTCCGACGGAGGCGGCGAGTATAGTGCTTGAGACGAATATGACGAGGAAGAGGATGATGATTGGTATGGAAGGGTTTCGATGATTGGCAGCGAAGAATAGCGGGCAACAGGAGTATCGGACTCGGATTTTATGGCGAGGGACGGGGCACGGGTCGATGTTGGGGTTGGAGGGAAGTAGGAGTCACTTGGCCGACGAATGAGAGGTGTTTCAACGGAAATGGGTGATGCTATTGGCTCGTAGTCGTCGTCATAGAGTGATTGAGAGACACGGCGCGGGGGGAATCGTTGCGCAAGAGGAAGATCGTCTTCGTCATCTGAATCGACCTCCATTTCTTCTTCTTCATCCTCGTCGTCTTGGTCAGGCGTCGTTTTGGTGATACCAGCCTTCTTGTCGTCGAGCCATCTTCGAATATCGTCCTCGGTTGGGAGCGGGTTATTCCCTTCGCGCGTGTTCCGCTCTTGGGGCCAGGCGTCGTGAATCCAATGATAGCGCATTGAATCATGGCTGCCTTCCGGTATGCACTCCCAGGCGCCAAGCAACTTGCCCAGCATCTCCGCCGTCAAGGAAGGATAACGTGCTGGGCAGAACAGTCAGTCCAGTCCAAGAAGACAGTAAGCTGGCGACCGACCATTCGGAGGCACAAACGGCGGGAGATAGACAGGCGCGAGCTCGCTGTGCTTTTTCTGCGTACGGCGTTTGTTGCGGAACCAGAAGTAGACCCGCCGTTCGTTGCAATCCTCCTCGCCAGGCACACGCTACAAAAAGTTAGGCTCAGTAAAGTCGCGAGAGTGTAGTGTGCAGCGACGCGCCTGGAGTAAAGCAACGAGCTCTAAGCGGCGCGCCATCTTGGGCGAGTTGTCTTCCCTCCATGCAGCTAGATGGTGGGAGAAAGAAGAGAATCAGCGACAGAGATTGATGACCCGTGCAAAAGCGCAGACAGACCTTGCAATATGAAAAGTGCCTCCGGCGGGAAGTGGCGTATCTTCTTCTTTGTCGGGTCTGCCGACTGGGGGGTCGGGTTGGAGTGTAAGCCAGGGGGCAGTGGCGGGGCGCGAAGGTCAAGGGCCATCGCGAAGAAAGAAGGCCAATTGATTTCTCAGACTTCACGCTCAGCCACAGCCGCGGTTTTTGACCTTGGGAGGGTTGGTGGGGTGGGGTCAAAAAAAGGAGCACCCAATATGACCCGCCTATTTATCCACCTGCACTCCCATGCTTTGTCCCAAGCCCTCAACCCGCCCCCCGAGCACGGCTTCGCACCGACCAATCCAAGCCCACGCCGATTATGCAGTTTCAGCGGCCCGAAAGTAGCAGTTTGACAGCAAAAAGTCGGATTCCCACGCACTTTACATATTGATCCGCCACGGAAAAGGCAAGTTGCATGCAGAAAAGGCTATCAAAGATCTTCTGATGGACACACAAATGGCTGCCTGAGGATCCAAGGTCCCTGGGGTCTTGTTTGTGCTTCTTTTGACATGTGCCGCAGAATATGCTAGAACAAAAGGCAAGGTGGTAGCTTTGACCAGTGTGCATTCCAAACTGCCTGAACCATACAAAGAGAATAGACCAGGATTTTATAATCCTGTTTTACCAGTTTGTCCAGACCAAAAAAAAAACCAGCCACAAAGCTAAAATATCATACCTGATCTCTGTATTCCACTATCTCGGGTCCCTACAGATTGCAAATAAGGGTTTAGGGTCTGCAAATAAGGAAATGAAGCACATGGAACCATTCCTTGATTTTTTCTCCAATTTAAGCAATTTTTTTCTCTTCTGTAGTCTATTTCACCTCCTACCCCTATTTTTGGCAAAATAGCTAGAGATAATCTTTTAAAAAGCATTTTGGCATAGACTCTCCCTGCTTATTTCACTTTTTTATCATTCAAAACAGGTATGAAGGGCTAGTTGTGATATACTGGGGCGGAAAAGCATGTCAGTGACCTTCTCGGAGTGTCCGTGTCAGCAGGCAGTCCGGCCGCTTGAAGCCAGAGCAACTTGTTTTCCTGCCCGACTTGCTTTTCAAGGGTGGGGGTTGTCGGCCGAGATGTCCGGTCCGGGAGAGCGATCGCTTGACAGGCGGGATCGATAGCCAGCGATAAGGGGCCACGAGCAGCCTCGAGGCGGACGCAAGGCTGGAGAAAGGCACTAATGGCCCAGTGAGATGAGGGAAAGGAAGAAAGAAGGATACCCTGACTGACCTTGAGGTGATGGAAGATGTGTCATGTCGTGACAAGGATAGTCCCAGACCACGGGTCCGGCTGCGCATTTCGACCCAAACCGACCAGCACTATCATCACTTCCTACCCCGATCAGCTCACCGCCCCCATGAACAGTCCAAGTCCCAGCCTCATACACCCCGAGACTACCTCCAAGTTGGCAATTCGGCACACGGAGACGATTCCGATGTTATCACAATGCATGATTTGTCAAGAGCAACCACTAGTATAGCAAGATAGTCCTCGAACCCAAAGCAAAATATGCCGATTCGAGACAGATCCCCTCACACCGAAGCTTCGGCCTTGCCCAAACGATTGTCACGGTGCAGCTTCGCTTCCACGCGAAACATCTCGACGTCTTCGAGGCGAGAGCCGGCTTGAGAATGACTCTGCATCTCATCAGGCTCCAGAATTGGCCCGCAAATTAACTTACAAATTGTGGGGCAGAGGACGGCAACGAGACGTTGGTCATCTTTCGCAGACTGCTTCGAGAGTTGAGGCTGGGAGTAATGAGACATGTCAACACCGGCTGCATAGATTTTGACAAAAACGGACCTAGCTAGAAGCGAGTTGGAAAATACTAAAATGTGTGCGTGAGTATTCAATCAAGATAAGATTTCCTAAACAAACGGACATCGAGATTTGACGATCAAGACCGCAAGCCACACAACTATCGATCGTCAGTGAAAGCAAACGGAAGGCGAGAAACCAACAGGATTGTGTCATTTTTTCGTACTGTCCACAAACGAGATTCAGAAAAGACTCCGATGAAGCCGTTCCACTCACGAAGATCAGGATGAGAACACTGCAAAGACTGAAAGTGATGAGTCGCTTGTTTTGCAGCAAACCATTAGCGCGAACCTGGTTACAACGCCGGTCTCTAAACAAAAACTCAGAATAAGAACAAGTCGTTGTAAAACATACCGATGGTCCACGCGATAACTTGATCGATCATGGCGGCCGTACTGGGAGTGAAGGTAAGAGCCAGTGGAGGGTAAACAGCGAGAAACCAACGAGAAACATACTTCGCGGTTCCTTGCTGACGGTTTTGGAACAGCAAAAACACCAATACCGCTGAAATACCCAAGTCGGTGACGACGCTTAAGATTGCTGTAGCCAAAATGTCCCATCCCCATTGAGATTCTGCGCCGGCCCAGGTCCCCGTTTTAAAACCAGCGATAGCGATGCTAAGAGTGCCCATGAAGTAGACAACAGCAAGAACTGAGAGGGCGATAGGTATTAACAGTCTTTGTGAGAGCTGATTGATTCGGTAGGTAAAGAACAATTCAACTACAAAGCAACATCAGTCGAGTGATCATTAAGGCAGAAATCGCCTCACCGAGAGTTGTAATGGCTCCAGTCAGAATAAACGCCACCATGAGAGCAGGCAATGCGTTTTGGAGAACATGGTTCCTGTCTCCGAAGTCTGTGACCGTGTAGAAATATAGGACATAACCAACTAAAGCCGCTTGGGCGGCCTCCAAGAGCCTGAACGATGTGAGTTGCCAACATCACGAATACTTGTGAGCATACCACACTAAAGCAACCTAGCAAATCAATCTCAGCCCTTGCGCCAGAGCCAGTCGCTTCCATCTAGGGCAACTCACCATGGAACGAATCCATATTGGGTCTTCGGGAAACCGACCATAGTATATATAGGCTTGGGTAGTTGTGATTCCAAAGAGCACGTAGGACACTAGAACGCCGATTTGAAGTGCGCCTAACAGATTGCAGGGTCAATGGTATGGAGACTGTGTCGTGTTGGACAACTAACCAACGGTATTATTGACGAAAGTTTGGGGAATGAGCAAGGGAGAGTCCATATGTTCGTAGGCCTGGGATTGCAAGATCCATACGGATGGTTAAATAGAGGTGACAGAGACTGGTGTTGGGAATGTCATGGGTAACCCGACTCTGCCAGAATCAACGTATGCTATGCATCTATTGATTCCATTTTATCCTCGCCCATAATGGAGTCGAACGAAACCGCGATTTGCTCGGACAGCTCGTATTTTGGGCAGAACGGGTGAAAGTCTCCGCGCGGCAAGCAATCAGGATGCGAGAGAGCTGGTAGGGAATCCCGCGAAGAGCATCGATGATTGGTTGAGACGAAAAGCTCCTGGATGTATGTTGCTTGGAAGTTCTGGAGCCTGGCAAGTAGCGCACCTCTTCTTCTATCTTGGCGGATGGTGGTGATGGAGGTTGAGCTCGGGAGTCGCGTCTTGCTATCGAAGCAGAACCAAATATAGCAGTTAGGGCCTAGTAGCGCGATTTGGTCGCATCTCTCCGGAAAAAGTTGTCGTTCATTGAACTTGAGCAAAGAGTACTGACAACTGTGTAGACATTTAATAAATTTGCCCCACATGTGCACTACCAGCGTGTGTACCTCGGCGCAGATGGACGAAGAAATTGAAAAAACTGTGACGCGTCACAAACTGATGATCGGAACCCTTGTCGATGTTGGCGACAATTCCGACGGACATCCTCTTCGAAATTGTAGCTCATCTCGAGCTCTCTGATGCTGTTTCCCTGACTCTGGTATGTCCCCTTCAATTCTCTTAGATGCTTACTTATGGGCCAAGGCAGACCTGTACCGGTCTCCGCCAATTGGCCTCTGAGCGCAACTTCTGGATTCTCATTCTCAACTCGGCGCGAATAAGCACCCCAATCGGCTGTCCTGCGCTATTAGATCTCTCGATATACCCTCTCTCAAAACTAAAGCACCTCGCTCTATCCCAACTCACGCTCGAGCAAACTTGGTCCGCGCAACACCCCCAACTACGACCAATTCGACCCTTCCAAGCGGCCAACCTTCCTGAGCCTGCGATCATCATACATAGCGTGCAGGGCACGGATGTCTTGATCCTACACGTGCCAAACACCGGGGAGATTTACTGTTGGGACAAGCGTGAAGCGCGCCTTTTCCCTGGTGTCACCCACCGGATTCCGACGAGTGGGAGCATTACTTCGGTCTCGGTGCCAAATGACTCTGACGGTCTGTCGCGTGAGTCGGTCGCGGTAATTGTCAGAAGTTGGGGGTTTCTGGTGTATGTCTAGAATCGTTTCTCTCCTTCTCGATATATCGTCTAATTCCGCAACCCAAGTACTTACTGGCAATACATCATCACCGTACGACACAAAAACGGCAAAGCAACTGCGCTGGAATACGAGGCATCCGAAATTACTAGGTCTCCGGATTTCAGTGGACTCGGGTGTCTTTTTTTCGACCCCCATGTCACTGGATGTCTGACCATTGACTCGGCTTTGAACGTCTGGCTATCGACTGCAGCACGCGATCATAGCCCTAACAATAATGCTGTCACCTATGAAAGGGTTGCGCAGTTGTACAACGTTAGTCTCTTCTCAACCAGTGTAGTACCACATCCAACAGAATTGTTTTCAGAACTCCGGCCAGATTGCATCCTGCTGCTTCACCTACCGCGGGCATATCTACAATACCCTAGAGGTACCCGGCGGACAGTCGTTCAGAATCTTTCACCTCTCGCGACAATTGGTTCAGTCGAAGCACCAAATACCATCTACACACGACGTTTACCAGTACACCGTGGCTATCGAGGGCGGGAACACACAGATGGAAAACGCTGAAAGCATATGCTTTAACCTCCCCACCTCGCCGCAATACGGCATCTGTGCCGTGTTTGTCCGCTCCGACGATCTCACTGTTTGGTTTACCTTTGTGCCTTGCGCGCCTGCGACCACCGAAAGCGCGGTTACCTCTCCACTTGACTTTCCTTTCAACGCGCTGGTCGCCAAGATTTCAGGGGTGTTGGTGAACAGAGTGCTTGTTTGGCTGGACCACAGTGGACACAACCTTGCGGCGGTCATCCGGCGACCTGATGGGCCGAGGCTGACATTGGTGCGCTACCACCCAGGCAATGAACGACGACCTGCGACCACCTCAGAGCATTGGCTCCAGACTCCCGCGGGCATCGATCTTCTAGCAACCAAGTCGTGCTGCATTGACGATACATCCGGGACCGTCCATCTCGTGGACCAGGACGCAGTCTTCCACACTTTAAACTACGTCTAGAGTATGGTGTTCTTAAGTAGAATGACTCTAAATTTTTGCATTTGAAGTTGGTGGTAGGGCGGTCCCTTACAGTAACAAATTTAACTACTACTAATCATCCATTGACTGGGGAACAGACAGAGGCCGAAACTGCATTATGTATAGTAGAAGGTTGTCAGCATGCCCTTGTTGTCTACCAGATGCAGTGTTCCCGCGGTTTCGTCCAGACAAACAGTGCTGAGCGTGAGCAAATCAATCGAAGACGGTACATCCAGTGTATGCACCGAAGTTGGCTCTGCTGCTTGCGGGTGATAGCGCACGAGCTTGAGCTCCGGTCCGCGGGCCAATTCCACCACGATGGCGACGTTGAAGCCACCATGGTCCATCCAGACCAGCGGCATCGCATTTGCTGGCCGGCCCGGAGTATATGCCATGCTGCATGGTTGGCTGAACGACAATGGGGAGTCGTCGCCATTGTCCGACGCGTGGGTCAGCGCGCAAGGCAGAAATCCAAGCACCACTGTCGAGTCTTCTGCCCCCTCGCCTTCCCAGCGGACAAACACTGCACTAACACCATAAAAAGGTGTGCTGGGAAGCATGAAGCAGAAGGGGCCGGCGCCAATGTGGTCTTCAATGACAGGGATAGAGCAGAGCCAAATCTGACCCTCCTCAAACTTTCTGGAGAGGACGGTATTGCGCGAAAAGTGTTGGATTTGCGCTGTTGCGCCGTCCTCCAGCAGGGTGTAGATGTGTCCTTGATAGACAAAGCTCAGCGTCATGTCCTCTGGGTCGAGTTCACGGTGGAGGGTGACGAGCTGGCTGGCTTCGTCAGAAAGCCGCGCGTTGGGACCGCGTTGGGAGACCGTCAATGTGAGGTGTTCGTCGATGTCATCAACAACAGCACATCCGACGACATCTTCGCTGACAAATATGCTCTCGAAGTGGGCCGCCCGCGTCTCGATTTCGGTGCACGAGTGCTCGATCCCGGTGGCCTTGCGGTCGTCATGAGAAATAGTCACAACGTGGGCGTATCGTCTGCTGAGAAGTAGTGTCAGCTATACCTTCTGTGAAGAAGACAAGACAAACAACGGCGCATCCACCCGGCGGATTATGAAAGCAACCGTACTCGCCCCGTCTCTGTCGCAAGGCGCTGCAACGTCGACCACCTGCCCGCCAGTCGGAATAGCGGGAAAGGGGAAAGCCAGAGCAGTCTGTTTGTCCCAGCACACAACTTGTCCCCGCCTGGGGAAGTAGAGCAGCAGGATATCGGTCCCCTGTGCGCTGAATATGATGTCTAACGGCTCGTCGAAAGCGGTAATCCCAGGGGGTTTCGCAGACGGCAGGATCACGGGCCGGGCCCAGCTGCTTTCGAGTCTCAGTTTATGCAATGCTATCGATTTCAACCGGGAAAGTGTATATTGGGGTCGCGATAGATCCGTATGGGGCGAGGCTGCGAGTGGGCAAGAGAGGCGCGTGTTTCTCAGAACAGAAATCCAGAGACTGCGGTCGTTGTTGAGGGTATAGAAGGCTGAGCAGGTCTGTTCTAAAAGTCAGTTAGAGCCGCGGCGGTTTTGCATATACCTGACCTGGAGCAACGAAAAGACATCTGCGAGCTCGAGAAACGCCACAACTTCCAGAATAAGTTCCAGGGGCACATCGGACAGCGCAAGTGCCATAAAGGGCAAGACCAAGATGGGTCTTTCCAAAAAGAGCCTGCTGCAATTGTGATTGCTTCCTGTTTTATCCTTATGTCAAAGTTACAGTAGCTAGTTGGGCAAAGCCATCCTACTGGTACAAGAAGTAATTCCACAAGTGAACCGTAAAAGCACGTCAAAAGTCGTTCTGAATCGTTTCGCACAAGCCGCATCCACAACCCCCTGCCTAATGGACCAGCCACCGCTATTTCCCGAAGCCCTTTCGACGAATAAAAGACCGGGGGCTGCCATCGCGCTTGGTTCTTTTTCACTGTTCGGCAGTGTAGTTGAAGTCGGGGAAGAGGTGACCACTGAGGTCGGGCCCAATCACGCCGTACCCTGATGTGGCGTCTTCCTCTGGATAGCGGTCAAATGCGCTCGCATCCCCTTCGCCTGCAATTCGTGGCAGATATGGCGCAGTAATTTCCCGTTTCTCCAGCTTCTCCCAGTCGACTTCGCGGAACCAGGGGTGGGCAAACACGTCGTTGGCACCATGGCGCATGTTACCGTACCGCTTGGATGGGTCACCCTCCATGAGCTTCATGATTAGGTCTTTCGCCGCCTCGGAGAACGCAGCGGGCGGGAACGCAATTTTGGACGGTCCTGCTTGAATGCGGTCGTAGAGGATAAGGTGGTTTGTTTCAGTCATGTGGTATGGGGGGAGGCCAAACAACATCTCGTAGATGAGGATGCCGAGGGCATACCAATCGACGGACTTGTTATATCGTTGTTGTCCAATAACCTTTGTTTCTCTCGTAAGAAAATGCTATGTGCGAGAAGCATGAGGGAAACACACCTCCGGGGCAAGGTAATCTGGCGTCCCACAGAGTGTCCATGTCGTTGTGTCAACAGCCTTTGCGAAGCCAAAGTCTGCGACCTTGATGTGGCCGTCAGCATTGAGGAGAACATTCTCGGGTTTCAGGTCGCGATAAATTATGCCGAGCCCGTGCAGATAATTCAGAGCAAGACCAACTTCCGCGGCGTAGAATTTTGCGACCGGGTCAGGGAAACGCTTCGGAAGTTTAGTGGAAGATGGTGGCGCAAGACAGGGAGACTCACATTCGACCTCCGTAGTAGCGTGAACAACTCTCCGCCTGGCACGAAGTCCATGACCATGTAGAGATTTGCGCTGTCCTGGAAATAGCCCCAGAGGTTGATGATAAATGCATGTTGGACACATTCAAGCATCCGTTGCTCATTGTTGGTGTGCTCGACCTGCTTCATTTTGACGACACGTTCCTTATTGAGCACCTTGATTGCATAGAAGCGCATGTTGTGCTTGCTTCGGACTAGAACCGGGAGAAGTCAATGATGATAGCGATGTTGGCCGGCCAGAACGTACCTAGATGAACCCTACCAAAACTGCCTGTCCCAAGCGTGCGTTGGATGAGGAAATCGTCCAGCCGGTAGACACCTCTCGGTCGGACTGGGGCGAGCGGTTGGGGTCGGGGCATAAAACGCGGTTCTTCTTCAACTGCTTCCATTTCGGAGCCGTAGACCCGCTTGTCTGTCCAAGCATCGCTCATCGATGTCGCCTGCGTTGAAATCGACCCACGATGCCCATAGCTTGACTGCGAGAGGAAGTCTGAGGACGAGGTGGGGCTATTAAGGTCGTCTGCGCGATGTGGGAGATGGTGGCCAAGCTTATCCGCCATTCTTCTAATCATCCAATGTCGCGGCGGGGCTGGGGGAAGAATGGAGGCCGGAAGAAAGAGATGAATGGGGTCATTGTCTGCTCAACGTCACATGACACCTGTCAAGACGCGTCCGCCATCAAAAACGAGGACAAGGCACACCGCACAAGTACAAGGTGTTGTCGTTAGCTACTCCGCTACTATGGTATCCCGGGACGACCACAAGTGTTTCAGATGCCTATGGTCTCCGACGCCCTTGCCATTGTACTTTTTTCCTCTCGAACCTGTCCTCACAAATCTGCATTGGGGCAAATTTAGCCTGAGGCGAACTGATTTATTGCTGGCAGTGACACTCCTCTTGAACCCTTAGTCCAAAGTCGTGCCTTGCACAACAGCTGCCAGAGAATACAATCCAACAGACAGACATCTTACATTCAGGACAAAAGAAAGTGGACGATGGATACGCAAGCAGTTTGTAGCAGTGCCAAATCGTTGTTAGATTGCGACGTCTACAGCAAGTAAATGCAAGGGGGTGCTTCTCGGACTCCAGACATATGGTTCGACACTGGAAGGTGACAATGAACAGAGAAACATTGAATCTGACGCTGGCCACTTGACGCCCAGGGAAATTCCGAACGTGAGGATAAAGTTCATCACGGATAGGATAGAATTAAGCACGACAATCCAATAGACGCGGGGGTAAGTAGCCGCGCCGAACGCCGATTCTGATGCTTCCTCTCTCTGGGGTGTGTGTTCGTGCGAGGAGTTGCACAGACATTCCAAAATTGTCCTGGTTGTCAAAGGCAAAACTACCGCACTGCTGTTGCCCTTGAGATGACTCGAACGGCGTAACGGGAGAACACACCGTATTTCTCGGCCTTCTCTATCTTTTTCTTCTCCCGTGCAAGGATGAGAGTTTACGATTTATTTTGAGAGGGGACTGCCCCCTGGGCCGCGCGGGCAAGAGCTATTTCCTCCTGAACCGCATGTTAATGTCAACGGCCAACAACGAAGTGATTGTTGTTTGCGACACACCTGTTGTTCCCGCTCCTTAACGGCCTTCCGCTATACACACAGTGTTCATGGGCTTAATCAATGTCTAAATGGTGATGACAAACCTCTACAGTGAAAGCGATGAGCTACAGCTGCCAACTGGAGCAAAGTAACAGCAAACTCACCGTTTGCTCTCTCAATCATGGCGGCCCTTCTTGCGCTGTGTCCATACACCCCCACGAAGATTGCGTAGCCAGATATACCGAGAAGACTGTACACCACGCCCCGATGGATGTAGTCCAAAATGGAGAGTGGAGGCATCGGCCCGCGAACCATGGTCGTCAAAACTCAAAATCAATGTGTTACGGTCACGTCACGCCAGTGGAAAGGAAAGTGAGGGAAAACTAAATAATTCGCGCCATTATACGCTACAATAATTACAACAGGTGGGTATTTTAAGTTATACATTTTTATAATAGATACTAAGAAATGTCCGGTGTTACCAATGCCCAAGCTGAACTTTGGACTGGTCTAATCCGATTTCGATCCAGGATTCCACGCCCGCATGAAGCGAGGCGTCGTTGGCCAGGCCTAAGAACCCACAGCGATGGTATACAAACCGAGCAGGGTTGTCGTGGCCGACATAAAGAGCAACTGCCGTTTTTGTCGACAGAAGATGCCTTGTGACCCGCCGGACAAGACGCTCTGCACACCCCCTGCGACGCCAATGGGGGTTGGTGAAGACTTTGGTTATCGTCGCCACGTGGTCAGAGTTTCGCGTGAACGCGGCGATGGACGCGACCTCCTCGTTGCAGATTGGGTCTTCCGTTCGGCGAATGGTGTGGACCCAAACTTGTTGCTGCGAAATCAGCTTTTGGGCCTCGACTAGCGCTTTGGCCTCGGTAAGGAAGAATGGAGCAGAGTCCGCAGCGAACTGGAAGCATAGGGACGCAACCGCATTCACATCCCTGTCGACTGCTGGCCGAAGCTCGATGACTAGACCAGGGAACATCGTGAGTTGTCGCTGTGAAGCGATCGATTTTCGCGTGCAATAACTGAACATCGCGTGATAATATGGTGCCGGCTCTGCTCGCACCCCAGTCAACATCGTCCAGCAGGAAATGAACCCGTGCGCAATGACGTCAGGGGCAAAGACAGAATAGACACGTCTGACCGGCATGGCAGCACGCAGAGCATGTGCCAGCAAATGCAGACGGGGTTGCAGGAATTCGGTAATGCATTGGCAAGACGAGGATGGGCAGATGAACACGGGGTATGCGCCGTTATCTCCGTTCGTGACAGCGAGTATGAGATCGACTTGCTTGGAAGTCTCGACGACAATCCAGCACTGGTCGCGTTTCGACGCGTCAGGTCGACGCGTCAATTGCTTCTCGATGATGGGGAGAGTCACGTTGGAGGAAAGCTCGTTGGCGCGAAGGGTATCCAAGACAGCTTGAGGAAGATCCTCGGCGCTGTAATAGACAGTGGTTTGTGTGTACGATTGAATAGACTGAACAAGCATATGAGTCTGTGTGTGTGAGTCGAGTGGGAGGAGGGGGGATATTGACCCACAGGTAGGAGTCATTTGGCTTTTAAGCACGATCGCGTCCACTGCTGCTGTAAGCTGTTCCTTGCTCAAAAGAGCTACGAGCAATGTCTAAAATGACTCCCCGCACCCGTTTTGCTCACCGAAACGGAATCTAGATCGTCGTCATAGGCTTAGATCACCGCTGCCTTACTTCTCGACGCGCTGTTCCATTCTTCGTGCAGTTGTTCAAATAAAATGACTCCAAAACGGATGCAACAGCCAATTAAGCGCCGGGGCGCCTAGGAAAAAGCCGGCGCTAAGTCACTGAGAATTGACCTAAAGCGGATGAATCCCAGGCGCAAAGATCCTTGAGCTGTATCATTAATCTACACGAGGCAAACAGAGTGAATCAGGACAGGGTTCCGAGGAAGCAGTGACTCACGTTGGAATGTCGCAGCAGCAAGGGTGCCGCAGTGGTGAGCACAATACAGCAGAACAACTGTTGTAGCATTCAACGGTCAACCCGGACATCAGTTCCTTCGCATATTGTCGTGGGGGGAATGAAGGCGTATGGTTGCGATAGAGTTGATTAGTTGTGTCACACAGCACGTCACACCCTACCACCAACCAAAAAAGGCGATTCAAGATGGCAACCGCAGTGAGTGCGCAGGGCACAGTAGTCCGGAAAGTTGGCTGTTACCAAGGCCAGTTCAACAAGTTTCAAGCGGGTATATGAGAATCACCCAAACCCGAACAATTTTTTTTTGACTTCAAAGCAACGGGATAACGAATGGGGCGGGGTTAGGACAAAGAGATCATCGCCAATCTTACCGGATGCTTCGTTCGATATCGATAGCAGCAGGTGTCATCTGGGAAAGAGAAGACCCATAAAAGGCTGTGATTCCTGTGAGCCTGGACCATATCACGATTTACGAACATATCAGGCCAGAAACCTCCGTGCCTGGTTGTTGTGGAGATTTGTCCTGAAATGGGCGGTTTTAAACGCCCACACAGTGGAGTTGGGATTTCGCGGAATCCTTCTGCGGTCACAGTCAAATGTCCAAGCAACAACCAACATTGAAGGAGCTAATGCCGGATCTTGTGGCGTCGGTGCATTGCGTCGGGCCCGTTTGCACTGGCTAGCTGTGCGAGGGTGTTGTCGCTGGTGTACAACATGTAGTTCCGTTTCATTCCGTGGACCTCGCGGAAGCCCTCCGCCGACAGGCGCGTTGCATTTCCACCGAAGCCAAAGATGTTTTTGCGGAGCATGAGCATCATATTCGTTGTTGAGAGGGCACGAGAGTCTCTGAAAAAGTCGACACATCACAGCTGATGATGTGACAAAAACATCAGTGGCTTGGAACAAACCACGATCATGGCTACGGAAACGATACTTCCGAGGCTTCTCCTCTCTCAACTCCCTGTCGAAATCACCCTCGAGGTCGCATCTAAGCTATCTTTGTCTGACGCCCTGTCATTGCTTTGGGTGCGTCTCAATCTTTTCGATAAATTTCCGCTCTCAAGTTCAAACCCGAATAAAACAGACATGCGCGTCATTCTACGCGTTATCTGGCCAGCGCAGCTTCTGGATTGTGATTTTAACCACAGCCCGCGACCACATCCCTCTCCTGTGTCAGCCCTATACTGATTTCTCCGTATATCCTCTCGACAAGCTCCGCGAGCTAGTATATTCACAACTTCGCCTTGAGGGTAACTGGTCTCGGTCTCATCCTCAAGTGAAAAGACACCTCCCTCCCGTAAAATTTGGCGAAAAGGTTGAAATACTTTCAACCCTGCAAGGCACTGGCCTTGCACTTCTCCACCTGCCAGATAGCCGGAAACTGATCTGCTGGGACACAGAAACATCAGGGCAAGAGCCGGTCATTCCTGCTATACCGACAACAGGTCGTATTGTGGGCGTGTCGGCCCCGTTTGGACTGGGAAACGTGAGTTATGTAGCAGTTTTGATTATGCAATGGCATGAACCATAGTGAGTCGTCTCGCCGCAATTTTCGATCCAACGAACGTTGTCAGTGACTCTCTGTCGTAGTACAACCGAGAGACACCTGATAACCATCCACCACAAAGGGAAGATTGTCACCGCATTCACCAACGAGTTCACCCTCTCACGCACTCCGAATGGTCACTATTTCGAATCTCTCTTCCTCACCGAGGACCTAGTCGGAACGCTCCTCGTGGAGGAATCCGACAACCAGTGCTTACTCTCCTTCACTGGAAACAAGGAGATCATGTCTAAACCACAGACGTCCGCCAAAATGGATTTGCCCCAACATGTACGTCTCACTGTTCACCTTGTTTTGTTGACCGTTCTCAAAGCTCGTAGATATTTAACGAACGCGACTTGACAGTGTGTTTCGCGTTCCGTGGCCACTTGTATAATCTCATCGAAGATGGAGAAGTCGTCCAAATCCAACACGTTTCCCGCAAGAGCTTGTCCTCGGGGCGATGTGAGGAGACGAATCTGTTCACGTCCAAAATCAGTGCCGAAGAGGTGCTGCAGCCCTTCTGTTTCATACTCCCCAGCAACCCTCTGTACGGAATCGCCGCAGCATTCATCCATTTCCACACTGCCCACCCCAAAATTCAGCTGATTTTTGTCCCCGCAACTATCGACATTTCCAACGGAGACGATGAAGAGGATTCGCCCCTGATTTTCGCGCCGGATTGCCACATTGTCAACATCGAGGGGCGACCAGCGGACATATCGCTGGTGTGGATGGACCACAGCGGCTGCAACGTCATTTTCATCGTCGCCACTCAACTTACTGAGGCTGCCGAGGGTTTGAGTCTTAAGCTTCTCCTCGTGCGGTACCGCCGCGAAACGCAGAGCTCAACAGTCCACCGGTTGGCGCTTCCGGAAGATTTTGACGGCGCTGTCGCTGCGGTATCGGTCGACGAGACGATGGGTGCGGTCCATTTGGTCAGCGCAGTGGGCACCTTCTTCACACTATATTACGTTTAATTGGGACTAATCTATATGATAACAAAAGTACTTGATGTTTTTTGCACCTAACACTCTCAACATCACAAGCCTGCTTGAAAACACGATTTGTCAGCCGTCATTTTGATGAGTGTCACGTTTATTTTCTTCGTGTTGAACCACCGCGTCATTGTCTGGTCTCCAAGTAAACATGGCCATTGTCTTGTTCTCCGTTCCCTGGCCACAGGGCATCCACATATCGACGCAATTGTTGCTTGCTATTCTTGGGACACATGGCCACACAGCTAATTACAACGCCTTGTTCTCCGAACCGCGAAACAACAACAGTCGGGCCCTTCATAACCTCGAGGTTCTCTCGGCTAGCTTTGTTTGAACCCATCCGTTTTGGCATCCCACTTGCCCCTTCCGATATGGCTGATATTGGCATGTATTTATGCGTTGAGAGGCGGTCAACTAACGCACTTTTGACTGATAGAAACGTCTATCCGCGACGCTCAGCGACATGAGGGTAATGAAATACACGCATCAAATCCGCGCACACCAATGCGTAGGCTACCCGCGGAGTCAGTCTTTGTGCATCGCTCAGACTCTCAAACTCTGCTGAACCTTGACCAGCGTGACGGCCAGCTTGAACTCCCTGGTTGGGCCGCTCATGGCGCTTCTGCAGCCTACGCCGAGCTTCGTAACTCGGGATCCAGAGTCCCGACATTTTGCACACTCAACGCCAAACGTTTCCAATCAGCCTCCTCAAACACGATCACAGGATCCCGGCCCTTCTGGCCAAACCAGTCGGCCGTTGGAAGCGCCACAGCCTGCGCCGAACTCAAGTGGCCTTGCTTACGAACACACTAGTGTGGGCGGCGTCCTCAATGGCACAAACGACACTCAGCCCCGGACCAGCGCCCAAACGTCACGGCGTGCATCGCCCAGCGGTCATGCAACGCGATTCCACCCACAAACCCCTTCCCGCTTTGTTGCAACCCCCACTCCAGTCGCGCGTCACCCTCCTCCGAGTAATACCTCCATCCAAGCTGTCGCATTGAATGCTTCAAGCCCCAATGGAGACCCTCAAATTCTGTTGTCTCCTCATGCGCCCAGCGGCGAAGTCAATCCTAATGCTTATGATCATCCTTCCAATATTCCCAGCGCTGAGCATCGTCCTCATAATCATCCTGGGCAACCACCCCGTGACCATGTGTCTTGTACCTGTGGCACCCCCCACCCACACGCGAACCCCAACAACGCCAATTGCCCTCCAGATACTGGTCGCGGCTTCTTCGATGCCGCCCAGCTGCAGGCGCTCAACAACATTGCACAAAGCACTGCCACTTCTGCCCAAGTGCAGGGTGCCATGATGGCGATGATGCAGACGCAGATGCAGATGCAGGCCCAGACGCAGTGGCAGAACCAGTGGAATCAGTATTGGTGGCACATGTGGCACATGGGTGCACGTGCATGGCAGGCGGCAAATCCAAACCCAAATCCACAGCTGCAACCGCAACCGCAACCGCAAGAACACTGGTACGGCGGGCCGTGGCTGCGACATGGGTTGTATACTGAGGAACAGTTGAACCGAATTGCGGGAGCCCGGGCGCCGGCAGTTGTTGCGGCTTAAAGTTGACTGAGTTTACAAGATATAGTAGGGTGCTACAAGTAATAATGACAGCGCACATAATAACACAAGTTGTCCAACAAAGGGGTTTAAACGTAGCTCAGTGTGTGAAATACTTCGATCCGGTCAATGAGATGAACAGTCCCCGACGCATCGTCGACGTAGCAAGAGTGGACCCCCTGCAAGTCCAGCTTCTCGGGACTCTGCGGCCAATGTACCGTGACTGATCCAGGGGAGTCAGGTTTTTCAGGTGGGTGGTACCGAGCCAGCATCAATTTATGACTGTTGTCTTGCTGTATTACGCCCAGTACATTGCGGCCACTGTGGTCGACACAGAATGGACCCGGCAATTCGTTGTCCACTGAGGTATCAACAGGAATTGCGATGTGTGTCAAATGAGTCGAGGAGAAGTCGAGGGGGGGAGCAAGACTGTCTTCTGCGGTGTCGTCTTGTACCGGCAGGCAAGGCACAAAGAGGACGGAGACGGCCGCTTTGGTTCCTCGAATGTACACCCCAGAAATACCATATCGAGGAGAGCTAGGAAGACACCAGCAAGAGGTCGAGGGGACAGTAATGGGGATTTGGAAGTCGTCGAGCTTGTAGTATCGCAACCATTTGTGTTTTCCGCGTTTTAAGGTGGTCCGTGGTAGATGGAGTATTTCGAGAGACATAACTCCACATAGAAGAAGGATAAAGCCATGGCCATGGTAGCTGAAAGACCGTGCATGCGGTTCGCCGGCGCTGCCATCCACGTCGTAGAGCTGTGCCACCTGTCTGTATCTAATAGAGGAGGATGATGGATTCCCTTCGCGCTCGGCAACGGAAAGCCAGCTTGCTTCAGTGTCAAATGCATCTTCAAATATGCAGCACGTCGTCGCGTTTGAGACAGGAAACAGGCCTGTGGGATCCCCGATAAAACCGTCGTCGCTGATTTCGGTAGACTTGTGTTCCAGCATGAGCGCCTTGCCGTCTTTGTGGCGTATGGTTATGATGGACTGCGAGTGAGTGCTGCGAATGAATGAGTTGTATGGTTGACCATAGCACATTATGTAACCAACCGGGGTCCCTCTCGGTCGCGAGTAATGAAGATGAAAGAGTCGCAGGAGACACCATCGGAATAATTGGGTACCACGATCGATTTAATTTCCCCGCCCAAGCTGATTGGGCCCACCTCCGCAAAAAAGCATGCCTCGCGCTTGTCCCAGCAGTACAATATGTCTGAAAACATGCCATAAAGGAGCAGTATATCCGTGCCTTGCACGCCGCATAGTATCCTTGAGGACTCAAGAAGATCACCAGTTTTCAGGGGCCGAGTGAGGCTGAGCTGGGGCTGTTCTGTCGACCAATTTGCTTCAAGCTTGAGTTTGGACAACGCAAGTGACTTTAATTCGGCGAGAGTGAATGTGGCGAGGTCTGATAGTGGGGGACAATCAAGCGGAGCCAAGATTCGGGCAGCGCTGAGGATGAGTATCCAGAAATTGCGTTGGCATGTCAGACTACGGAGAGGAGTACAAGTCTGTTGTGGTCGGTATCGGAATTGGCGAGAACACAGACATACCATAGTCATAGATACGGCATCTCGGAGCCCCAAATGCCTTGTAATTTCGAGGGCGATATCTGTTGGAATACTTTCCAACATCGTCGATGTCGTCGTGGAACGAACCAACGTTCCCATCATGATCACTGATCATGACAAATCAATCAGCACCTCACTTCTTCCAACATCTTGCAGCTGGCTGCGAGCGGAGTTGTGATAGCTCAGTCGTTTTCCCGTGAAAGCTTTCATGTGCAGCGCCTTGTGGGCCTGGCTACCAAGTAAGTTGCGAAACTTGAACGCAACAAATATCCATTGAAACAACTTCAAACAAGCGGGTTGAAGCTGCCCTCCCACGTCTAGCGACACTGTCCGAGGCCAACAGCCAGCGCCGAGTTCGGCGACGCCGCCGATGCGACTTGCGCTCAATTCTAGTCCAAGCGGGTCGTTCTCGTGCTTCTTCACCGGGGAGTTGTCCCCGCGCAACATAAATAACGTCTTCGATGGCCGTGTCTCTGCTTACCGGTAAGCCTATAAATATGGCTTGCACTCTTCGCTGACCCTTCAAGTTGAATCATGCTCTTAGCCCACCCACTGGCGTTGGCGCTCCCCTGGATATTTCTCGGCTCTTCGGCTGCTCGTAGCACTTTTCTCGTCAAGCACTCTCTTCCAGAAGTCCCAGCTGGATGGACGCACGTCCATGACGAGCCCATATCTTCGGCCTACAGAATGCGACTACGGTTTGGGCTGACACAACCCCATTTTCCAGCTTTGGAAACCACCCTTCACCAAATCAGCGACCCGTCACATCCTTCTTATGGACAACATCTGAGCAAGGACGAAGTTTTGTCCTTGTCTCGTCCCTCGGATGATACTCTTGCTGTAGTAGAGGCTTGGCTGGCTGAAAATAACGCTGGCTCGGTCGTGTGGTCGCCTTCACAAGACAGCGTGTCTGCTGTCCTCGATGTGGAAAAGGCCGAGGAGATGCTTTCGACGCGGTTCGGCGTGTTTGAGCATCAGAGAAGCGGAAAACGGGCCTTGCGCACCCTCGAGTACAGTCTCCCCAAAGAACTGCTGGCACATATCACCTTCGTCCACCCGCCTACCTCGTTCATGGAGCCCGTCCGCCGGGACAGAGCGCAGTTTGATGTAGTGAAGCGCGACGGCTCCACCCTCGTCAAGCGTCCTGTGGTATTAAATCAGAGCGATTTCACGAGCTGCGTGTCTGTTATTGACCCGCCTTGTGTCCGGAAAATGTACAACATCGGGAATTACACGCCGCAGGCTGTGGCAAAAGGCGGAAATAGGATTGGAGTGTGCGTCAAATGCCTACTTTCTTCCTTTCGCATCTAATCTTACAACTTTCAGAACTGGTTATCTCGATATTTGGGCCAAACCGTACATTTCCGTCCTGATATAAGTAAAACACTAATACTCGATGTTTTAGGGAATCATTTGCCCTTTATCTGGACGACTACATCCCTGAGTCCAGAGGAAAGAATTTCACCTTTGACGTTGTCAATATAACCGGTTAGCAAACATCCGAACCTTATGCTCTGTCTAATCTCGATGCTCCAGGTCCGTTCCCCGCCAAGGATGCAGAATCCGAAGGAAACCTTGATACCCAGCTTGGTAAGGTCACTACACTCATAATCGATACTGTTACTGACGGTCTTGGAAAGCGATCCAAGTGGCCTATCCGATCCCCATGACATATTATACCGCCAATTCGATTCCGCCTTACATTCCAGACCAGAATCAGGATGGGGAAATTCCTGGACAAAACGAGCCGTACCTGCAACTTATCGATCATATATTGGCTTTGGACAACCCTCCAAGCGTGATTACGACGTCGTATGGTGACGATGAACAAACAGTGAGTGTTCAATATTCCGAGGCGATATGCAACAAACTGATGCAAATCAACCAAGGTTCCTCGGGTGGGTGATTCCGAACCATCGAATCAATAAGGAACCTATCTCCATTGTAGGACTACGCGGATGCTGTTTGTCACGGATTTGCCAAACTTGGTGCGAGGTTCGACTTTTTCTAACGAAAACGCAACACGTAGTTTGTCTGACCAAGCTTGCAGAGGAGTGTCTGTCATGTTCAGCACAGGAGACCAGGGAGTGGGAACATTTTGGGCTCCGGTGAGCATCCAGCGTGTTGTCGACGTTTTGAACTCACCTGTGGTTTCTAGGATTGCATCGCAAACACGGGAAACAATGCAACGACTTTCCTCCCCGTGTTTCCGGCGTCATGCCCCTAGTATGACTCTCAATGGGCTGTTTCCTTGCATTTAACGGTATTCAGCGTTACTTCTGTGGGTATGACCGAATTCCTCTCTGGGACCGCGTCCCTCGGCTCGGGAGCTGGTTTCTCGTACTACTATCAACGGCCGGCATATCAAGGTGAGCCTATGGAACTAACAAGCTACATCCAACTCACATGTAGAAAGACGCTGTCGTCACGAAATATCTTACCGGCCCAGCAAACGTCAACGAAACCGCTCAGAAATCAAGCATGTACAACCATAAAGGACGGGCTTATCCTGATATTGTTTGTGCTGGTGGGCTCTCTCTCTTGCACCCTCCCCCGCGCTATGCACTCAGTTTCTATTAGACAGCGGGGCTTTCTTCGATTATTATTACAACCGTTGGGATATTGGTGGCGGGACCAGTGCCGCCGTGCCTACAGCTGCAGGCATAGTCGCACTCCTCAATGACTGGCGCATCAAGCATGGGAAGCCAACTATGGGCTTCCTCAACCCATTTTTATATGGGGCTGGCTCCAAGGGCCTGGTTGATGTCACGTTTGTGTTTTTTTTTTGTTTGCTTCCAATTAACAATTCGCTATGTCTGAATCAGTGAGGGTTCCGTGTGGGGTTGCGGGCTGGAGCCGGCTTTCAATGCCACGGCTGGGTGAGTTGTCTATGGTCCATATTCTACCTGAAGAAATAGAATGTTGACTTGCGATCAGATGGGATCCTGCCAGTGGTATGTTTGTGAGGGTAACGCCTACAAATCACTGACTTGATCGTTCCAGGTCTCGGATACTTCGACTTCAAGAAGCTCCAACAATTAGTCCTGTAGTCGTGTAGTGAATTGATAAGATAAGATTGACGTGTCGTTTGTGATCCGGTCTGCCATAGATTCACGTGTTATTTTTCTCCTTCTCCATGTCCCCCATCCAGCACGGAATACGGACCTTGGGTGTGCTCGGCGCGGGCCAAATGGGCCTGGGCATTGCCTTCGTCTCCGCCTTACGCGCCAGGGTGCCCGTTCTTCTGTACGACAAGTCCCCAGAACAAGTCACGAAAGGGCTTGCGTTTATGGACAAGTTGCTGGAGAAGGATGTCGGGAAGGGCCGCATACGCTCTGAAGACGCGAAAGACGCAAGGGGACGAGTAACTGCTGTGTCGGAACTTGAGGGGTTGCGGGACGTGGATATGGCTGTTGAGGTGAGTTCATTGGCTCACAATGCGAGCTTTCCCTCACCAAAAACAAGGCTGTGTCAGAATCACTGCCGCTCAAGCAATCCATATTCAAGTCGCTTGCGGCTGCTCTGCGTCCTGACGCGATTCTGGCCACCAACACTAGCTCAATTAGTATCACAAAAATCGCCGCGTCAGCCATCCCCGCCGGACTCAGCGCAGCCAGCGAGCAAGGCAAACAGAGCGCTGGACGCGTTGTGGGCCTTCATTTTTTCAATCCGGTTCCTGTTATGGTATGCAAATAAGGCATCGCTGGGGTGCTTCTATAATGTCGGCGAAACAGAAACTTGTCGAGCTCATCTCTGCCATTCAAACATCACCGGAGACACTGGACCGTGCCCGGTCGTTTGCCGCAGCATGTGGAAAAGGTAACCATCGATTTATGCGCCGAGTAATCTTTCCAACGCGTCTACAGAGGTGACCACTTCAAAGGATGTCCCCGGATTTGTTTCGAATGCGCTACTGATGCCCTTTATCAATGAGGTCAACTTTGTGCCTTTCGTGTGGCTCTTTGCTAACCCACGTAGGCTATCATGCACCTGGAGAAAGGCATCGCAACCCGTGAAGATATAGACACGACCCTGAAACTCGGTATGAATCACCCCATGGGTCCACTACAACTCGGTCAGTCTTCGAGTCCTCTCCGTTTCTCAAATTCATGTCTTTGCAGCCGATTTGTATGTTCACTTGATTGCCTTCTCGCCGTTTTGACACGTTCTGTAGCATTGGCCTCGACACCTGCCTCGCGATTCAACAAACACTCTATGAAGGAACGGGAGACTCCAAGTATCGTCCAAGCGTGTTGCTCGAACGGATGGTTGACGCGCAGTTCTATGGTAAGAAGAGTGGGAAGGGTTTCTATGAATATTAGATTACGCCCAGTAAAATACAACTTCTTCGGGCTTGAAGCCTTTACGCGTCTGATTTCTCGTCATCTAATGGTGGTCCGTCCTTCTGTGGGGGAACCAGTCCCACACGAGGGAGTTGTAGTGGAGTACCCTCAAACTCTGCCCATCCGCCACGAAGCCCTATGTCGATAATCCTGCCCATTGCTCTCCGAAGATGCTCATCCCTTGGTATAAATTTGAGCTATCCAGCCATACAGGAAACAAGAGCACGTACCGCGTCTCAATCTCCCGTAACCGTTCCTCAAATGTTTCTGTCAACGAGTTTACTTTCGTTGTCAGCTCCCCGACTTTGGCGGCCAGGTCTTCGATATGATCGTCCACAACGTCCCTGCGTTTCGATTGGCTCCGGGACGAGCGGTAAGTCTCGCCGAGGATAAGGACCGCAGCCACGGAGAAAAGAAAGCCTTCGGCCAGCGCATTTGCGCCATTCTCGATGGCTCTAATAATGTCGTCAGAACCGATAATATAACTTGTGGAAGACAAACTTTGTCTCGGAAAGTGGCCGTATGTGTTTTGCGGGCTCGCCCAGGATATTTGTCCGCAGTCGGACCTCGGAGCGGTACATCAGCTGGGCGAGGTTGATGCATACATGTCGGAAGCGTTCGTGTCTAGACGATTTTTTTGAGGGGGATGCACACAGGAACAGAAAGTAGACCCACTGAGTTGCTTGGTGCTTGATTTGTGCACTTATAGGTTTGGCAATGGTCTCTCAAAACAACAATGAGTTTGTTGTTGTCAAATTACGAGGTTCCGCGCACTCGGATTATGAGGGTGGCGATCTTCGCGGTGGCCATGTCAGGGTCAAGCACGAACAGAGGGTAGAAGGCAGGGAAGGTCCGTGACAGCTTGTGACAGACGCGTATGTGATCGGCAGTCAGTGCCGGTTGAAAACGGAGGCCGAAAGAGTCTGATGGGATATTTTGGGATCTGACCAGGTTTGCCACGGACTTTTTTTGGCAATGCTTGTCCCAAGTTCCTTGAAGTCGTACTAATTGCAAGAGAAGTAAGCCTGACTTACTATCTTTGTTGATTATTCTCACGGTCACATGGACTCAAACGCGTGTGTCACAGGGTGACCTCTTTCCCTTCAGCTTCTTCACCGTGACCGGGACCGGTGCCATGCCGTTCCTCAACGTGAGGTTTCATCTTTCGGAAACTCTCCCTCGAGAAACCAGGGAGCGACTTTCCACTGACCTTGTCGGCCACCATGCAACACCAGCTGAATCGGTTGACGATGCCACGCACATTATCACCGATTCGGAAACTTTCGAGGGTTGGCGGGATGTCAAAAATGTCCCCATCGTCACCGTGAGGACTAAACTCGACGCAGGTGCCATTACTTACGCATCTCAGGAAGTATGGGTCGAACATTCACTCGCAGCGAACAAGATGCAAAGGTCCGATTTTAGGTGCCTCCTTCTGCTCGACTTATCCTCCTCCAGCACCGAATTTTATTCTGTGGATCCATCCAAGGTGTTTTCTGGTGTTATTGCATGTGGGGCAGATGTACGTTCTTGTCGATCCCGTATAACCGTAGACTTAGACAACTTTTAGCTTCGGACAGATGACGAAGAGGTTAGAATTCAAGTCACCCAGCCCCATTACCCCGCCTTATGCTTCTTCAGATTATCAAAGCAGGAGTCGTGAGCCTGGGCGGTCAGTGGCGGACGAGTCTCACAAAAGACGTAACACACCTGTTTGCAATGTCGACCACGTCAGAGAAGTATGCAACAGCCATGCAGCACCGCAGAGAGCACCAGTCGGGCATCAAGCTACTGTTGCCTGAGTGGTTCGATCGCTGCATTTTTTTCGGGAAGCCTGTAGAAACCCAACCATTCGAATGGCCGAAACCGACAATGCTCGACAGAACTCCAAGTAGCCCGGAGAAATTGAAACGGCAACAAGCGGCGTCGTTGTCGATGAGCCCTAAGAAGAAGGCCCTCTATACCTCTTCCGCCCTGGAGGACAATCCCAATCCCAAAAGTGTCGCCATTCTCGGCGTGGATGGGTCGTTTGATGTTTGGGAGAAGCGGCGCATCATGCTCGGCAGTTCGCTCGATCTAGCAGACTCGCGGAAGAAGATATTCGAGAATGACATTCGCAAAGCGGGTGGTATCGTCGTCAAACCAAGGCCGAACGAAACAGAACTTGAGTTGGTCGACCGATGCGATGTTTTAGTGACAAGACATCGTGCAGGTCCTGAATTCTTCAAGGTAAACTCGATATATGAAGTCTAGCCAGCTACTGAACACGCCATAGGCATGGCGCCGAAAAAAGACAATCGGGACATTAAGTTGGGTTCTACACGTCCACCTGATGAGAAATTTTTCCAGCCCAATGGATCAACTTCTCCACTTTCCGCATCCCGACCATCCTATCAAAGGTTTCCACAAGCATGTAGGGCATACTCCATGTCTTGCTTGTCTTTTTTCTAACCTTTCTTAGAAAATATCGGTCACAAATTATGCTGGTGATATACGCGACTATCTGAAAAAGCTTATCCACCTAATGGGTGGTGAGTTTACGTCCTCTTTCAACGGCAAAGTAAACACAGCGCTCGTCGCTGCACAGTATGTATCTTCAATGTTTGTTGCACAAATACTGACTCACCTTCCAGAATGAGTGGTGCTAAAACTGCCCGTGCTGCTGCCTGCGACGTCCCAGTCGTAAACCACACGTGGTTAGAAGATTGCTTTCTCGAATGGAAGGATTGGAAACTTGCGAAGGAAAAATATGTCGCCTACCCATCGGGAGTGGAGTTTTCGACCATTCTCGGTGAACGTGGTTTTGGACCACGGATCGCGGAGGTCATCGCGGCGGAGGCTGAAGAAGCTGGTGAAGCTATAGCATCAGATTCTGAGCCCGTTACACCACCCGCCGGAATGTCGCAGAATAGCTTGGAGGAGACTGAGGTGGACCAGTTGATGACTGCTCCTTCCTTTGGGGCAGAGGTCTTCTCGACCCCAAAATCAAGCCCTCGCAAACCTGTTCAACGGTCGGACTCAGATGTCGAGATTGAGCATGCTGGTCCATCAACTCGCGCACATTCCGATTCCCCTCGCGTTCTGCGACCTAGAAGCAATCAGTCTCCTCGGACCCCTTCGCAATCGTCGAGGCTGTTGCGCTCGACGACAACGCTGCAGTCGCCTTTGTCGCAAAATGGAATCAATGGCTCTACATCCAGACTGGTTGCAGACGATTCCGACATAGAGATGCAAGATGTGGAGGCAACTATTTCCCCCCGTGGTCATCGCTCTCGGTCGGGTCCGTCAAGCTCTACTAAGCCGGCAGGGAGATTGGCCGCTGACGACTTTAACCCTCAAGAAAACAGCCAGAGTCCTTCTCAAGGAAGCCGCATCGTCATCCCTCGCCCCATCAACCACAGCAAGGGAAAGGAAAAAGCACAACCAGAGTTTCGAATTGGTGCTAGTGTTCGTCAGAAACCTCAGCCGTATGAATCAGACTCGGATTCTGATCTTCCAGAACTTTCAACTCTTGCCAGCCGAAAGGCAACGGCGACGAACGGGGCGGCGGCATCCAGCTCTCCACGGAAACCGGCGCCTGTGACCCCACCACCTCCTTCATCATCCCTCATTACATCTCCAAGGACCACCAGTCGCTTCCCGACCAAGGAAGTGTCTGTGGTATTACCGACGTTGGCCTCATTGTCTGCGAAGAAACGTCAGGAGCGACAGGCTTCAACTTCATCTCAACCAACCTCTGCCTCCGCGCCGCCTCGTAGTGGTACAGCCACGTCACTTTCTAGACGCAATTCTTCTCCTGGCGCGTCTTCCGCCTTTGAAGACGGGCCAATTGCAAGCACCTCTCACAATGGCTTTGGCGTGCGGACGCGGCGAGTTGCGGCCGTCAGGGCCAATCAACAACTCCATGACACGGTGATGCCAGATGTGGTCAAGTTTCAGCAGGAGATGCGCAACAGGAAACGACGGGTTTCCGGTCGGTCGGAAGCCAGCACGGAGTATATGGATGAGGAGAGCGATGCCGCCCCAAGCCAGAAACGGAGAAGAAAATCTTCTCCTATTGCTGAAGACACGTCGTTCAGGCGCCTAGAGTGAGTTGAAGCACCAAATTGGGGAGAAAATTAAAATTCATGTTCCTTGACAGAAAGCCTATCAAGTTACTCACCACAAAGGTCGATCTCACCGATGATGTCCTGAAGGTGTGTTTTGAGAGAATATATACACAAAAAGCTAAAAGGTGTTAGAAACTTGCGCGATTAGGCGCAAAGGTGACGAACAAGACTGCGGAATGCACACATCTGGTGACAACGGGGGTTGTTCGAACCGAAAAATTCCTCTGCGCGCTTGCGGTGGCGCCTGTGATCGTGAACGAGGCATGGGCAACAGAGTCGGCTGCTGCCAACGAGATATTGGGTATGTGGTCTTTCTTTGACCCGATGTGAATTGACTTTGGCGTGGCAGATGTTAGCGACTACTTGATTCGTGACGAGGAAGGCGAGCGGCGGTACGAATTCCGCCTCGAGGAAGCGCTCAATCGCGCGCGCGTGTTGAGAGGCACGCTCTTTAAAGATCACATTTTTTTCATGACTCCAGGGTCGTTCAACAACCTGGATCTTATCCGGAGTGTCATCCAGGCGAATGGTGGGCAGGTACGCGTGTCTCACTTTTTTTTTCCATCGCTAAATTCATATCAGTTCAACTCGGTCAGGCAACCGACACTGCGACAGTTGGAAAGCGACCCGGCACACCGACACCTCGTTTCTTCTGAGGCGGAAAGCGACCTGTGGAAGACGTTGGGGATCACGGTATATAAGACCGAAATGATCCTCGCTGCGGCCATGAAGCAACAGGTCGATTGGAAGAATATATCCAGGGAGCATATTCTGCAGGGTTCATAGATGTGTTTCTTTTTTTTTGGAAAGTGAGGGGGCGGCTATTCGCTGCGATGTAGTTTCTAGTGTACTTCGGGTAGACGCGACTACCAACAGCTACCAACGCTGAACTTGGCGGCCTTAACCGGTTGATTTGCTTGTGATTATGTCTGACAAAAAAACCGGCTCTCCTAGATCTCCCAGTACTCAACAGAAGTTGAAGGCTTGATGCTCAGATTAGATATGATCAGTGAGCCTCCAGAGTCCTTCATTAATTACAGGTTTGGTACACTGTAGTGCCCTCCAGAATCGTTCGTATGGATCTCCCCGACGCTCAAGCTGAGTGTTGAAGCTCTCGGCAGTGAAAGTCGACGTCATCCAAGCCAGAACTAGAGGCTTCGGGGTCCGTAGGCAACGACGGATGTAGCGCGAAGCATGAGGATCCATGTGCGAAGGGAGTTGACAATCGGATCTTAGTAAGCAAACACGAACGATACGTCTTATACGGAGCCTCAGAATCAGCCAGCAAGGACGCGGAAAGGGTCATTTTGTGAATGTGTCTGCTTGCTTTGCGTATCGGTACAATTCAGCACAAATTCAGCACAATTCGGCCCTGAAACATATTTAAACGGCAGAAGTTGTCGATCGATGACAACGAAACACCTTCCGAGAACTTTCTTCCATGCCAAACACTGCCGTTTCATTTTCGACAATCTCCGCCAGCCCAAAATAGCTGGGTCTAGAGCGCGAAATTTTCTCGCCGACTTGGCCTCTTGGGATTTTCTCGGTCTTTGTCTTTTGACTCCAACTTTCACCCTCGACCTATCCCTGTTCTTCTCCCTATGGTCCTTCTATCCTCCCTACCCCACGAGCTGCTAGGGCAAGTCTTTACGGAATGCGCCAGCGTCTGGCCAGACGCTCCGCTCGTGCTGGGCTCGGTTTCACACCTTTTCCGCCATGTCGCAAATACGACGCCGACTGTTTGGACCCATCTGCAGCTCGAAAGCGCCTCCCCTGTCGAGAAGACGGCGCTCTGGTTCGCCCTTTCGCGTGCCTGTCGTCTTCGGGTCCGGCTGGATCTGCGAGGCGCTAAAAACTTGCCGGTTCCGCGACACGGTCACGAGACTCAGTCGTGTGACGGCGTGTTCGCTGCGTTGCGCGCTCATACGGGGCGCATTTCGGCGATGGAGCTGCGTGTCGACGACCAGGGCCAGGCGGGCAAGGTCTTGTCGAAGATTTACTCGGGCGCCAGCCCCTCAGCACTGGGGCTGCGTTATTTGCTTGTCCACGCAGCCAAGCTTAAACCCACGCCACAGCCACTAACACTTCCCGTCATACCGACCATTCGTGACCTGGATACGACAAACATCGCTATTGAAGCACTGCAGGCCCTAGACTTAGCCCAGCTGAAAAGGCTTCGCATTGTCCAGCCCCTCGTTTCCACCCCGCTTTCCGCGGACCACGTTGTCGATTTGATGCGGGCCACACCCAACCTCCGGCACTTGTGGCTTGAGGCACGGGTGGCCGAGCCAACGAGTGTGGAAACGCAGCTGATTCCACAGCTGGAAGAGGTCCATATCAGGGCCAACAACCTCGTGCCTTTGCTCGACCGTTTAGTCGTGCCAAAACTGCACAACCTGTACCTCGACGACATGGATGGAAAACGGGACGGCGCGTCAGAGGAGTCTGCTGCCGTGCTTCACCGCCTTCTGGTCCGCATGGAGCTGGGCAGGGGCGATGTCACGGACAACGCGTTGCGCGAATTTGAGCTTGTCGGCGTCCAAGTTGATCAAGACACAGAGATGTGGCAGCGTTGCATGCAGAAGATGAAGGTTCTCGAGTCATTCACGGTTAATTCGGCGACAGAGAGCGATATGGAGGAGGAATATATTCCGCCGCCTGTGTCGATTGAGCCTCTCAAACGGCCGTTTGCTTTTGGCTTTGGGTGGACAGGAATGGAGAGCAAGTAGCGTACTCTAGCTATAGCCCCCAGACAATCCCAAACTAATCTATCGGTACAGCAAATGTATAGTCGTAAGATCTGAGTAATCAATCATTCTACCTCTCCCAGATCAATTGGGTCGAAAGATCTCTCCTATGTGGCCTAACAACTCGATGACTCTGCCCAAAGTCTGGCCCAAACATGTTACTACATCCTTCTTCTTCTGTCTCTGTTTCTTTAACCACGCTGTCAATCTGGTTCTCATTTGTCGTGACTTCCTCACTTTATTCTGCCTCTCCCAGATCAATTGGGTCGAAAGATCTCTCCTATGTTCCCTAACAACTCAATGACTCTAGCCAATTAAAAGTCTGGCCCAAACCTGTTACTGCATCCCTCTTCTGTCTCCGTTTCTTTCTACCGCGTTACCTTTCCAAACCACATACGGTAAGACTTGCTATGTCAATCTGGTTCTCCTTTGTAACTTTTACCGCATCAGGAATTTGCGACCCTCTACCAGCTTTCGTGTCTCCATACATATTTCTTCTCAAAGAATGATGGAAGCCTGTTGTTGGTCCTTCGATGATTTAGCCAACAAAATCTCTGCATGCAGAACTTGAAACGGTCAAGGCTGAGGTCCACACAGTGTCACGGTTGCAGCTGAATAATGATGCATTGCAACCATTGAATCATGCCTCTGTATCTTTCTTCTTCCGTCTCCGTTTCTTCTTGCCGCTTTCCTCTGCTGGCGCCTCAGCCTCAGGCTCCTCTCGTTTCCGTTTCTTCGCCGAATCATCCTCCCCATTCGCCTCCCCTTTCTCCCGCATTCGCTCCTTCTTACCCTTCCGTTTCTTCTTCTCCGGAGCTTCCTCGGGGACATGCCCCAACCGTTCTGAAATCTTGCCCTTGAACTCTTTCAAGCGCTCATTTCGGTGGCTGTCCCAACCGGACTTGTTCTCCTGGCGATACGGCGCGTACTTTTTGATGCCCATATACTCGTTCAGCTCCGCGTCCTTGGCCTCTAGAATCTCGGAGGCGGTGAGCGAGTAGTTTTGTGGGGCGACAGAGGTGTAATGGAACCGTGTTGTTTGACCACCGACCTTGTAAAATTAGTTGGCAGTAATAAAAACGGAGGAAGAAAAGCCTACAATGTCATTGAAATCCAGCGCATAGATTTCGTCCATCCACTCTTTCAGTTTGCGCTTCCGCATTTCCTCCGTGCCATCCCACTCCTCCTCTGCGTCGTATTCAGGGACAACATCCGCATCCATTATATCCACATCGACACCATCTTCGTCTGCCGCCTCGTCTTTTTTCTTCTTTTTCTTTTTGCGCTTCTTTTCAGGCGCAGCAAGATCAGGCTCGACGTAGATGTCCCCAATGTCGATATCGTCGTTCCAAGTCGGCTTCTCGTCGTCACCGTCGTTGTCGCCATCATCCTCGCCATTGAGAGCATACAGCCCAGCCATCTGCTTGTCATGGGCATCGGGGTCCCATGGCGCATCTAGATCGATGCCCAGTTCATTCAATGCTACAAACATGTCAACCAGTTTTCTCCGCAGCAAGGAATTGGTGCACACATTCAACTTCGCCAGTGGCTACACCAGCCCGTTCTAGTCTTGCGCGAATTTCCTTCATTTTCAGGCCCTTGAGCCGCTTGACCTCTTCTTTGCGCTGTGCAAGTTCTTCAGCCTTGCGCTGTTTCCGCCGTTCTCGGGCATCTTTACGCGTGGTGTCTTCGCGGCGGACCGTGGAGGGCAATGTGCGTGGGTAGGTTTTGATCTCATTACCGTCGCTAATATTGGTTTGATTTGAGAACCGATAAAACCGAAGAACAAGAAACTCACGTTTCCTCGAATCGGAAGTTGTAAGAGCTCTCAAAGCGGTCGACAATGTCATCGAAGATCTCCTCCTCATCGTCATCGCCATCTGATCCTTCAGGCTGGTCTTCGGATTTGGCCTTGCCCTTCTTAGACGAAGTGACTTCTTTGTAAGTCGGCAATCGTTTGGCGGACTTGTCGATCCAGCCACGGTTTAATATGTAGCTTGCAAAAGTCAGTTTTAGCAAAACTTTGAGATGAAAACGCACTTGACCAAAAATTCTTGGTCTACTGCCTCCTTCGACGGACCTGCTGCGTCCTCTGCCTTCCGTTTCTTTTTCTTCTTCTTTTTTCTCTCTCCTTCCTCCTCCTCTTTTACGACTACCGGCGCATCGGCTGAGCCACCAATATCGACCAACTCGTGCAGGTCGCCGACCTGTTTCTCGAGGAATTCGCGGTATTCATTCTCTTCTCTAGCAAGCTCCTCCATGTTCTTTTCTCTGGGCACAAGGAAGTCGTCCTCTCCATCCGATTCGTCGTCATGGGCATGGAAAGCAGCGATTGTCTCCTGGCGCAGTCGTTTTTGCTCCTCGACATGCGTAAGTTGGGCCTCGTCGGGCTCTGGAGATGCGGAATGAGAGCGCATTGCGTTTTGGAGGTTCGCGGCGCGGATAGTCAGCGGTTTGCCCTGTCGACATCATGTAAATAGGGACGCTTCAAAAAAAGAAACTTAAAACGCACCTTCTCCTTGCCTTTGGACACAGCAGAGGCGGGCTGAGCAAGACTTTTCGCGGCGTGGGACGACTTTTCTTGCTCCTCCGCAAAGATATCTTTCCCGCCAGTGTAGATTTCAGGGTCCTTGCGTTTGATACGAGCAAGTGTCCGTAAAATAGCGGCATCCATCGCTGGCGTGAGCTCTTCTCCATCTGAGTCCTCTGACTCGGCGCTCTCGGAGTCTGTTTCCTCCTCTTCCTCCGAGTCGGGGTCAGAGCCATACTGGTCCTTGACTGCACACAATAAGATGTGAAGTCCCAACAAGCGACCAGAACACACGTTTTTGGAGCTCTTCGCGCTCTTTCCTGTATTCGAACGCCTTGGCGTAATGTTCGTTTATCGTTATTTGGTGCACGTCGCGCTCATCGTCGCTCTCCGAGTCGGATAGCATCGAATGATCCGAGTCGCAGAAGGGAAAATATCGAAAGTCACGTGAGACAACGGCGCATGAGAAGATACTACCAAGTCGGCGGGTACAAGGCCAACATCCAGTGCGTCGATGGGCTTTTTGTGGATGGTCATCTTACTTTTGCAGCCCTACCAGCTACAGCCAGAAACGAACCCTGCTTGATATCGTCTATGACCGCTTACAGCGTGATGACGGGGGTGTCGAATTATTCCTCGGTTTTTGCTTCCACTGGACAGGGACTTCTTCCTCGTCTTACCCGGCCTAGGCATTAAACTATCCGGCACTTCTCATCTCTTAGTTTCTGAGGAAGATGCCGCTCGGTTGCGTGGCGAAACACGTTGCAACTCGTCGCTTCTCTCGTCCGATTTCGAGTCCATTTCGCCTCTCGTATTCCGCGACAAGCCTTCGTTGGAGAAAAAGTTCGATACGCTTTCACAACCAGCCAACAAGAATAAGAAGAAGAAGGGCATCGATCGTGACCTGTCCCGCGCTAACAAGGTGTTCGTCTCGTCCTCGCAGGAGGGCCTATCTCGTGGCCAATTCGAAAACGCAAGGCGAGTGCCTTTTCATCAGCGTTGTCTTTCGACTAATCATCCTGACAGAGTCCTCTATCGCCTTGCTACAGATCCCGGAGCCGCACCGAAATATGACCTCGACTTGACCGGTTTTCCGTTGAACAATGAAGGCCGCACCCTTGACATCCCGATCTACTGTTTTGCCTACAACATATGGAACTCCGACAGCCGCTCGCTAGAAAATCGTACTAGAGAGCCGAGATTTCTCGACGTAGCCTGGGGAGAGGCACCCGCGCTCGATCAGCGAGAAACCGCCGACACGATGAAAACACTGTCCCACATTCGCGAGAAAAGCTCCGCCAATCTTCAACAGAGAAACCTTCCTATGAAGGTCGGCGCATATTTAACTCCATTTTCCCTGTCTGACGGCCAGCGTGCTAGGCCTTTGAATGGGCTGATGTCAACGGGCCCACCGAACTGCTTAATCTAGACGACATCAGGACCAAGATAGGAAATTTCTTCGAACCATTATCTCGACCTTCAGCATCTCCCGCCATTCTTCTCGTCCATAACAAATCAACGGCACTTAATGTGTTGAACCATCTTCAAGTCTCTACATCCCACTGGCGTTGGTCTGATGATTCTTTGAAGCAACTCCTCCGCGAAGTATGCATTGACTTTATTATCATGGATGGACAATGCTTATATTTGCTCTGCCAGAATGTTGGCCACCGTCCCCGTCAAGCACCTCGAGACCCTCGCCACCGACCAGAGGATCATACTTCTTCCCGAGACCGTTCTCGCTCGCCACGTCGCCAGGCGCCTAATGCCAACCGCGACGACCGCTACCGCAGACGCTCCCCCCTCTCCACCCCCACGCCGCCTATTCGCTCCGTTATATGTCATAGACGTTGAAAACTTGTACTCGACACTCTCCCGGACCACTGCTACTGGGCTGGGAACCCTGCCCGACATAATGCTCAAGACCAAGCTGTACGAGAAAGTCGACTGTGATGGCTGGTGTGCGGGAAACGAACTGTGGATGCTGCGCAAGGTGTTCATGGCCATGGCGGAGAAGGGCGGCGTTGATGACCAGGACAGCGAGTGGCCGGGAGGACTGGGCCAAATGTCGACCACTTTCGCGATTGGTGGTTATGATGATGAGGCTTCAGATTATGGGTCGGAGGAGGACGACTAGTCGCAGTTTACATGTTGTTGTCGTTGTAGTTGTACTGTCAGGTGCGATATCATCCCGTTGGGAGAACTTGTAGGCATAAAATTGTATTCACCGAATTTTCACTAGATTGCTCGTCACGGTAATGTCACATCGGCCTGTTTGCTTGTCCAGTCCCAGCAAGTATCGACGATCCCTACTAATACTTAGTACAACCTTCTCCTTCCCGCATCCTCTGCCACCCGCGTACTCATGCCTGTTTCTGGTAATGGCAAACGCTGTAACCATGACCGAACCCTCAACTGCAGTCAACTGCACGTGTTGTCAATGGGTCTTACCCGGGAACTTGGAAGGAATCCGAAGGATGGCGTTGGGAAGACAACGACGACTTGCAGCTATTATAGTCTTCAGCCTGTTGCTCCCGCGCGGGCAGGCCGCAGCCTCGTATTGATCAACGTTGTGGCGGGCTGATCCTTCTGCAACGGTCTGTGTACGATCTCCGAGTCAAGTGAAGACTATTTTGGCATTGGCATTGAAGCAAGTTGCCCGTGCTCCCGAGCGCCTTTCCGGGCGACTCGGTCTGACGTCAACCAGTATATTGGTCCATCCCCTGGGGGCTCTCTCAATATCAGCAGTCTGCCGATTGAAGTTGATTCCACCAGTTATTGACTTTCGAAAAGGCGACTTCAAAGCTGCTGCGTGCCAGTGGCATCAAGAAGGTGCTAAAAATTCCTGCTCCATCCGCGCACCTACCAGTGCGGCACCCAATCAAAGTCTAAAGCTGTCTCGAGCGCTCCACGGCATTTATTTGTCGAAGGTCAAGGTGGGCTGGAGTAACTGATCCTGAGTTGGCAACATTCGCTTCCTACTCGTATTATAAAACTGGACTCGCAGCTTGAAAGCCCCCACGATATGGACCTCCCACCGCCGCCAGCCGACTTTGTCAATGACACGTTAGGTGTGCCCCAGTCCGTACCCTTAACCATGCTGAGTTAGTGTGAGGTGCACTCCAAATTGGTGTCCTTTTATGCTACTTGCTTTTTGGGATCACGACGACACAAGTCTATATCTATTACACTCGATTTCCGGACGATGTGCAATGGATTCGCTGGATGGTGTGTCTTTCAGAGTTCATTGTCGAAAACTTTCTAAAATCTGAGTTGGATAGGTCGCTTTCGTCTGGTATGCAGTGAAAATATCACACCGACAACTTGAATGCTGCTAAACCGCTTTGTCAGGGTCCTAGAAGCCACCCAAGCAGGTCTTATCGGCTATGTGGCATATTTTTACATGATCACGGACTACGGGGACAAGAAGCATGCTCTACAGAACACACTGCCTCCGCTCCTCATCACGTTCATCTTCAATGGCGCCATTACTTCCCTTGGTATAGACATCACTGGCATCGATATGTGCCGAGTCGACTGATCCCATTTGCAGTCGAACTGTTTTTTATTTATCGCATCCATCAGCTTTCCAAGCAAATACTCATACCTGCAGTCATCTCAATCCTATCCATTGTCTATTTCATCGGGGGCACTACTTTCTCCATCGCAGGCCTCAGGTCAGACACATGGGCTCACTCGGAGGCTAAGTGGGGTTGGGACATCCTCACTACTGCTATTCTGGGTGTGACCACGGATTTGAGCATTTCGATCGCTTTGGTTGTACTGCTCATCCGCACTCGCGGGCGAGGAACAGCCTCGTGAGTGTCTCTTTTCTAGCACACTCGTGCTGATGTGTCCAGAACTACCGCAATCGTCGAGAGAGTTATTGCGTGGACTATCGGTAAGTTTTAAAGTTCAACTTGAAGTTTATTGAGTTGCGGTCTCATAATCAAATCAGAAACCTGCTCGTTGACCAGGTGAGTACCCGTGTGCTTCCCGCTCCAAGCGTGCTGACCATGTTTCTTTTCCACCAACAGCTTTTGCAGCGTCCTCATCCTGATCTTTGTAAGAAACCCACCCGCATGTATATTCTTGTCGCTCACACTTATACCAAGTACGAAACAAAGAAGCAGTCTTGTAGGAATTCGCCTCTTTATGTCCTGATTAGACTGACAAGCATGCAGTTATATGGCTTGTGTTAATTATCGTCAAGTCACGTCGTGGGTCATCATGCTTTTTTTGCAAACGTGAAAGCTCACAAGTGATAGTTTTCTCCAACTCACTGTTGGCCAGGTTCGATTATACGCGCCCTGTAGTCCTCTGAACATACTAGTATCTGACTATTATTTACTAGTCTCAATTCGCGCGCAACTTTACGGGGGGATGCCAAACGGAACCCTTCCTGCCTCAGTGCCGCCGTTTGTGAGTCTGGTCATCCCTACAAATTGCCTGAGAAGCTGGTCAATGTAAGCAGAGCCACGCCAGCTCGCGCACGATGGAAAACTCGGACGTCGAAATGTTCCGTGTCCAGGTTGAGACCAAGACGCATGTGCACCATGATGATCAAGAGAGACTAACAGGGAAATCGAGAGACATGGAGCTTGCATAACATGAACCTGGGATAGAGCACATCTATTTCTAGATATGGCTCTCAGTTGGCTAAATATTTTACATTATTATTCTGAAGCTACTGTACGAAAAATGTTCAATTGCCCTGACCTCGTTCAAGGACCCATAATCGCGTCTTCTCTTGCAGAGTCAACACGCTCTGTACCCGATCCACAATTCCAACTACCTTTTCTCCCTCCCCAGTCGACCGCGTCAGCCGTCCAGCATCAAGCGCCCACCTCTCGAACGCCGAGACCTCGCCGATTGTCGACCAAGTTTCTTTGTCCTTTGTGCGAGAAAAGAATCCAAAGGCACCATTGTTTGAATCCGATGGCGCTGTCGACGACTCCGTGATGAGATGCGTAAAGTTGGAGTATGATGTGGGTGCATCGGTTTTATCGTATACCCAATGGCCAGCCGAAGGAAGATATGGAGGGTATGGAGGAGAGTGGATATGGGTGAAAAGGGAAGCCCCGCTTTGTAAAGCGAGGTTGCAGATGTGAGCGCGAACGGGCGATGGGCTTGAAGAAATAGAGTTGAGGACACTCATCGCATGGCCTCCTGGGTAGTTCTTAATACTCGCAGAAGTCATCAACAAAGTGAGTGCGAAGTTGCAGAGAATGGCTCCAAAGGCGCCGATGAATAGAATACGGCCAAAAAAGGACGATTTTCGTCGAGATACCCTGTGGATCAAGTGAGAAAGGAATGACATATCTGATGTCACCCACATCACACTGACTCCCCGCGCAGCGACAACGTTTATTGTGGGCACAACATAAACGACAAATCGCCATTCTTTGTGACCGATGGCGCTCATAGCGGTTGTTAAAACTGTTGCTGGAAAGATGAGAGGTAGAAGCCGTCTGGATCCAGACGAGAACACTGCAAACAACGACAATGGGAGGGCCGAAAGGAGTAGTTTAGGTAGATGTGAAGTCAAGTAAGAGTGGATAGGCGATACCTGTTTAGTCTGAGCTGAGACAGAAAGCTGAAATAAGCACTTACACCCCATTCAACGCTCTTGCCTTCGACAACATTGAAGTAAATACTGTGGAACTCCGGCCAAAGGTAGGGTTGTTTCCAAAAGTAGGAATCAACAAGCATTGTCAATGCTAAAAGACGTTGGAAAGAGCAGTCGTTCGGTTCTCAAACTCACCAATAGATGCCATAGACGAAACTGCCCCGACCACAAAAGCTCGTTTGAATGATATGTGCCCTGCATACCACGATTGTAGGATGAGGGCGGCGCCAAGAGCCGCTATCTCTGCTCGGAAAACTACAGCGGAAGAAACCAAGAGCGCGATGGATGCGGTGACGCTTCTCTCGGACGGCCTTATAGTGTTAGGGGCGCGGTCGATGAGCAAATACGCAGATAGATTGACTGCCCAACAAGTCAGTCGACGTCGACAAGAAGAAGTAAATATAGACCAGGAAAGAATGCAAGCATGTTCGGAATGGTTCTACCCATCCAAAATGGCACATGGAATTGCGAGCAAGTGAGCAACGTGTAGTAGAAGCCTGTGGGGCGGCCAAATCGTCGGGATACTGCGTGTCGAATAAAACATAGCCCAATAGCATTGATAGTAGCCAAGACGAGACGGACTGGCAGAGAAAAGTATCAGTTTTGGCCGGTGATAATGTTAAACAACGCACCGATAACCTGGATCTCGAATTTGGATGGGAGTAAATCAAAGGTTGCAGCAATGTAGATGAAAGGCTTCGCCAGCCAAGCAAGCAAGACGCCCCCGATGAATGTTCTGGGTACAGCACCAGAAAAGGCAAAGTGGTCGTACTACTGGTGGGCAATTTAGAAAACAAAATTGACCCGAATGTGAAAGAACAAACGTTGGGAAGTGCGGAGGGAGAAATTCCGTACATCAGGACATCATGAACGGCATGGAGGTTGAAGCTCTCTTCGACCTTTGTGTAGGGAGCAAGTAGAACATGTGTCCAAGCGCTGGAGACGACGAGGGCGTCTAGAACCAAACTCATGGGTGAAAGCCAATAAGTGTGACAGGTGTGACTCCACAAACAAATCTTGTTCGGATTTGCCATGAACGAAGCGCGACAATACGGCGAACTTGCCACTCAGCTCGTTACAGAGTCTCGCAGGTCAACACAGACAGACACATTGCTTAAGGAAGGGCTTGCACGCTAGCCACATCTGGAATGGCAATATCGGGTAATATTCGAATCGACGGTTGGACGTAAAATGGCAAAGAAGCTTACTCTTGCTTTTGACCACGATGAAGCGGGGCTTTCTTAACGCCAAGACAACAAAAGAGCGCCTTGCATCGAAAAATGACCTCGGTACGTGTCCTACTATTGCTGCTATGTTCACAGCTTGAAGAGGAGAAAGGCACTCATCCTAGTCAGCTTCCGTATGCAATGCTTAATGAGCCAGGTTCGTGGCTCTCAGTTTTTCAATTGAGACCTGCTCACAGTCACCGTCCCTCAAGGCTACGAAACAAAGCCAAGTGAGTCAAATATCGTCCCGGAAGGATCCAGTAGCAAACCCCTGCCAGGCTTCGTGGAGTATGCGTATACCGCTCTTCCCCAGGTCGACGACGAGCCCCATACGGAATGTTTGTTTCTGCTTGAGAGTCAAGAAATACTTTTGAAGACACCTGGCTTTCCTAAGCCACTTCCACCAGCTCCTGCCCGTCCGTCTTTTCGTGTTGCACCTTCTCCTGGGAAAGGCTTGGGTCTATTCAGCACCTGCGACATCAAGCAAGGCGAAGTCATCCTTTATGAGCGCCCACTCCTAATCGTACCGATGGCCATTCCGTCGAGCGCTCCCAAGCATTTTTCTCAGACGCAGCTGATCCAGCACTCGCTCAATGAGCTCGAACGCTACTACAAAGTAGCCGTGGACCGTATGACAGAACAACGACGAGCTGCCTTCATGAGTCTCCACGATTGTCACACGAAGGATGGGTCGGGTCCGATTGTTGGCAGGATAAGGACGAATGGAATCTGTCTTTCTGGTCTACAGCCGGCTGGATTGAAAGCCAACACGGACGATGCGGCCAGGATGGGGAGGTATACCGTTATCTCCGAGTATATATCACGTCTCAACCACAGGTGTGCTTCATTTTCCTCTCTTCCTTAATCTGACTCCCGCAGTTGCTCCTCAAATACCGCTCCTTTGTTCGATAAAGCGATGCTGGCTTATCGTCTTTACGCTGTTCGCGATATTGCCAAAGGAGAGGAGCTCACTTTCCAATACGTCGACGTCTTAAGTAGCAAGAGCGAGCGAAACAAGGCGCTCAAACCCTACGATGTCGTCTGCACATGTCCCTCTTGCACCGAGCCGACCGCGCGAAGCGACAAACGCCGCTCTGCCATTGGCGGTTTCATGCCAACCATCCCAGCCTGGGCCGCCAATCGCCAACTGTCCGATGACTGGCTGATCAAAAGGTCGACCGCGCTGCTTAGTCTCATTGAAGAAGAGCGCTTGGAGCATCTCGAACTGAACTGCATTGCGACTCATGCGATTATGGAGTGCTACATCTGTCTGGGAGACAGCGAGAATGCGAGCAAATGGGCTGCACGTGTCATTCGCCAGCCGTGGTCGGGGGTCTACAAAGATCATCCTGAGGTTCACGAGTTGTTGGACCCAAAAAGCCCTGCCTACGCGAAACACGGGTTGTGGCGAATGCGTGTCGACGAGAATCCAACGGGCGACATGGGTGCGATCTTCAAAATGATGGGGGACGTTTGTGGTCCAGACGGAATGAAGACACTGAGCGGTGGCCAGGGTTTGTTCATGTTCCAACCTGGCCAGAATACATCCCCGGAGGGTCTGAGGAAGATTGCTGAGATTCTCCAGCGTTCGAGCAACCTGAAGGGTTGATAGTTTGATGTGTTGATAGTCACGTGTGTCATCTTGAAACTGACGTTTTTCCTGCCTTTTGGAGTCTGGACTTATCTCTGCTTATTTTCCCAACCAAACTATGCTCGAACCTGGACGAGAAACTTACTCAGCGCCGCGGTTAGGAGGATCCGAAACTTAAGGGAGGGGAAGACGACATACGATAACCCTCGAGCCTCTGGACCACACAGGCTGACAACGAGGCGCTAACTGAAGGTGCGGAACTCACTCCGAAGAGCTAGGAAGAACTCCGAAGTCTCACAAAACGGGCACCTGTCGAAAGATAGCTCTAGCCAGGCTTCGTCGATCAACTATGACACGTAAAAGTTTGCGGGTCGACTTCTTCCCTTCACCGTCATGAAACGAGGTTTTCTCAACTCTCGGGCGGCGAAAGAAAAGCCTATTGGTGCTCCTCCTGTTGCCGCTGGTGAGCTCACATCATTGAGGTACTTATGCCAGATGGCTGAAAGCACTGGCAGTCAACTCCAAGGATGTTGTTAATGAAGCGTCGTCCCGCGTGGTACTAGATGAATCAGGTCTGTTCTACGCCTTGTGTTTGAAAGTTACGCTGGTTATTGACCGTTTTCAGCGTTCAAATCCACCATAGACCTCATGAGAAACCAGCTGAGCCGCCGGTGCAAATCTGATCAGAATAGTAAAGCCCTGCAACGCATCCTATACATCTATAGAGCGGTTCCTAATTTCGCTGACGAGCCGGAGCAAAACACGCAGTGTCTTTGGTATCCAGAGACCTACGAGTTATTGTCCAAGACTCCCGGTTTCCCTCAACGACTTCCACCGGCTGCTTCTCCTCCTGCCTTTCGTGTTGCCCCATCTCCCGGAAAGGGTATGGGCCTGTTCAGTACTCGCAAGATCACACAAGGCGAAATGATCTTCTCTGAGCGCCCACTCCTTCTCCAACCCGCACCCACCATGGTCATCACTCCCAACGGACTTGATGCTGCCGAGGAGGCCAAGTGGAGGTTGAACGAACAAGAGCGCTACGCGGCGAAGTGTGTGCAGCGTATGACTCCTCATCAGCAGGCAGCATTCATGGGTCTCCACAACTTCAACCCAAACGACAGGACGGGTCCGATTTTTGGCAGGATACGGACCAATGGCATCGGTCTCTATGGTCTCGAGTCGGGGATCGAAGGCGACAAAGGAGTCTATGCAGCTGTTTGCGATAACATTTCGCGTCTGAATCATAGGTAAGAAAAAATCGACTGTTAACGCTGCTTTTCCGACCGTTTTTCCAGTTGCTCTCCGAACACGTGTCCGCGCTTCGATCGTGCATCGTTTTCATATTGGCTCTATGCAGTGCGGGACATTGCGGAAGGCGAAGAGCTCACTTATCAGTACAGCGATGTCTTGGTCAGCAAGGTCGAGCGAAACGAAGAGACGGAGAAGTATGGTTTCGCCTGCATGTGTGCTGCTTGCAAGGAACCAACCGCGGAGAGCGATAAGCGTCGTTCCGAGATTGCCGCCTCAGTGCCATCTGTCCTGACTTGGGCGATGGATTGGGGGTTGCCAGACGACTGGCTAATCAAGAAGGCTATCCGGCTACTCGTTCTCCTCCAAAAGGAAAATATACAGCATGTGGAAGCCTATAGCACCGCTACCCATGCAATTCTGGAGGCGTATATCTGTTTGGGAGACAGCAAAAACGCAAGCAAATGGGCGGCGCGGGCCATTCAACAGACTTGGTCAGAACTCTACCACGAGAGGCTTCAGGAGCTGTTGGACCCGCAGAGCCAAGCGTACGAGGGGCACGTTCTTTGGCGGATGAGAGTCGACAAGAGTCCGAGGAATGAGGTTTTCAAGGCAATGGGGACGGTATGTCGCCCTGAAGGGATTGGGATTCTTGATGGAGGCCGAAAATTGACTTTCACCGCCGACGAAGGTGTTCTGCCGGGGACATTGGAAAAGGTCCTCGCTACCGTGGCTCCCGCTATGAACGATGCCAAGTTCAAGCAACTAGCGACGGGTTAATGTGAAGATGGGACGGCAAGATGAAGTGTATTACACGGTATCATTTCTTGAGATACAACCATTGTTTATCTTCCTTCAAGTTGGGTTACCGCTCAAAATGTAGGAGGTCACGGTCGAGCTTATGTAATGCGTCAGGATTAGGTGTAAATAAGCGCAAACAACCACTTCTTGGAAAGAATGAGCCACCGTCGACATCCCCGACCCGTCCCTTCGCTTTGCTTGAAATTGAACAGGAAGATCTTGTGAAAGGCAAGGTCGTCGTTGCAGATATGATGACGCTTGGTTCTAAGCGCAAGCCAAACAATTGAAGCAATGGTCCAAGCGCGATCAAAGCTTTACACGTAAAATACCAGAGAGGGCTTGTCCAAGACCTTCACACTTGTTATCCTCCACCACCTCTCATGATGCGGCGCGGCTTCCTCATCTCCAAGAAAGCGCAAGAACCCGAAGTAACGACCATCAAACGCGCGAATTCTCGAGAAGAACCTATCCGCCTTGCTCTCGAAAAGCCAGGTTCGTGGCCGACAAATGTTCTTGCTACCAACAGTAACTGTGTACAGTTCATATCCCTGCTGAAGGTTACAAAACGAAGTTCCAGCTTGTCGACGGGTGGGGCGACGACCCCGGATGGTCCAACTCACATTGTGACCACTCTCCCTCCTCTTAACAACAACGAACCCAACACCCAGTGTTTGCTCCTCCAAGGCACCAAACAGGTTATCCTGAGTACTCCTGGCTTCCCGAAACCACTTCCGCCACCACCTGCAAGTCCTGCATTTCGACTTGGGCCATCGCCCGGCAAAGGCATGGGTCTATTCAGCACCCGTCAAATCAAGCAAGGCGAAATCATTCTGTGGGAGCGACCATTGCTCATCATGGCATCTGGAATTCCTATCGCCTTTCCTGCTAGTTTCTCAGAGGCACAGCGGGCACAGCATGCACTCAACGACCTCGAGTTTTATATGGAAACAGCGGTCAGTCGCATGAAGCCGGATCGTCGTGCTGCCTTCATGGGTCTTCACAACTGCCATAAGAAGGACGGGTCAGGGCCATTGATGGGCAGAGTTCGGACGAACGGAATCTCTCCGGCGAGCCAGACAAAAACAGAGGTGGATGTCAAGATGGCAGACCATTCCGTGGTGTCAGAGCATATATCGCGTCTCAACCACAGGTGTGTTTTGTCGACACGCTTTTATTCTTTTGGCTGATGTGTTTTAGTTGCTCTCCAAATACGCAGCCGCGCTTTGACTTTGCGACATTCGCACACCAGCTCTATGCCGTCCGTGATATTGCTGAAGGAGAAGAACTCACGCTCCAATATGTCGATATTTTGGTGAACAAGACCGAGCGGGCAGAAAACCTCAAACCCTACGCTGTTGTCTGCACGTGTACTGCTTGCACCGAAAATCCGAGAGAGAGCGACAAACGGCGTTCGGCCATCGCTAGCTTTATGCCTAGTGTCCCGGTTTGGGCTGTCAACCGCCAGCTGTCGGACGACTGGCTGATCAAGAAAAGCCTCCAGATCCTCGAATTCATCGAAAAAGAAAAGGTTGAGCATGTTGCAATGTACAACAACGCAACGGCCACGGTCATGGATGCCTACATTTGCCTGGGCGACCGTCAGAACGCGAGCAAGTGGGCAGCAAAAGTGATGATTCGACACCGTTGGGCGGAGGAGTACAAACGAGTCGAGGAATTTCTGGATCCGGACAGCCCTGCGTATGTGCAGCACCCGCTTTGGCGACTACGCGTGGACGAAAATCCGACCAATGCCAAGGGGGCAATGTATAAACTGATGGCAGAGGCGTGCGGGCCAGGAGGAGTGTCGACGATGAGCAATGGCATGGGCCTGTTTACGTTTGCACAGGGCCAAGAGATTCCACCGGAAACTCTCAAGAAAGTGCTTGCCATGGTCAAGCAGGGAAAATGAGAACTTGAAGCAGAAGAGAATGAATTGTAATTGTACGAACTGAGCGCTGAGCAGTTGTCTCCTTTTGTTGTTGTTGAAACTCTGTAAATCAAATTCACGGCGTATATGTTGGGTCACTGAATGTACTTGAAGATTCGCGGAGGCTCTTCAATATGTCGTTTCTACGTCTCCGTTTCAGGGAATTGCTAACAGGATTACATGCCAACAAGCGTCAACAGTGTCACCTCAGTTTCGCTTCAGCGGCAAAGTGGTTGCGATCAATCAAGTTGGTTGTCAACACGCGTAAACATTGTCACTTCTCGGAAAACTTCAACTGTACCAAGAAAGAATCCACCATCGCTCCTCAGCTAGGTCCGACTCTTCGTTCTTGTCATTGTCGTTTCCTGTCATTACTAGCATCCGTCTCAGTATGCATTGTTCAACCGTATCAAGCCAAACAATCGAAGGAATCGGTTGGATCACGTAAAACTTTGCAAGAGGGCAAGAGGCTTTGTCTGCTAAACGCCACTCGAAGCTATCTTGTCTGCCTCTGCCTACCATGAGGCGCGGCTTCCTGAACTCGAAACCAGCGAAAGAACACCCCAACCACCCCGGGCCCGTCTCCTCGTCTCAAACAAACACTAACTTGAAGCTCCCTAGTAAAGCAACTACCACAGTCAAGTCGTCACAAGAAAACGATCTCCCTCGTTCATTTCCTTATGCCGCGCAGGAAAAGCCAGGTCAGTGGTTGCAGTCTGCTTGTTTCTTTGTGAACTCAAACCTTTGTACAGTCGAAGTGCCCAAAGGACACGAAACGAAGCTCAACTTTGTCGAGGGGTCCGGCAATCCTCAGGCCACTTACATTTGGACGGCTCTTCCCCAAGTCGATGATGGGCCTGACACGGAATGCCTGCTGCGTGCGGGCAGCAAAGAGGTCATCTTGAAGACTCCGGGCTTCCCTAAACCACTTCCGCCAGCCAACTCTCCCCCTGCATTTCGAGTTGGGCCCTCGCCTGGTAAAGGCATGGGTTTATTCAGCACCCGTGACATTGAGCAAGGCGAAACCATCCTTTGGGAGCGGCCCCTGCTCATTGTCCCGCTGGGGATCCCGACTTCCCTTCCTGCCGGTTTCTCCAAGGCCCAATGGATACAGCATTCCCTCAACGAGTACGAGCGCTATGTCGAGGTTGCGGTCAATCGAATGCAAGAGCATCGTCGCGCTGCGTTTATGAGCCTCCACAACTGCCACACCAAAGATGGGTCAGGACCGTTGGTGGGCAGAGTTCGGACTAATGGGATCGGGGTCGACGGGCTGCAGCCTGCAACTGCCAAAACGGAATATGACATGCGGGTATCGAGTTATAGTGTCATTTCAGAGCATATCTCGCGTCTGAACCACAGGTGTGATTGCTCAAGTCGTGTTCGTTCCGCTCATGCTAATATACTTCAGTTGCTCCCCTAACACTCGCCCATCCTTTGACCGCGCAACGTTTGCTCAACGGCTCTATGCTGTTCGCGATATTGCCGCGGGAGAAGAGCTCACTTTCCAATACATCAATGTTTTGGCGAAGAAGACGGAGCGGGATGAAGGCCTTAGCCCCTACGCTGTCGTCTGCGCGTGTCTTGCGTGTACTGAGGGTACAGCAGAAAGCGATAAAAGCCGTTCGGAGATCGCTGGTTTCAAGCCGACTTCCAGCGTTCTAGCTTGGGCTGTGAATCGTCAACTTCCCGATGACTGGCTCATCAAGAAATACATGATCCTTCTCGATCTTATCGACAAGGAGCGCTTAGAGCATCTTGACGTATATTGCGTCGCCACGCGTGCTATTATGGAGTCCTATATCTGTCTGGGGGACACCCAGAACGCAAGCAAATGGGCAGCACGTGTCCTCCGCCAGTCTTGGTCAGAGATGTACGAAAGCCAGCTTGGGGTCGACAAACTGTTGGACCCGGACAGTCCTGCTTATGCGAAACACGCGCTGTGGCGAATTCGAGTCGACACGGCTGCCGCAACGGGCGCGATGTCCAAACTAATGGGAGAGGCGTTGGGCCTCGGTGGGTGGTGAGGGTTTGTTTGCGTTACCGCCTGGCCAGAGCATGCCGCCGGGCGTTATGGAGCAGATGCTCGCTCTAATGAGCTTGAATAACCCGAGCAAAGGGTAAAGATTGGAGGACCATTGGCATCGATGGAGTAAATATACGGTAATTTACTACCAAGCAATCTGTACCCCGCTTCGAGCTCTGGTCAGCAAGTCCTTGGCTCGTTATCTAATGAAACTGAGGACCCGATCCGGTGTCGGCAATCTCATAGCCGGAGCTTGAAGTCAGGTGTTTACCGACGTCAGTGACAGCATCCAGACAGTCCTCTTCTCAAACTCTTCGCCTTTTATCTCCTGCGCTCACGCGGCTGGCTTGAGGGGGCAACATCACTTGGCGGAGAGTTGGGGGGCGACATATCGATGCGATCTGCGGCGATTGTCGCAAAAGCGACCCTCTCGACCGGGCCTCGGAGCCCCAACCGGAGTCCCGTCTTTTCTGAAGCGTTAATCGACGGGTGAAACTGTCAATGACGGAGTGCAAGCCCCTAAGACCCCACACGGGTCAAATGGGCTAATTCACATGCCTCTGCGACTCTCTCTCTTCACCATTCGCTATCTTTAAAGTACTCGCTCCTTTCCCGCCACGCATATTCAGCATAAACGAGTAACTTGGCTTCTCTATGTCGCGGTCGGGTAACAAGAAACCGGTTGGGTTTGCGACACATATCGCTGCTGGTGGTATTGCTGGAGCATGCGAAGCGGTATGTTGCTGGTCGTTTCGGAGCTGTGGGATGCTCATTCCTGGCGGAAATTATAGCTAGCATGCCAGCCTCTCGACACCATCAAGGTCCGAATGCAGCTCTCCAAGTCTGGTCTCGCTCCGGGTGTCCGTCGTTGCCTCCTTTTCCCACCTCTCAGAGTTGACGCTGCCATAGACCAAACCGCGCGGGTTCCTCGCCACTGGAGCGCTGATTGTTCGCCGCGAAACGCCTCTTGCACTGTACAAAGGCCTCGGGGCCGTCCTCTCTGGCATCGTCCCTAAAATGTCCATCCGTTTCGCATCGTTTGAGCAGTACAAGCGCTTGCTCGCGGATCCAAACACTGGGAAGACGAGCACGGGCATGATATTCCTCGCTGGGCTCGGCGCCGGGACGACAGAGGCTGTTGCTGTCGTCACGCCTATGGAGGTCGTGAAGATTCGACTGCAAGCACAAATGCACTCGTTGGCAGACCCGACGGAAGCGCCGAAGTATCGGAATGCGGGACACGCTGTTTATACTATTGTCAGAGAAGAGGGTGTGGCAACGCTGTACCGTGGGGTCAGCTTGACGGCGCTGAGGCAGGCGACAAACCAAGGTTCGTTGTGACTTTTAATGACCGTAACTGATGTCGTTGGAAGGCGCAAACTTTACTGCATACCAAGAACTGAAGAAATTTGCGCATAAAATGCAGCCCGACCTTGTTGAACTGCCGTCTTACCAGCATATGATCATCGGACTCATCTCTGGTGCAATGGGGCCATTTTCGAATGCGCCGATTGACACTATCAAGACGCGTTTGCAGAAGTCGCCAGTGGACCCAGCCAACCCACAGTCTGCGTTTGCGCGTATTTCCGCAATTGCCGGCGAGATGTGGCGCCAAGAAGGAACGCGGAGTTTCTATAAGGGCATCACACCCAGAGTGTTGAGAGTTGCGCCAGGCCAGGCAGTCGTTTTTGCGGTTTACGAGAGGGTTAGTGGGCTGATAGAGAGCATGGGCAAGCGCGTCGTGGAGGACGATGGCTACTCTGAATAAAGTTAAGAGTAAAGTGTAAGTATTTTAGGGCATAAGGCGTAGATGGGTAATTTATGATGTATTTTCTTTGGAGTTAACGTTACAAGTACCCGTGGAAGATTCCAAGCCACCCGTCCGATGGAAGTCGAAGGTGATTATCGTTCGAGTCCAATTTGAATCGTTGACTCTTGACTCGAGATGGGCGCGGTCGAGAAGAAGAACGCCGCCTGTTGTCTGACACTTGATGAAGAAGTTGATGCCTTCTCTAAGCGCTGTTGATCAGCGGGAGAATAGGACCTGCCAGTGTTGACTGAGTCGGTCGTCGAGCGCGATGGTGGGATTACACCCTGCATTATTTGGGGTGTAGCAAGGGGCAAGGGCCAGTCAGGTCGGGCAATGATGGTGAAAAGTGTGGATTGATCAGAAACGTCACTGGCGTGACACGGCATTCTCTCTCTTCTCTTTACGCGTTGTTCACGATGGCTTCATGGGCACCCCAACAACAGGGTCTTCAGGAGGTCCTGCAGACGCTTCATGAATCCACCGACATGAATGTAGCCGTTCAACGCGCTATCACCCAGGTATGTCTTCCGCTGCTGTTTTTCTCCATTGAACTCCAGCTGAAAAGACCCACACAGAAACTAAACAACTTTACTCGCGCGCCCGAGTACATTGCCTATCTGGCATATATTCTAACGGCCATGCCACAAGAAGAGGACCGAATCCGCACCATCGCTGGCTACCTCCTCAAGAACAATGCCCGCCTCATCCTGACTTCAACCCCAGAAGTCGCTCAATATGTCAAGGCGGCGGTCCTCCAAGCGTTCACCGACGAGTCGGTCATGATTCGCAATGCGGCAGGTCAAGACATCGTCGCTTTTCTTGGCCAACTCGAACCCCGTCACTGGCCTGAGTGCCTTCAACAGCTAATGAACACTCTCGACTCACCTGATTTGGATCGACAAGAGGTACGTGCCCTAAATAGCTTACAACCCAAGACTAACTTTCTTTTCTACACAAAGGCCGCCTTTAATGTTCTCGAAAAGGCATGCGAGGACTACCCCAGAAAAATGGACGTTGAGATCAACGGCACCCGCCCCCTCGATTTCATGATTCCGAAATTCCTCATGTTGGCCGACCACCCATCTGCCAAGATGCGCTCCCATGCGATCGCCTGTTTATCGTACTTTGTTCCCGTCGGAGCCCAATCTCTCTTCGTCCACATCGACAACTTCATCGCCACTCTCTTTAAACGTGCCTCTGACGATGACCCTTCCGTTCGTCGCCACGTTTGCCAGGCCTTGGTCCTCCTACTTGCAGCCCGACCGGAGAAACTCATGCCAGAGATGAACAATGTGGCGGAGTACATGCTGTACTCGACCAAAGACAAGAACGAAAACGTTGCGCTCGAGGCATGTGAGTTTTGGTTGACCTTCGCTGAAGACGCCGATTTAGCCGTCCATCTACATCCTCTACTCGCCAAAGTTGCCCCTGTTCTACTCGATTGCATGGTCTATGGCGAAGACGATCTACTCTGGCTGGAAGGTGATGCTGAGGATGCAGCAGTCCCCGATAAGGAAACGGATATCAAGCCTCGTCACTATGGAGGTGGCAAATCTCATGGACTCGAACGCGAGGCGGACGGAAATGAGCCTCCCAAGACGCGTATTGGGGCTTATGGTGAAGAAACCTTCGATTCCGACGAAGAAGACTACTTCGACGACGAGGATTTTGCCGATGAAATGTCCACTGAATGGAATCTGCGAAAATGTGCCGCAGCCGCTTTGGATGTCTTAGCGGTCAGGTTTAGTGGCGACTTACTCAATGTCCTGTTGGGCCCATTGAAGGATAAATTATGGAGCAACGACTGGCTACAGAGGGAGAGTGGGATTCTCGCGCTAGGTGCGATGGCCGAGGGTGTGTATTTCAAGTGATAATGTGAAAATAGAAGCTAACCGCATCGGATTCTAGGTTGCATTGAGGCTATCGAACCGCATCTGCCGACTCTCATTCCATATCTCATCAGTACGCTATCGGATTCCAAACCCCTCGTTCGTTCTATTACTTGCTGGACCCTTGGCCGCTACGCAAGCTGGACGACCCAGCCCATATCCGAGGAGCACAAAAATCAATACTTTGTGCCAACGATGGAGGGCGTAAGAATCCTCCATTTGTCACCGCTTTCTTATCACTGATTGCGGTTTAAATAGCTTCTCCGAATGGTCCTTGACAACAACAAACGAGTTCAAGAGGCTGGTTGCAGCGCCTTTGCCACCCTCGAAGAAGATGCGGGCATGGAGCTTGCACCTTACCTGGAGCCCGTGCTCCAAAACCTCGTCATCGCATTCGACAAATATCAACACAAGAATATGCTTATCTTATACGATGCCGTTGGCACCCTTGCTGATGCAGTGGGTCGGGCGTTACAGAACCCGCGTTATGTCGATATCCTGATGCCTCCGTTGACCAAGCGTTGGTCGCGACTGAAGGATGACGACGAAGATCTGATTCCTCTTCTCGAGGTTTGCTTTTCGATCTCTTTCCGCCGCAGCTTTTGTTCATCAATGTTTTTAGTGTTTGGCTTCTGTTACAATCGCCATCGGAACGGCATTCTTGCCGTATGCTCAACCCGTTTTTGAGCGCTGTAATAACATCATCCACAATGCACTCCTCAAATACCAGGCCTACCAGCAGAATCCGGAATCAGAGGAGCCAGACAAGTCGTTCCTCGTTGTTGCTCTCGATCTTCTCTCCGGGTTGACTCAAGGCATGGGAATGGAGCTGCAACCATTAATCACAGCCAGCAACCCTCCTCTTCTCGCCCTTCTCACTGTTTGTCTCAAACACCCGCAAGCGCCCGTTCGACAGAGTGCTTACGCACTTGTTGGTGACATGGCAATGGGCTGTTTTGTTCTCCTCCGCCCCCACATGCCGGGCATCATGGCCGAGCTGACTCTTCAACTGGACCCGGAGCCGAAGTACGACTTCATCAGTGCGTCCAACAACGCGGCCTGGTCGGTTGGCGAAGTCTCGTTGCGATATGGAAGGGGTATGTCGCCTTCTCTGTTCGCCTGCGTTGCCCTGTTCCTGACGAATTATAGACGACCCCGAGTTTAAGCAATGGGTCAACCCGCTCATTGCCCGGCTAATTCCTATCCTACTGCATCCCAAGGCACCACGAAGCTTACACGAAAACGCCGCCGTTTCCATTGGACGAATCGGGTTGACTCATCCAGACCTTGTTGCGCCGCACTTGCCCGAGTTTGCCCAAGCCTGGTGCCAAGCATTGTACGAGATTCGGGACAACGAGGAGAAGGATTCTGCATTCAGAGGTTTCTGTACGCTTGTGCAACATAACCCACAAGGCATCGCCAAGGTTATTTTCTCTTTCCTGATGTAATCCTTGATCGCTGATGCGTTTTTTTTCGTTTTCGCAGAGTCTTCTTTGGTTCTGCAACGCTATCGTGCGATGGAACCAGCCCTCTCCCGAGCTCAATGAGATGTTCAGGACGCTCTTGCAAGGCTTCAAGAACCACGATGTCGCCGCATGGCAGGCACAAGTGTCAATGTTCCCCCAGCCGATCCAAGAACGGCTCGCTGCACGTTATGGCGTCTAATACGACCCCCCGAAAACACGACTCAATCAACTCACGATGTATGACTAGCCCTCTTTTTTTTCTCCCTCCGTTATCGTTTGCCGTTTTTCCTGGTCGGTCGGCCGGGTGTGCTCTTTTCCTGCTCTGCCTCCCCCCACCCTCCACCCACCCCTTTGGTCTCTTGCATCTGGATCTTTTAGTAGCAGTAGTGAACCCCACCTTTCATCGTAGCTGTAGTATCTTCCCCCTTGTTATCACGTTTGCATATCCGAATCGCTCTCACCTATCCACCCTCACATCCCCCATCCACCATCACGCTCATTGCTCATTTTATAGGTAGTATTAGTAGTCAGTAGTATACAGTAGGTAGTCAACAAAGTAGTGTAGCATTTCTCACCCCATCATGCAAGTAGATACCACGGCATCTCCATATCCAATCTGTATATTGTCTTCATTAAATAAACTATGGCTTCTTAGACTGAATATCCCAGTGGCCAATTATTAGAGAGGAATTTGAGTACACAACTTCAAATATTCTCTAGCTACTTGCAGCTGTATTACAGGAAAAATGGGGACTTTTTGATAGACAAGCCAGTTCAAAGTTTCCCAAGGCTGCTTTTTGCAGCTGCTGAGAGTCTCTGTTTTTTTAAATAAAAAAAAGTGGAGCCTGCCAATGGCTGCCATCCTAGTTGTTTGGCCCGGATCACTCGCAGCCCGAGGACAAGAACACCAGTGAAGGGCCGGCGCCGACCCAATGTAATCCTTGTTCATATGGAGAACTTATCCTACAGTCTCTTTTGTCTTGCAATTGGCGCTGAGCTACAAATAGGAAATGTCTACCAATCAAGTTGCGGTCGGAACACGGTGAAAAAATCAAGAGTCGAGAGCTTTATCGATGCTGTTGATAAGTACGGTATTATCTTCAAGTTTTCTGTTTGACAATCAGAGCAAAAATCTTCTTCATAATGTCTGAGCAGACTGGTTCTGGCGTCCGGGTGTGAACGATCAGCTTAGAAACTCTACATCCACATTCGCATTCGCATTTGCCACAAGGGGTGTTGCGCGTAGGCAGGACTTCCCGGGTCCAAAAGCTCCTTCACCGGATAGCTCTCGGCTTCGCACTCCGACCAAGGCCGCAGAGCTACCCGCGCTGCCCATTTGCTCGCATTCCGGCTGTCCCCCAGACAGATGTAGGAGTCCATAATCGCACGTGTGCCCATACAGTACCCCTCGAGATGCTGCAGTCCTTCCTTGTCGATAAGCTCCAGGAGTGCGGTACATTTCTTGATCAGCCAGTCGTCGGGCAGTTGATAATTCATAAGCCATGTTGGGACGAAAGGGAAGATATTAGCGATCTCCGAACGACGTTTATCGGTCTCTGCAATATTCTCCGTACACGCAAGACAGGTGCAGACAACATCGTAGGGCTTGAGGCTTTCCGCGCGCGCTGTTTTATTCGCCAACACGTCGATGTATTGGTAAGTCAGTTCTTCGCCTGCGGGGACATCACGAACAGCATAGAGCTTATACGCGAACGTCGCCCGATCGAAGAATGGCTGCGTATTTGGGGAGCAACTGGGCGTAGGTTGTTAGTTTCGGAAGCAGGTAACAAGAATAAGTCGCCACACCTGTGGTTGAGACGCGATACGTGCTCTAAAATTGCGTTGTAGGGCTTGTCTGTTTGATGCTGTACGCCATCGAGGCCCCCAAGAGCGACCCCATTCGTCCGAAATCTGCCCACTAGCGGCCCTGAACCATCGTGGGTATGACAATTGTGAAGACTCATGAACGCGGCACGACAATTTTCTTCCATGCGATTGACTGCGATCGCGATAAAGTGCTCGCAAGCGTCAAGGTGATGCTGGATCATTTGGGCCGCGGAAAAACTGCCAGGCGGAAAGCGAGTTGGGACGCCGCGTGGTGCGATGAGCAGGGGTCGTTCCCAGAGGATAATTTCCCCTTGCTTGATGGGACGAGTGCTGAATAGACCCATACCTTTTCCAGGCGAGGGCGCAACTCGAAATGCAGCGGGAGAGTTGGCTGGCGGAAGTCGTTTCGGAAAACCGGGAGTCTTTAGGATGATTTCTTTGCTGCCGCGGAGGAGAACACATTCCGTGCTAGGCTCGCCATAGAGTTGAGGAAGAGTCGCCCAAATGTGGGTTGGAGGATCAGTAGGGCTGAACGTGCTTCCGGGAACGACGACTGTGCACAGGTCATCGATGGGGAGATAAGTTTGGGACCACGAACCTGGTTTTTCGAGCACTGCAGGTAAATCAACAGAGGTCACTTTGATTTGTTCAAATTGTTGGGCCGTCGCAGAGCTGAGGCGTTCTTTTGCTGCCTTGGAGTTGAGGAAGCCACGCCTCATGATGGTTGGAAGAAAGTAACGATGACTTGAGGCAGCTTCCGCCCAATTTTACGTGTAAACTTTGATCGCGCTTGGACCATTGGTGGTTCAGACTGGTTCCGGCGTATAGAACCGAGACGATAAATACGTTTGGTGGCATTCAGACCCTGCATCGCACTCCGCAATAAGGATTTGGAATGTGAAGAAGACACGAAAGAGCGGTGGATGAACGGTGAACCTTGAGGTTTTAGCCAAGACGTGACACTGTTTATGCTTGTTTACGTCCATGTCTAAACATGCCAACATATTCAAGTTTGCCACGAGAACGAGGTGAATGGTTTTCGATAGAGTCACCGCCGATTTTATTCACAACAACTCGCTCAAGTTCGAGGTCAACAGCCCTGGCAGTTGTGCAATCAAAAAAAATCTCCACCCAGGCTCGTAGTCGAATCATTCTAGAAATTGGGTTCTATGACTCGGTAGTGCTAACTCGCGGGCAAGGTCTGAACGTTCGCCTTTCACTGTCTCGCGACCTGTTCACGTTCAAATCGAGTAACAGGCTTGATCAGCGCTTACACGTAAAATTGGGCGGAAGAGAAGCTGACTGTCGTGCTTGCCTTTGCCTGTCATGAGGCGCGGCTTTCTCAACTCTACCCCAGCGAAAAAACGCCCAAATAATCCTTCCACCGCATTCACCGCGCATGTCGGTGAGCAGGCTTCGTCTGCAGCACTCGAAAAACCTGGTTTGTGGTCACCAAATGTCCTTCCTCCCTCTCAATAATATATGCACAGTCATCGTTCCAAAAGGCTACGAAATCAAGATAAACTACGTCCAAGGGCCTGAAGACCCGTCTAATCCTGCAACTCACATATGGACCACTCTTCCCCGAGTCCACGACGAGCCTAATACCGAGTGTTTGTTCCTTCGCGGTAGCGAGCAGATCATTACGGGAACTCCCGGCTTCCCTCGCGGACTACCACCAGCGTCTTCACCTCCTGCCTTCCGCCGTGGACACTCCCCTGGCAAGGGCTTGGGCTTATTCAGTACTCGCCCAATAAAGCAAGGCGACATCATTCTTTGGGAGCGCCCCTTACTTATTGCGCCGGCTGGGGTCCCGACAAAGAAGCTTCCTCCTGACTGCTCGGAGGCACAAAGGGCCCAGCATAACCTCAACGAGTACGAGCGATACATCGCGATAGCAGTCAACCGCATGACTGAGGATCGGCGTGTGGCATTCATGGGTCTTCACAACTGCCATCAGAAGGACGGCTCCGGGCCATTCACGGGCATAATTCGAACGAATGGAGTCGGTCTTAGTGGTCTGCAGCCTTGGGTGGAGGATGCAAAAATGTCCAACTACTCTGCGACTCTGGAGCATATATCGCGTCTCAACCACAGGTAGTCTTATTGTCAACTCCGCACCAATGGTAAACTGACAACATATGGCCAGTTGTTCCTCGAATACTCAACCACGCTTCGACCGCGCAACATTTGCGTACAAGCTCTATGCCGTCCGCGATATTGCCGAAGGAGAAGAGCTCACTTTCCATTATTTGGACGTTTTGGTCAACAAGACGAAACGAGCGGAAATCCTCAGACCCTACGCAGTTGTTTGCACGTGTACCGCTTGCACCGAAAATCCGACAGCGAGCGACAAACGGCGTTCCGCCATCGCTAGCTTCATGCCCAGTGTCCCGGTTTGGGCTGTCAACCGCGAGCTATCAGACGACTGGCTGATCAAGAAAAGCCTCCAGATCCTCGAATTCATCGAAAAAGAAAAGGTTGAGCATGTTGCAATGTACAGCATGGTAACTTGTGCAGTCCTGGATGCCTACATCTGCTTGGGCGATCGCCAAAACGCCAGCAAGTGGGCCGCAAAAGTGATGATTCGACACCGTTGGGCGGAGGAGTACAAACGGGTTGAGGAGCTCCTGGATCCAAACAGCCCTGCCTATATGCAGCACCCGCTGTGGCGACTACGCGTGGACGAGAATCCGACCAACGATATGGGGGCAATGTACAAGCTGATGGCGGAGGCGTGTGGGCCGGGAGGGATCACGACGATGGACAACGGTGTGGGCCTGTTCACTTATACGCGCGGCCAAGAGATTCCGCCGGAAACCATGAGAAAGATGATGGCTATGGTCAAGAAAAACGAGCAGCAAGAAATACGTGAAGGAGAAACTTGAAAGAAGGAAATGTAGCTCTATGAACCAACCTCTCTCTCTCCCCTTGTAAAGACCAACACGCATGGCTCGACTAGCAATGCTATATCTTGCTCAATAAAAATACCTCGGGCTTTGCATTTGCCGGTCACGACGAGGAAATGACGGTATGACGTCACGCGTCTCATTTCTGCCTTTCACCCACCATGACGAGCACGCTCCCGCCCTTGGTACAAGCATTCTCTGGCGCCATAGGAAGCGCCTCTGCCAACACTCTCACCTACCCGCTCGACCTGGCGACCACCCGCCTCCAACTTTACCCTGCAGAGAAAGCAAAAACCTCAGGCGGGCTACGTGGGGCTTTCCGCATCTTGCTCAAGGCCACACGCCGAAATGGATTGCAAAGTCTCTATAATGGACTTGCGACAGACACTGGCGCTACTCTGCTGTCTAAGTAAGTCATCTCATCTTTCCCTTGAGCAACTATTGAAGGGCCTTTTAGTTTCTTCTACTTTTATTTCTATGCGTTCTTGCGCTATCTGTCGACCCGTCGAAAGCTTTCGTTGGTACCCAAAGCCGGCCAGCCATCCCGTCCACACAAGCCCAGTCTGGGGGAAGAGATTCTCCTCGGATTCGTCGCTGGTGTTGCGTCTCGTGCAGTTTCAACACCACTGAACATCATTACGACGCGATTGCAACTGGAGACGGACTCTGATGAAGACGAGGTGTCGGAAGCCTCGCAGGACGTCACAACTATTGTCAACAGAATCTATCGCGAGCAAGGTCTCGCGGGATTTTGGCGGGGTAAGAATAGCAACACTTACCTTCGCTCCGTTGAACTTATGTCAAGGGTTCAAAACGACACTGTTGTTGTGCATAAACCCAGCACTAACGCTCGGGCTCTTCCAGCTATTCCGCCGCCTCGTCGCTCGTACCAACGGCGGACACGAGCCAAATCCACGTCAAGCGTTTCTCGGCGCAGCAGTGGCCAATTCGCTAGGTAGGCATTTGTTCAGGCTCGCTTTTCTTCTCTCCTTATTCCATTGCAGCAACTAGTCTAATGTATCCGCTCATCTTGGCGAAAACGCGTCTCCATGCGACTTCTGCCACTTCTCTGAGTCAAGTGCTGCGCGACGCATATGCGGGACGCAGCCGGTCTAGCCTGCCGACGACGGCAACCAGAGCAAGTGTCGGGGGCCTCTATCAAGGTCTGGAGATGCAGATCGTCAAAGGGTTTTTGAGCCAGGGAGTGACTTTTCTGGTTAAAGGACGGTCAGTGCTGAGTTAAAGTCGTTACCCAACTTGATGAGTCTACAGTATCGAAGAACTCATCGTCTGGGTTTACACTCGGCAATAGAGCTGTTTCAATAGCAGTCTAAAAAAATACAAGTTAGAGCCTGAGCGCGCATCTGGTGGAATTTGAAATGAGTGGAGTGGTTCACGTTTTCATTTACTAATCTCCACGCCCTGCTCAAGCCTCTTGAGCATGCTCTGAAGGACTGAAAACCTTGAAAAGCTGAGGTTGGCACTTGGTTACCGGTGCCAATCCTCTGATTGCAATGGGTTTGAGACGTATAAGTATACCAATGAAGCCAACGATGACTATATACACTCGCGGAGCGCTGGCAGTAGTACATAACTTCAGAACTTGCCAGAAGCTTCAAGCACTACATTCTACATTCGAATTCGGCGCCGGTATCCAAAGAAGATCATTAAGTGGTTGTTCATGAATGATTGACGAGCTGACCGTACGGAAAGCAGCCCGTCGCACGGCAAGGTATGCAAAAATAGAGCGAGATCCGACTATCGGGTTGGTACATATGTTCTTTACTATTCAGGTTGTCAGTGGGTGGAGAATCATTGAAGATGATATTTGAACCAGTGGCAAGTACTAGTATTTGACTAGTATGTCAGTGGGCGAAGACAGGAAGTTGGACACGTGGTCGGAAGGGAACACGAATGCTAGTGGTGGTGAGTACTGCCAGTGTACCCGTCTTTTGCGGTGGCTTCAAGTCGACACCGCGGCGGATCAGAATCGTGGCCGATCAGTGACCAATATGTCACAGACCTCGACATCTTAGAATCCGACACAACGCGGCGCCGAACGTTTGCCCAACGCAACCCACCTGTAAGTACCGAACGAAATAGCCTCAAAAGGATAGGAACTGTATCTTACGAAGGTCACCTAACAAACCCGCAAATCAATCGGGATGTCAACGAAAACGAACTGCAGACCTCAGAAACTGGGCTCTATCCTCTATGAGCCTTCAATAACTGCCAATGTCGGTGTACTCTGCCTTTTAGCTTCCCCACTCAATGTAAGCCTCAGGTCTCAACATGCTCTCTGACTCGTTGAATCTGAATTGTCACCAAATCGTCTCACAGATCTCATGCGGCTCGTGGATATGTATAACGTCACGAAGGCTCTACCGGATGGGTTGTTGAGATGATGTCTCCACCTGCTGATAAACCAACTGCCGCTCGAATCTTGCTACATAAGATACTCCATTGCCGCATTTGCTGGCTACGATTTCGAAGTATGGCACCTCTTGCACCAGGCCTCGGCATGCTGGCTCGACTTCTTCCCTCTCTAATTACCCCACCCATCGGCTTACTGCTTGTGCATACTCTTATCCAAAGAGTGTTATCCATCAACCTACTTTCTCTGTCCCTTCCCATCTGGCAGCACACCCTGGTTCTACTTGGGAGCATCCCGGTCGCGTTCACAATCCGTTTGTGGCACTCCTTAGCCCGAGATTGGCTAGACGCGCGAGCCAATGGAGCAACCCTTCCGCCACTGGTACCCGGGGCTATTGGTGGTGTTGACCTGCTGAGGGATGCCATTGGCAACGCCGAGAACGAGTATCCCGGGGAAGCCTTCGCCGTTATGGGCAATCAATTAGGGCCAATGTTCAATCTGCGGCTTCTATTCACAAACTTGGTGCGGCTTTCTCTTATCTTGGGTTCGCTCGGACTGCTAACAAATGCCAGATGTTAACAAGCGAGCCCGAGTATATCAAGGTCAGTTTCCTAGTTTATTTTTGCGGCAACCAACATTCACTCTATTACATATAGGCCATTTTAGCAACCCAAGTCGCCAGTTTCGAAAAGGGCGAGGAGATACGTAGCATTTTCAGTGATTTATTGGGAAGTGGCGTGTTTCTTTCAGATGGTGAGCCTCAGTCTTTGGTTTCTAATAATGCATAACGTTAATTGTCCTCTAAGGTGACCTCTGGAAGTATGTTCTCTCCGAGTTGCAACGCTTGCCTGAATGCCTCATTCGTAAGCCAGGTTTCATCGCTCAATGACGCGGCCATTTTTCAAGCGTGACCGCATCAGCGACTTTGCGCTTTTCGACCGTTACTCTCTCGTCGCGATTGATAAAATCAAGCAACGTGTTCGCGATGGCTTTGCGGTCGATTTTCAAGACCTGCTAGGGCGGTTTACGATGGATGCCTCGGGCGAATTCCTCTTCGGATATGATTCTCGCACCTTGGAAGCAGGGCTTCCCTATCCATATAACAGTGCTACGGGGAAGGCTTCAAATCAGGCTTTGGATAAAGAACATGCCGCTGCTTTGGCGTTTGCCGAATCGATAATGCGTGCCCAGGATTTGTCGACGCGCCGAAGCCTGCTCGGCTCTGCTTGGCCATTGATAGAGTTTTGGACCAACAAGGTCGAGGAGGAGATGAAAGTTATTCGGGCTTTCTTGGACCCGATCTTGCAGGTCGCAATCGGGGATAAGAAGAATGGGGAATACTTTAATGGGGATGGTCTTGTCAAGGATCGAGAGGTTCAAGAAGGCGAGACGTTGGTGCAACACTTGGTAAATTATACTCAAGGTCTGTCCCTGTTTTTACATTTACCATCTCACTGAGCTCTGGTTGTGTAGATCGGACAATTATTCGCGATGAGATTCTCAACATCGGACTTGCCGGGCGGGACACAACTTCCTCTTTGCTGACCTTTGTCATCTACATGCTTGCTGAACATCCGGACGTTCTCTCCAAATTGCGCCGGGAAATACTGGACATTGTTGGGCCGACAAGCGCTATACTCAATGGTAAACGACATTACTGAAGTTTTGCAAGCTGACAGATTGAGCAGAAACATTGCGGCTCTATCCTCCTGTACCGCTGAACTCTCGGTATGAAACTCAATCTTCATTTTCCAGCGACTCAATACCTGGACCGCAGGAATACGTGTGCTCCTGTAGTGCTTCCTCCCCTGCAGCCAGGATCCCGACCTTTCTACATTCCCAAAGGAACGAGGTAAATATGTACCTTCCGCCAGATCCAATTGCTCAAGCTCTCTCACTTCTTTCAGAGTGCCATACAGCACTATTGGTATGCACCGTCGACCCGATCTCTGGGGTCCCGATGTGCTGGAATGGGACCCGGAGCGCTTCATCGACGAACGACTCCACAAATACCGTATCATCTTGTCCTTCTCATCCAGTTTATCGTACTCAACTTCTGCAGTCATACCCAACCCGTTCATCTTCCTGCCCTTCAGCGCGGGCCCGCACATCTGTCTCGGCCAGCAATTCGCCTATCACCAGGCTTCTGTCTTCCTCATCCGCCTATTCCAGGCATTTTCCGGTCTGTCGCTAGCGCTGGACGCGCAGCCGCCAGACAGTCTCCCGCCGGCAGAGTGGCGGGACCCCGAGAAGGATGTGTTGGGGTGGAAGCGGAGGGAAAGGTTGTTTGTGAAGAGCCACCTGACGATGCATGTTAAGGGCGGTATTTGGGTGCGGTTGCAGGAGGTATCGTGAGCATGCGCAAATGCCCGCACGCTCGGGAGTCGGAACTTGAACAGAAACCGGTTTCCGATAGGTTTTTCGTGGAAAAAGATGTATCAACTTTTTCTTTGTCAACAAATTTAAATTAGCCAGCGCCGAGCTTTTGAATCACGAAGAAAGATGATATCAACGCCAAACCTGCCGACTCGCCCCAGACTGTATCTTTACCCGGACCCCCCTCGAATTTCGCAATCTAGGAACATTAGAAAAAAAGTTGCGCTTGTTCAGGGGGCGGACCAAGGCGTCTGGACTCGTCGCATGAAGCGTGCGGCGGGTTCCCGACGGCGCCGCTAGAGCTCGCAGATCAACATAGTCGAAAATCGACCACCAGATATCGTTCGGAAGATGAGGGGGCATGGCAGCTATCAGCCATCACATGACCAGCCATATATTTCGCGATCCATTCGTTTCACTCGAGGCCAGCACTTCAACAAAACACATGTATCATTGGTGCCGGCGGTAAGCAGATTTCAATCGAAGTAACGACCGCCATCGGCACTAAGGGTTTGGCCTAGGAAATGAACATCACTTTGGATACGGCGGAGTTGCGAGTTGTGACTTACCTGTCATGAAACCAGACTCTTTGGATGCGAAGAACGAAACGAGGCTTGCGATATCCCCCGGTGTAACATTAACACCCGTTGCGTTCATTTTGGCTTGCTATTCATAAGTTAGTCTGGGACCGCATAGCAGAGAAGAGCCCACGGCAGCGAAGAAGTCGTCCGCAGGCACGCCAGCCATCTCGGGAAATTGTTGCGCTAAGCAGAGTACTATGAGCAACGAAAGCGGACTATGGGAAGAATCGCACTCATAGGCGTGATAACGGCACCTAATACGGCTCAGTTGGTGCGGAGCCATGCTCAAAACACGTACCAGGCGCATAGGCATTGACTGTTATCCCATGTTTACCGAGTTCTTGCGCTAGGGACTAATGAATACGAGACCATAGAATGGAGAGTGGATGGACCCACCGACAGCCTGCGTCAGGCCCCGGATCGCGAACTTGGACGACGAGTAGTCAGGCAAAGCGATGTAGCCCTGCTTTCCCGCCCCGGAGCAGGCACCGATGATGCGACCACCGCGTCCTTGGGAAATCATCTGCTTCGCGGCATACTTGTAGCAGAGGAAAGTCCCCCGGGTGTTGATTGAGAAGGTGTGGTCCCATTCAGCAGCGGAGACTAGCAACAAATGTGACGAGGTGAGGGCAACGGGCTGTGAACATACCATCCAAAAACGACGCCCGTGCCTTGCAAATCCCAGCATTAGCGACCATCTGGAGAGGCTATCAGTCCGGGGAGGATTCAAGACGGCTGACAACGCACAACATCCAGTCCCCCAAGCGCCGCAACCACACTTTGGACCATCTCGGAGACCGACTCCTCCGAAGAAACATCTCCAACGACAACAGACGCACGAATTCCGTGTCTGGTTTTCAAAACTTCGGCCATAACTGCCTCCAGCTCGTCCTTCTTGCTCGGAATGTCGTTCAGGGCTACATCAAAGCCGTCGGAAGCCAGGCGCAGTGCGATAGATTTGCCAATCCCTTGAGCAGCACCGGTGACAAGGGCGACGCCTGTGGATGTAGAAGTGGGCGACATGAGGGAGTGAGAAAGAGTGTTACGTACGGGACCCCGGCGTATTGAAGTTTTTCCAAGCCGAAGGGGGCCATGAGGCGAGGCTTCTTGTGATTCTCTGCTAGCATTGTTCGCTCCACCAAAGCGAAGTTGTTCATTGCTGACTCGGACCGTGGACGACTTTCAGGCGTGTACCAAAAGCCGTTTTATCGAGTGGTGGGGGGTTTCCTGTATACGGAAGCCGCCACGAGCGCCGAAATTGCTCCACGTTGACACGAACACGATACTCAACGCCGCGTTTGTCGTTGAGGTTTTAGCAAAACGCGAAAGTCACACCGTGACACACTCTGGCAGCGCATCGCAGCGGCTCGCTGTAGCACTCTGGACCGGACATCGCTCACCCGTTATCAATATTAAATATTAAATGTACACGAACATTTCCCGCATGTCTGGGTACGCGTGTCTCTGCAGGTTGGCGGCAAGCTTACCCAAATATCAGGATTCAGGGGGGGTCAGTGCTGTGTTCGTTCGCCGGCGGCTGGACGCAACGACTCGATATGTCGCCGCTGGATGAGTTCTTGCCTGTGCGAAGTTTGCACCCACTTGCAGCATCGAGTTCCGTTATGCGTCCGCCCTGGAGCGATAGAACGATGATGGTGATGAACGGTAAACTGACCTTCCGCGCCCTCCAGCGTTTCCCGTCTGATCCGCCCCTCCCCGGCCGGCTGCGTCGACGTCGAACAGACGTTCACGGGCCCGGGCCGCCACGCCGGGACGTTCCGGCGCGGACCTCCCCGGCGCCTTCCGGCGTGCACTTCGCGCCCGCCGCGGCGCCCCGTGCGCCGGGGAACAGAGAGATCGCCGGGTTTTCGCCGCAGGACTGCCGCGGCACTCTGGCCCGGTACGTGCCAGCGAACGCTCTAGCGACCTCGCATCCTTCGCCCGCGACACGGTCCGCCAGCTGTCTCGCGTCCTGTTGTCTGCACACTAGTACTGACGCGGCGGAGACAGGTCGGAGCTTGAGCACAGCGAAAGGCGCTCGATGCGGATCGATATTGCATAACTTTGGATTGGATACTAAGAAGGCCTGGTGTCAAGCAACGGCCAGCCTGCCAGAGGAACAGACACGTTAGGCACGCAGGTGCCACGTGTCTCTCGACCATGCAGAGGCCTTGCGGTGTGCCATGTGCCATTTTACTCCCTTGCCTTTCACCACCAACCAACCAGGCTCCCGCTCGCGATTCCCTACATTTATTACTTCTCTCCGAGTCCCAATGCCTTATCAGAAGATTGACCTCTATGGTAAACATTTGTGTCAGTATCCTTTTGACCTGCAAATGAATTATCCACGTCTAGGTGGTACTGGAGGTGCCGGTGGTACAGCAGCATACCAGGGCGGCAATGGGGGATCCGGCTATGGACCAGAGCTTCATTTCGTTGGGAATAACCATAGGTACACATCCTATTGTCAAATCATGGCCCAGAAAAATGTCTGATGGCTCTGATTCTAGTATCCAAGTGCATAGCAGTCCAGCCCAGACCAAAGGCAATTTATCCTATTGTTGTATTTTCATTTAGATTCACACCGAAACTTTTTTAGATCTGAATGCAGAATTTCTCACGATTGCCAACTGGATTTCCCCAATCAACTTTGCACCTCATCACCAGGAGATTAGCCGGATCCGGAATAAGAATAGTGGGGAATGGTTCCTACAAACAGATGAATTTATCAGATGGAAGTCAGAACAAGAGAGTATTCTCTGGTGCACTGGCATGGGTAGGTGAGCATAGATTGTGAGCAAATATATACTGACAATGTTTTAGCTGGTGTGGGCAAGACTGTTCTTGTGTAATTTTTCTTGATGTTTCCTGATGACAATAACTGATGTTTGATCATTTCTAGGTCAAAGGTTATAGACCATTTTCTTTGCACAAATCACAAATCAGTTGGGCTAGCATACACTTATCTCAACTACAAGGAGGCTCAAATTCAAACACCTGAAAATATATTAGGTGCTTTGTGGAAACAGCTTGCAGATGATGTGGCAATCAGAAATGCTGCAACAATATACAGTCAACATGAGAGACAGGGTACAGAGCCCACTCTGGACGAAATCCAGCAACTTCTCATTGCAATCACAAAGACCAAAAGTCTCACATATATCATTGTAGATGCCTTTGATGAATATCCCTCAGAAAAGCAGAATCCCCTCATCAAATGTCTTCAAGAGCTAGGGCAGAATATTAAGATACTAGTTACATCCAGAAGCCAGGTTGCTCCACTGTCAGACTTATTGATCATCCCTCTGGAGATTAAAGTCAATGACAATGACCTCAGACACTATATAGTGACTCAAATCAAGACTCACCAGCACCTTCAGAGCATTATTAAAAGACATATGCTCCAAGAGCATATAATAACCAAGCTCATAGCCAAGGCCAATGGAATGTAAGTATTTGTTTTCTAGGAATAAAGAAATAAGTTTAATATTATATAGGTTCTTGTTAGTAAAGTTGCAACTGGAGTTGCTTTATTCAGCAGTAACTTTCCAGAAGATGGAAGTTATTCTGGAATGCTTGCCTGATACCTTGGAGGACATCTATAATCAGACTGTGCAGCGCATAAAATCGCAAAACAAAGACTTTGCAAAAATTGTCATGTTAAGCCTTGCCTGGATTACCTTTTCAAAATGTCCATTGACAGTTGAAGAGCTACAGACAGCTCTTGTATTGACAGAAGACAGTACAGCACAACCAAGCTATAAGACAGTCCCTGACATAGATAACATTATTATATGGTCTTGTGGTCTCATCATCAAGGAAGATAGGATTATGCACTTGATCCATTATACTGCACAATATATTTTGGAGAAGCTTCTTTATTCTGAGTTTCCAGATATAGATATCATAATCACTAAGAACCTATTGATAGATTGGAAAAACTATGAGAAGCGTCAGCTTCTTGCAGGTCCCTCCACAGACAGACCACTTTGGTCACTTTCAAGTTATCATGGTTACATTCTACTGCATGCTAGAGGCTTGCCAGAATCAAAGCTTGCATTAGATCTAATTGGATTTCTGGAAGCAATTAGGACGAGATCTTGGCATCTCCACCAGCATTTTATTCCTTGGCTTATGCCACATCAATCTGAGTGGAGATGGAGAAAGTGGAATGAATATCAACAACATGTTTCTCCCTATACAAGTCTAGAGTTTGCAGCAGCTGGCAATATGCAGGTCCTCACAAAGTTTTTAATAGATAATAAAATATGTAATCCTCAGTTTGAAATCATAGGAGCTGCAATGAATGGATATCTCACAATGGTAAAGTTCCTTATAGATCATGGGTCGCCAATAAATCTAGTGACTGCTAATGGGATCAGAGCACTTGATATTGCTGTATTTAGTGGACATAAAATGATTGTAGAGTGCCTTTTAAGGGCTGGAGCTGAGATACAAAGTGATACATTACAAGCTGCTGCAATGCAAGGTCATAAAGATATCATGCAACTTCTTTTGAATGCAGCATCTGAGAGATATAAGGATGATGGTTTCTTTATCCCTGCATTACATGCTGCCCTCCTTGGAGAATATAAGAAGCTTGTGCAGCTCCTTATTGACACAGGTCTTAATGTTAATGCGGTAAATGGTGAGTATGGAACTCCATTAACTGTAGCAGCATTTGTTGGAAACAAGCAAATTGTAGAGCTTCTTCTTAGAGCAGGATCAGATATCAACCAAACTGGTGGTGACTATCATACTGCATTACAAGCTGCTGCATGTCAAGGGCATACAGAAATTGTGAAGCTGCTTCTGAAGGATGGTGCCAATATAAACGAATTTGGTGGGTTAGATGGAAGTGCATTACATGGAGCATCAGGTCATGGTCATAATGAAATAGTGGAAATTCTTCTTAATGCAGGAGCTGATGTTAATAGGTATGGAGGATTTCATGGAACTGCACTACTGGCAGCTATAGCAATAAAGGATATGGCTGCTGTGCAGCTGCTGATTAATGCTGGAGCTCATGTAAATGCAGTGGGTCCTCACAATGAAACTGCATTGCAGTGTGCTTCATCTCTGGGAGATATCAAAATTGTTGCTCGGCTACTGGATGCAGGATCTGATGTAAAGGCAGTATCTCATCCTTATGGGTCTGCCTTGACTGCTGCATTGCATCAATGGCACAAAGATATAGCAGAACTTCTAGTTCTTGCAGGTGCAGTCGGATACCATAAATTTCTACAATTGGATTTGGAAAGTCACCGATTGGTTTCTAGAAAACCTATGATCTTGGCACTTAGTGATCAAAAACAAGAAGCATTGAATCTGTTAACAAGAACAACTAGTATTGTCTATAATGGGAGAGCGTGTTTAGTGCCGTCCTCCCCCGCAACTAATGCAACTGTCTGTTCAAGGCTGCTCCCTTTTCTGTCCGAGCGGGAGCAAGTGCCGGAACAAGATGATACTGGTGTTGACTGATAGTTTTCAAATGACTCTGGTATTAAGAAGGTTTTTCTAGGGAAGCATAGCCTTTGGGATTTAGACAGCTAACATCAATACACTACTAGTAACAGTAGTTGATGTGGTAGTAATAGTAGAAGTATTATAAAGTATATACCAAAGCTAAGGGAAATGATATAAGTGGAAAGTCTGACTATCGGGAAAAACAGTGTGAGCAGCGGCCATGACAACGGATGTGACAGTGCCTGTCATCCATCATGTTCATAATCGCCGTCTGCCTCCGTCTTCTTCCCCCCTCCTCCTCCTCCTCCCATGTTCCGTTTCACGTGTTGGTGCGTTATCAACTATGCGTCCCATGGCCTCTACTGACCGTTCTCGCCAGCCATGTCCGATAGTGGCCCTCTGTGTATTCACCCTTGCTGCCAGTGGAAGAAGACAATACTGGGTTGTTCCAATACCATGTGTCACAGCCATTGCACGCAGCAGACTGGCTGTGTCCTATACCCACCTGTTAATCCCAATTATCTCTTCTAATTAGAAGAGATGTTTCCAAACTATCT